CAGAAGTTCTCAGAATTCGTTAATCATAATTTACCTGATAGATCCATTAATTAACTCATAGAAAATGAGTTCAAGGAACTTATCATCAATGGAAACATCCCCATGATTTGGGAGCGAGTTCTGTAGAAAGTTGATTTGAAATATTATTTCAACAGAAAGCCGAATTGTTTTGTAATAAATTGCCAATCACTCAGGGGCCATTTAGGGGAAACCAACACCCACTCGATTACAGTCCATGGAAGCTCCTCTTCGTCACGGCATCAAGTATAGAACATTATTAAGTGATCCCAATTCTTATGGGGATGGCGGTGATTTTGCGTTGTTGTTTGTTTACCTGGCCGGCGATTGAAATAAACTCTCGTGCAATCCTCCGAAAATAGAATTCCCTGTGCGGTGAGTTTTCTGTTGCCCGGCGGAGGAATCACGGGATCGGAGGGCCATTGCAAATATATAGTATAATCAAAGCTCTCGGAGGCACACGACGCCACTGATGACGTGGCACTAACGTCACCGATTTTCCCTCCCTGGCTACAATATATTTATTTTTTATTTTCGGGTGGAGATTATTTATCTGGTTTGTGGTCGGTGGGATTTTAGTGACTGCATCATCGCCGCCTCAGTGACGTCACTTCTATCTATCTTCAACTGGCTGTCTTCAGATCAGTGGGTGGTACGAAGAATTCCGCCGCGAGTGCAGAATATCGCAATGACCTGGCTGATTGACTAGGAACTTGGTCGCTCTGGGAGATTGCTTTTGTCTGCTCCTCGGCGGGTTTTATTTATTTGTATTTAATGGAAACTGCGTCTTGTTTTCGCCAAACGCCCCCACACATACGGCGAAAAAGAGTCTATAGCCTGGGCACTTAATCCGACACTTGGTAAAAGTTATGGTCCGGTGGTTCCCGATGATCGCGCTTTTGATGTTTGGGTTTCAATCGATAAACTGCCCAATTTCCTCCTTTATCTTGTCATTAAAATGTAGTATAAATTCATTTTATGTCTAAAACTTTGATGGATAAACAACTAGCTTATTCCAAGGAAAGACTTTTTATGTCCAACTGTTTTTTTGCATACATTTTTACCGATAAATAGATAAAAAATCAATTTGAATCAATATATCGTAGTTCTTAATGATAAAAACATGTTCTTGAAATCTTTAACTTAAAAGTAATTTAAGTTAATTTAGATAGTTTAATTCGAAAAAGCAACCAAGACTTGTTTTTTCAAATAATATTTAATTCTTAGTAAAATTAAATATTTTTTTATTATTATTATTCATTTAAAATGTAATTAAATATGAAAGCAGCTCAATTAATAATAATTGTTAACAATTTATATTTAATTCGAACATGATTCGATAAGATCACTAAGATTTAAGTAATGAACACCATCATTAGTACATCATTTGGTTATGTCGATTTTTTGGCTTTTTCCACACTTGATACCCAATAATTGATCAGAGTTCCATGTTATGTAGGCAATCTGTTGAAGGCAGCACTCAACAAATGCTGACCACTATAAGGCCATTAAAGCATATTTAATCGATTCCATGTTCCGCTCCCATTCCCCGCAAAGCCAGGTGATGAGATGTGGAATCAGCGCATCCTCTTGCTCACCCCTGACCCATTGGAACGATGCTGCCAGGGATTTGTTTTTCAACCCATCGATTCAGCGATTATGGGCTGATTATGGACACGCAAAATCCTCAGCGGAAAGTTCTTCCATATCGCATGCTCAAGTGGCAACCCATTGAAAATCCAACCCCATTGCCCATTCCTCCGCTGCTCCATCATCTCTGATTGACGTCGACAAATTGTATTAAAACCAAGTTAATTGGCATTTCGAGATTTTCAACAATTTCATAAAATTTAACGCCTATCATGTGTCGGCGAATTGCTGCCTGTCCCGCTGTCCGATCGTCCGGCTGGCTGGCCATTGTTTGTTTTTATAAACACAGATAACTTGGGTTCGAATACGTATTTTTGAATTATTAAGTTTTCGGTCTTCTTCATGAACTCGTGACGCAAAGTAGTAAATTCGGGCGCTTAACTCGCGCTGATGGCCTGCGAACAAATGGTTCGCATATGCAAATGCCAGGGAGGGACCTCTTTTCCGAGCAGAAATGGACCCAACTCTCCGCATTTTCCAAATTTCATTCAGCAATCCGTTTGCCGGTGCAAACACACAAATCAATTTGGGCCAAAGGCATCACCGCGCTTATAATTATCTTCACACCTCGCCCGAATGACTATAAAAACACAATGAATCTCATTGAGTGGGCTTATTTATATTGTCGGCAAACAGTCGTTAAAAAACACCACAGGATGCGAGGCAACAGAAAGAAGTGAAATGGCCGAGTTCCTTCAATCACTGGAAAATTTGTTTGGGAACTGCATTACCATTCGGGGATTTCATTAATCCGTTGTAAATATTATGTCAAATTGTTCAAGGTAGTAGTATCCTTAAGAGTATCATTTGGATGCAATAGAAACCTTCTATATACTTGGCGCTTTATTCATATTGACTTAACTATTTTTTTTAGCTGTCAATAAATAAAATATTAAAATCACAAGAATGGTAACTGAAGAACTTTCAAAAATACAAGAATGGTAACTGAAGAACTTTGAACAACGGCGCCAAAAGTGTATGAACACTTTGGAGAAAACTCAGAGAGTCCCATAACGCCTTGCGAAAGTGGCCAGAAAACGCCTATATTTGCGTTAAACCCAAAGGTGGTCACACTACCTGGCCCTGAAATCTGTGTGTCACGAAATTCTTCGTTCCGCCGCATTTTCCGCGAGAAAAAAATGCTGTCGACGTGAGTCGGGGGTGGGGGGAGCCCCTCAGAAAAGCGCAGGAAACGCTCCCAAGCCTCACGACCGAAATCATACCCTCAAGACTGCCAGCGTTGCCCCCTCAAGACCCACCCCATCCCGGCGTTGCCACAATTCTGTTAACTAACAGAAAAAGAGTCGTCTGTAAAAAAGTAGTTAGCTTTCTCTAACTGAAAAGTGTTGCATACTTTTGGGCAGCCGATCATCGATCTTCAGACATAGATGGGGCCTTTCTCGGGCGGCCGACCGTTGCATCTTCAAAGAACATAGATGGCGCTTATGCCATTCGCTTTTTTGTATTGCCTACATTTGAGGGCTGTCGGGTGCTTAACAACCTACTAGAATTTATTTTCGGAAAACTACTTACATTTATGTTCGCCTTGTGTTTCAAAACGAAAAATCTAAATCTTTTAAATTGAATTGCCTTTCCTTGTTCCCCTTACCATTCGACCAAACTCAATGAAAGACAACCGTTATTTTGAAAGTAAGCGCAATATAGAGATGGCGAAACGGCTTGTTTCTTTGTTCGTGTCTCAAAGTTGGCACGCCAGGCACAAAAATCCGTTGTATTTGTATTGGACGAGCGGAAAATAGCTGACACGCGGCTATCTCCAGCAAAAGCAAAATAACCTGATTGTGGGACACATCGCCTGGCGTTTGAAATTGAAAAATCTTTAGGACTTCAACGAAAATACTGGGTGAAAGTTTTGTGATCGATGGTAATTATATTAAACTAGTAAAGCCAAATTATATCACGTCTCATGCTTTGAGTTTTCCACAACAGTAAGAGGAGTTTGAGCCATGAAAATATCGCCATAGGGATTGTTCGGCTTTTGGCTCTCGCGATCGAATTCAGAGCCAATGGCCCACAGCGACTCTAAATCGTATTCCTCCCGAGCCCTCGGTGAAAATATATGCAGGGCAATGTTGCCTAACAAAAATAATGGCAGTTAGATCGATTTAAAAGTAAAGATTTTCTTGTTAATACTCACCCAAATCCATGGCCATCCAATCCCGGCTCTTGTCGCCCTCAATGCGGGGTAGAATGTCGCCCTTGGTCCGCTTGATCTTAAACATGCGGCGTACAAACTCTGCCGTGCTCAACATGTGCCGGTAGCTGCGACCACTGCAAACCACCAGGTGATCCACATATTTCAGGTTTTCAGGCACATAGCAAACGAAAATGTCGTCCACATTCTCCTTGCGCAGCAACTCCACCAAGTCCTCAACATCAAACACACCGCGAACGCCACCTGTAAGCAGAGAAAAAGTCTTAGGATTCGGTTCATTCCTGATTACTCGCTATCTTACGCCTTAAATTGAGGCCATAGTATTGATCCTGCTCCAATTCCGAATCCTCTGGAAGCTGCTGCTCCTGATAACGTGCCTCCTCAACATCGAAGATCTCGGACGCCTCCTCATCCCGGAATATTTTGTATTTGTCCTGCACGCCGGCAACCAAATTTTGGTCGGGATTAACTTCCTTTTCCAGGGTTTTTGCAGGCACTGTCGGCGGTTTGGAGAACTCATGGTGGAAGCAGCGTAGAACAGGAACACTTAAACGCTTGTCGTGAACCAAGCGAAAAGCGCGTGTTAGCATTTTGTTTAAACTTGTTTTATTAAATAACAAGTGAAATAAACATCTGCGCCTCCGATAAGCGATTGTTTGCAGTGTGACCTTTTTAGCGGATTGTGGGTTTTGTTATTTGGTATTTTAAAACAATTAAATATACTACTATTCTAAATTTTAAATTTTCTTTAAAAAAATAATAGTTCCAAATCATTAATATTTAGTAAGATTTTCACTTGCTTGGTGGTGTTTATTTGAAAACCAATGCTACTTTATTTAATTTGAAAAACAAATACATATATTGGTTTTGTTGTATAATATTTTAAGATATACAATGTAAGTATGCAAGTCTAGTAAGCCTTTGAAACTTTAGTCTTTTTTGATAAACTGATAGCTCGGACCAAAATTATATAATCCTAGTATTAAGTATATGATTTATTTTGTTTTTTCTCTTAATTTTCAACTAGAAAGGTAATTTAACACCGTAATTTTGCTTAATGAAAACACCAGTGTGAGCACGGTATTTTTTGTGTATAGCAAAAATAAAGCGTTAGCGCTGACAGCTTGGAGCAATCACTTTACCGACGCCTGGTAACTCTGTTCTGAATAGTTTTCCAGCTCTAGTCAACGCCGCCTGACTCCAAATTAAAAGTTATAAAATCGCAACAAAACGCAGGAGCAAAGTGTGCACAATGAGCGAGCAGAAAACGAGTGGGTTGTCGGCCCTTCAGAAAATCGAGGCGGAATACAAGACTAAACTTCAAGAATGGCCTCGCTTCTACAAGGTAAATGGCAAGAACAACAACTACGACGGCTGCAATTGCACAAAAAAAAAACACAAAAAAATGGATAACCAATTATGGCAAAGCTAAAAGTCGTGGAGGATTCACAGCGGATGCGGGTACACACCTTTTTGGAGCTCCTTTGGCGGTTCGATTTCCACGAAAATGTGATGAGTGCGCAAAAGGCTTTCTGCAGATGCCTCCACCACCAATGCACGGACATGCTTTCCGTGTGTGTGTGTTTGTGGGGCCCCAGTGCGCTAGTGTTTTCGCTTTTGCTTCACCAGCCAGGCTTTGACCAAAAACAAAAAACACTAAAAAAGAATGTACAAACAGATTCACACCAACACACACAAGCATACTTGCTCACCTGCTGCATTTTGCCTTGCATTCTCTATTATGACCGTGTCTGTGTGTGAGTGTATTTGGCATATTTATGCTTGGCTATTGCTACCTTTCCCCAAAAACGATTTCCTTTGACTATCTATAGAGCGTTGAGCTATTCTGCGAATTCTCGTTTGGCCAAATAAAATTGGAAGCGATTTCTGGGAAGACTGTTGTTGTGATTGCCATTGCCCCCCAAAAAAAAACAAAATAAATGGATGAGGGGTGACAGTGTGGTAGCCACTTAAGAACTCCACATACACACACACATTGGCAGACAGAGAGAGGCTCACGCACACAGGGGCACAAAGGGCATGCGTCTGGTTTTTTGAGTCTCGCTTTGGGTTTCTTGTTGCCTGTCGGAATCCTCTCTTTGCCTCCTCCTCTTACTCCCCTTCCTCCTCTCTGCTTTATAGCCAGTTCCGGCGAACTGTGTCTTCAGCTGCTCCTCCCTCTTCCACTCACTTGAATTGGGATTTCACGGAATTCCACTCCGCAGTTAGGATGACACAGTATATGTGTATCTCGGTTTCTGGACCCGCTCCTCGGGCATCCTTTGTGCCCGCGCCGCGAGGATAATCTAATTTTCCAACTAACTGAAAGGAGTCTGCTCGCAATTATGCGTCGCAACTGGTATGAAAAATCGCTACCAGCCATAACCATTGAAATACAGTCAAGCTAGGCTACTTCGAATCACTTGAAATAACAATAATAAGTCCATAACTTATAACTTTGAGTTAATCACAAACTCACGATTTTCCATGAATTTTGTTCAATTGAAAAAGTCACTCAAAATTAATCCGAAATTTGATCATTCATGAAATTTACCAAAAAACCATATTCAAGTTCGGTTTAAATTTGTTCTTCCATGAAAATTTCCCAAATTCTGTGCGATTGTTGTAGTAATTTGTAAGTTAGCAACCACAGCATAGACACATTTAATGAAAATAAAAAATTACAGTCCAGCCTTTCCTAATCTCATTTCTTAGAAATACTATTTAATTGGAATTCCACAAGCAACACTTTAAATATTCATAAAATTCCTCAAACATCAGCATTGTTTGACAAATTTGTATTAATTTATAAAATAATCTGCACTCTTTTTTTCCAGAAAATTCTAGTAATTATATTATCTGTAAATACATAAAAACAATTTTTTTTACATGCTTTAGAAATTTATACAAATTATAGAACATAAAGATTATTTTATTCCCCGCAGCTTTAAAGTCAATTAAGATTAAATTCATATTAATAGTCAAACATTACTCGAACGAAACAATATTGTCATTTAATTTACGACATGTCTAAGTATGATGGGATTTTTGTGTTTTATAAAAACATGTTTTGATCATTAAAAAAATCTCAGTGGGAAAGTTCGAAAAAAAAATGTCTTTTGTTCGAAATTTGAAAATACTATACTTATGTACATACATATGTAATAATATGAATATAATGTGGACTGACAGCTTTTCAGTTTTTAAGATTTGCAATTAGATAGCTTCACTTGGGGGGTTTGACTGTATGCGGAGAACGCAGTGACGCATTCGGATCGTATTGTTTTTGTTATGCTTTTTGCGTACTTAATGTATAATAATTTTCATTGAACGCACTACCGTTACTGGGTTTTCTCTTCTCTTTCACATTTTCCCGCTTATCAACTTACACCTTCCATTCCGCCCTATTATGACAACCTCCGTCAACTGTAACAAGGCAGAGGGTAGTGTAATTTGTATCCACAGACGATTAAACCTTACAAACCGCACTGGTTTGAATCATAGAAACGATTGGGTCAAATCATAATTTATTTAAGTTTTTTTTTTTAGGTTTTTATTTCAACAAAACGAAATGACTCAAAAATTATTTTGTTTTAAAGTTGGGTATATAAAATTCGACTCGAGGAATTTTTATTCCGCCTTAGCTGCAATTATGCTCCGCATGCATGCAATGTTTTTGTTTCTTGCTTTTCCTTGAGCACTACCACGTAAAACAGAAAAATAATAATAAAACTGCACGACACGCTTTAGAAATTCAAGCCCCCAAGAGCCCCTGCCCCCGCTTAGATTTCGCAATTATGTTTAGAAGGGTCACCTGGATAGCCATAGACCATAAAATAACAGTTTGTAGCTGTGGTAAACGGCCCAAGACTTAATGTTCAATGAAGGTGAAGAGATCTGTTTTCTCTTTCTTAAAACATTAGATCGGATTAAAGGTGTGCTTTTCAAGACATTTCTTCTAGCCATCAGAAAAAATTAAATGTGCATAGATGGTTTTAAAATATAAATGCGACAATTTTTATTGCGGCTTATATTGTCCATTTAAATAAATAACAAGCCCAGTTTAACAAGGAATAAATAACCTACCCCTATAAATGATGCATGCAACAGATGTGTTCAGAAAATTAGACAAATTCGTTATCGCTGGCAAATATTTAAAAAAATATTCTCACGTGACATGTTGATAATTAAACGTCAAATAATTGATAATAGCGAATTTATGAGTTCTGAGGAATATTAAATGCAACCCAAGTTTACTTTCCGTTTCTAAAGAATTATCAATTATTCCGATAGCGATACGCTACGTTAAAAGTCGGAAAGTAATTTTTCTCTCTAAAAAATCACCTTATCAGACGTTGCCCTTGTCAGATTTGGAGATTACGTAAGAATTTGGCTTTTCGAAGTGATTTCATAAGAGCACGGCAAATACCGGTATTTTCAAGCTCTACAGCTGATATACTTTTAAAACATGACGAATTGACAATTAACAACTTATTTTTCGAGCTGTACTCAACGCAAGCTTGCAGGAGAAACAATATAAATCGCTTTGTCTGGTTACTCATCCTCATCGCATGCATGTGATTAAACTTATCCGGTGGCCAAAAAAAAAAAACGACGTTGACTTTGAGCCGAGTTTAAGGAACACTTGTCATCGTCAGGTTGGCGCCATTGACCTTGTTTGGTGTTTGGTTGTTGGAGGGTTCGATTGTCCATGGCATTTTACAGCTGCGCCAGCAATTATATGTACATACATTCGGCTGATAAAGCCGGCAACGGTCATGCCCAAGATAATGCCATTAACGACAGCCAGCCTGCGTTGCTGGCTAATTAGTCACGCCCAGTTTGTTAGCTGGGTGGGCTTCGGTGCTTCAGCTCCATTCGGCTCCATTCCCTCCCAGTACAAGTCCCCGTATCTGTCTATTATTGGTGCAGCAGGGTTTGGCAAAGAAAGGTGGTGAGTCAGCGGCAAATGGGGCAACCCCCTTGATAAAAGACAACCGATTTCTGGGTGCAAATTGCAAAATGGAATTCCCCTCCAGGGAATACACCCGGGCTTATCATCTAGTTTACGAAACTTAATAAACTGAATAATTCAAAAGAATTTCATTCAGCCAAAAATTGTTTAATTTTTCATTATTCCAAATCATAGTAAATTATTTCTCAGAATTCTTATGAGGGTTAATTGTTTGCAGCACTCATGCTTAATAGCTTATTTCCTTTTTTGATTTTTTTTCTATTTAACTAGCAGAAAAATGTAGACAGAACTTTTTGTAGCACTTATAAACTTTTTTAACTTTTAGGACTGATAAATTTAAAAAGTTTCCTATCAGCTATTTAAATATGTGCAAAACGTACATTTTTGCAATAAACTTATTCGTAGAAAAAATATACATTAAACAGTATTTTTATGGGGCGTTGTATTTTCAGAACTTACTGATTATAGGGTAATCCTAGCCTTTTAAAAAGTTGAGAACACATCCCCTAATTCACTGCCAGCTGTCGACTGATAACTTTACCTGAAGGAAAACTCCCGTAATCAAATGTTTTTCATGTTTAAAACGTTAAAAAACGAGGACGGAAGCTAACTTCGGCAAGCCGAAGTTTTAATACCCTTGCAGACTTTGCCGAAATTGCTAAAACTGAAAAAGTAGCCAAAGGAATAAGGTATACATAAATAAACTAGATTTTCATCGTTTAATGTCAATTGCTTTTATACTGCAAAAATGTCATATAAAAATATAAAAAAAGGGATACTTTCGCAGCCTTTAACTATTTTTCCTACGGAAGCTATAAGAAATAGACGTCCGATCGGCAAGCGCTTTTACCCTAATCAAGATATGCGTAAATAAATAAGACTTGGAAAAATTTATGTCAGTAGCTTACACACTACGCGAAAAATTCAGAAAATCATCAAATTTGGACCGATTTCACCCTGTTGTTCCTATGGGAGCTGTAGGATATAGACGTCCGATCGTCACGTGCTTTTATCATAATCAAGGTATGCATAAAAAAATACGATTTGGAAAGATTCATGTCAATTGCTTATATACTGTGCGAAATATCCTAAAAATCATTAAATTTTAACCGATTTCACCCTATGGTTCCTATGGGAGCTATAGGATATAGACGTCCGATCGCCAAGCGCTTTTACCCTGATCAAGGTATGCATAAAAAAATAAGATTTGGAAAGATTTATGTTAATAGCTTTTACACTGCACAAAATATCTTCCATTCTTGAAAGTTATATCCGATTGTTCATATGGGAGCTATAGGATATAGACGTCCGATCAGCACGCGCTTTCACCTTGATGAAGGAATGTATAAAAAAATACGATTTGAAAAAATTTATAGCAATAGCTTTTACACAGCGCGAAATATTCTGAAAAACATAAAATTTGGACCGATTTTACCCTATTTTTCCTATGGGAGCTATAGGATATAGACGTCCGATTGCCACGCGCTTTTACCCTGATCAAGGTATGCATAAAAAAATACGATTTGGAAAAATTCATGTCAATAGCTTTTACACTGCGCGAAATATCATCAATTTTTGCTAGATATATCCGATTGTTCCTATGGGAGCTATAGGATATAGACGTCCGATCGGGGCGATTTTCAAACTTGATCTGCGTACACATGTTTTAGGACGCGTGTGAAAGTTTCAGATCGCTAGCTTTTAAACTGAGCTCACAAACGGTATTGAAACAGACGGACAGACGGACAGACGGACAGACGGACAGACGGACAGACGGACAGACGGACATGGCTATATCTTGATCCTGATCAAGAATATATATACTTTATGGGGTCGGAAACGTCTCCTTCACTGCGTTACAAACTTCTGACCAAAATTATAATACCCTCTGCAAGGGTATAAAAACAATATTTTGCTTTCAAAAAGAGTTTTTGAGTTTTTATGGGCTTTTCAATTGGACTAATTAGGTTTTATTTAAATTTCAGGATATTTGCGAGACCTGCGACCGGGAAGCGAAGGAAAAACAGTTCAGCACTTTAGAATCGGAACGTCACACAAATCGCGGGCTGAATCGTTATCGGGATGTTAATCCCTATGATCATTCCCGCATTGTTTTGAAGCGCGGCAGCGTGGACTACATCAATGCCAACCTGGTTCAGGTGGGTCAACTTAATAATGGAAGCATTATTATTAAATATTAATGCACATTTTTTTCCTTCTGTTAGCTGGAGCGCGCCGAGCGTCAGTACATCCTGACCCAGGGACCGCTGGTTGACACAGTGGGCCACTTCTGGCTGATGGTCTGGGAGCAGAATTCCAGCGCCATTCTCATGCTCAATAAGCTGATGGAGAAGAAGCAGGTTAAGTGTCACCTCTACTGGCCCAACGAGTTGGGAGCTGATAAGGCCCTAAAGTTGCCCCATGTCAAGCTCACGGTGGAGCTCATCCGCTGCGAGACTTACCAGAACTTTGTGCGACGGTGGTTCAAGTAAGTTATACTTTGGTTATTGGAGTTGGTTTTAATTTATATTAATCTTTTTAAATATTATATTATTAATTATATTTATAGATTAACCGATCTCGAAACGCAGCAGAGTCGAGAGGTGATGCAATTCCACTATACCACATGGCCGGACTTTGGCATACCCAGCTCGCCAAATGCATTCCTCAAGTTTTTGCAGCAGGTGCGCGACTCAGGATGCCTGAGCCGCGAAGTGGGTCCGGCGGTGGTGCACTGCAGCGCCGGAATTGGGCGCTCAGGCACTTTCTGCCTGGTTGACTGCTGCCTGGTGCTGATCGATAAGTACGGCGAGTGCAATGTGTCCAAGGTGCTTTGTGAGCTGCGCAGCTATCGCATGGGCCTGATCCAGACCTCCGACCAGCTCGACTTCTCCTACCAGGCGATCATCGAGGGCATCAAAAAGCTGCACGATCCCGTATGTATGCGCCACCAACGGCCGGCGGTTGGGAGTCCAATCCGGGGACTGCCAAGCGCCGCCGTTTATATTGGAGATCACGCTTATTCTGGGGTGTCACAGAAATCTTTACAGTATCACTTTATCACAGAATTTCTAGATTTATTAATCGATCTATTGTTTCCTAATTTTATTTAAACCTAAATGCTACTACTCCTAGTTCTCAAAGAAATTTTATTTACAACTGTTTTTTGTTATAAAAACGTTTTTTTTTTATTTTTCATTTGTGTAAGCTAATTAAAGAGAATGAGCTGACGTTGGTTTTCGGTTTGTAAAGATTTCTGCGACAGTCTTGATTATTACACGAGACTAACTGGTATCCTTTACTCCCTCCGCAGACTTTTCTCGACGCTGAGGAACCCATTATCAACAATGACACAGAGACTCACACACTGGATGAGCAGCCGCCGCCTCTGCCACCACGCGTTCAATCGCTGAACTTGCCACTGGCCCCCAATTCTGGCGGCGTTCTTTCGCTTAATATGCGTGCAGCCCATGCCAATGGAGCTGAGGATATCGTCGAACTGCTCGGCGACAAGCTGAGCAAGGATGCCCTGAACAACTTCATCAATCAGCACGATATAATCCACGATGCCGAGGTGGCCGACAGCCGTCCCTTGCCGCCGCTGCCCTCAAGGCCGCTGAGAGCTCTTAACGAATCGGACAGCGATGAGGATTACTTGCTGGATGACGACGAGGAGGATGAAACAGATGAGGATGAGGAGTACGAGACCATTAACGAACACGAAGCCGAGCCAGTTAATGGTCATGTGACGACAACACAGCCACACGCCGACGACGTTAATGCCAACAACGAGAAACCAGCAGCGCCAGCCGGCGAACAAAGCAAGGCCAACGGCATCGATACAATTCCAGGCCAACTCCCAGCCAGGTAATAGTCTAGTCGATATGCTAAACCGCAAGTCAATTTTGCAGCGATTGCTTAGATCCTCTGGCGCATTTTGTTTATCTTCATCGACTGTTTACCACTTTCCTTAAGCATTTAAACTCACCATTTTAATAATTCAAATTTAAAAAATTGTTAAACTTTGTAATCATGCCACTATTTAACCTTTTCAGTCCTGAAAACGAGCTGAAGCGACGAAAACGCAACGAATACCAGGCCAGTCTGGAGCAGAAGGTCAACGACATCAAGCGAAAGCAGCGGGAAAACGAGGACAGCCAGCTGGCGGCAAAGAAACGAAGGTCATTAATCACATATATTGCCGCTGGTGTTGTGGTGGGCGTGATCTGCGCCTACGCATACACGAAGCTAGGTTAAGTGCCCCCGTAGCCACTAAGTAGTCGTAGACCAGTAGTAGCAATAGCTGTATGACGTATTTAGTTGTCGTAGGACACCGATTCCCCTGATACCCGATTTCCGACCACCGATCCTCACCAGCTCGTCCGCCTGGCCTGGCATCTAATGTGGGCACAAATCAAGGGCGAGGCAAGGATCGGATAGGATCAGAGATCGGATGGAATCGCATCGCAATCATCCACGGATTGCGGATGGCGGATTGAGCTGAACGAACGATACACGATGCATAAATATTAGGGAATTTTTATATATGAAAAACAAAAGAAACACGAGAACATGCAACTTAACTTAAACGAGAGTCGGGTAGAAATCACGTAAAATGTAGATTTTGCGCAATAGACTGACATTTTAGAACAAATTTATTTTCTACACTCTTAAAATGGATTGATGACAGACCAGAGTTCCCGATAGAATCACACCAAAATCTAAAATTTACCTTAATCGCTCGCTATGCAATAAATTTGATTATAAATATTATAATTATCAACGATTCAAGCACCCCCAAGTCCACTCACACGCTTCACTTGTTGTTGTACAGCAATTTCTTATAGCATACGACCTATGTATATTAATTTATGAAGATTTATGAGAAACAAACACTTGTTGTAGTTCATGGCAAAATATATAAAGTGCAGCAATGTGCCAAAAAGAAACAAAATAGAGTATGAAAAAGCCCTTCATGACTTTTAATTTAACTTTGCCATCCCGCCCCATACTAACTTTGAATTGTTGTGTTTAAAATTACGTTCGTCTTTAAAATGCACTCTATTGAAACAAACGATATGCAGCTCCATTTAAGCAATATTATAAACAAGAGCAAAGTACACCTATATCTCGTTTAACGCTTTAAGGGGTTTTATAATCAAAATTTTTCATTTTAATCCTGACCCGAACCAATAAAGTGATTATTTTCCATTATGTAATTTTGGACTTGGCTAGTTGCTTATTAAATTAAATTAAAGTATATTTTATGAAGTCGCTAAGCGAAGTATAGGTGTATAATGTAATGATTATAAAATGAACAATGCAGGTTTTGCTATAGCAAAATCATTTTGTATTTAACAAACGAAGGGGAATAAGGAAAGGCTATTCAATGGTTTTTCCAGTAGAGTAAGTGTGTAACCCCAATCCCCAAAAAACATATTTATAATAACGTGTAGCGTGAGAGAATGCAAAGATACGACATGAATTATTTTTTATATGTGTAAACCACAATTTAACGAAATTCAAGTAACCACCCACAAAAGCGAGGCAGTACGAAAAGAAATCGGATGAGCCAAGGAGGATAACTAATAAACGAAAATACATATTTATATTAATTATATTTAACAGTAACAACATGAACAATACCTATAGTAATGCCTAGTTAACTGAACGTCGGCTAAGTACACACCATCCATACACTGAAACAAATCGAACACCACACAACACAAGTACTATATATAATGCCTATGAAAGAATGAAAAGAGAAGTGAGAGAAAGTATTCAAATAAAGCTATTCATATAAGACACAACAAATGCGAACTGCTTGAACTTTGCGTATTTCTTACTGTCATTCATAATATGTTTTCATCTCTCTGTTTTCAGACGCGAAAATCGTCACAAAAAGTTCAAGACAAAGTAACGGCACAGCCCATCCAGTCCAGCACCAACACAAAGAAACAAATTCAACATATCATTACTGCATTATTGTAGCTTTTAATGCCAAAATAAATAATTGTAAATTACGAACCAATTTCGAATTCTAACGTTAATTTATCGGTGAGCTATCGAACTGGCCCGCTGTTATACAACAGACGAGTAGCAGACTGTAATGTTGTAAGTGTGGCCAAGTTTGTGGAATATTAAAGTGTTTTACAATTTTAGGATGGTTATTTTGTTAAAATTTACTAGAACTCTTAAATCTTTAAATCACTACAGTTGCTTGGATTGTTTTTTTAACTTAGTACTTTGGTTTTTATTAAAAAGCATATATAAAGCTGTTTTATAAAAAAAATTAGATTTGTCAGCCAGCGCAAAATTGCCCTTACATTATTTGAGCTAGCAATGAAAAGGTTGCGTATTGTGATGAATATTTTGTCAACACTTTTTATTTACAACCGTATAGCCTGACTCCACTGCAACGTTGGTCATGCGTTTGTGTCGAAAATTAAAAAAATGTCAACGTCAACTCAAATAGCATCAAACTAATTACAATTTGTTTACTAGTTATCAGTTCAAAAAAAAACATTATTTTTAAAAAGTGCGCTAACACTACTCAGTATTTTTGTAGATGATGTGGCTTATCATCTGGTAACACTGCGGATTAAATAATGCATAGTATATTTTTTCAGAGCTTGATATTTCCTTTGACATTTACGTGGTCACATTGACTGTACTGACTGGCCGCACATGTGCTAACAAATTGGGTTTTAAAGATTTGATTTTTATTGAAAAAATCAGTGAAAAGATGCCAAGAAAGCCGAATAAAGAAGTACTGTGCGACAATTGCGGGAGTAGCAATGAGGCAAAGCACATATACTCCGCCCAGAAGGCATTCGTGGGCCGTAAAATTGTGGACCTGCTGGGGACAATCACCCAGAAAACCGTGAGTAGAAAAAGGCGGTATTCTGATTTCCTTATCTGTCTGACCCTCCTCCTCCTCTCAGCTCCCGATAAACTTGGGCCTGAAGGTGTGCTTCCTGTGCGCATCCACCATGATGTCAACCGTCGGCGTGATCGAGAGGACCCAAAAGCTGGTGGAGAAATTTCTGGCCATGCCCCTCAAAAAAACCAAGGACGTCAGGGCACCGGAAAAGGAGGACCATGATTTGTTGGATGCTGAGTCTAGTGATAATCAAGAAAACGATTTTGTAGATCTCACAGCAGAAGCGGAGAAGCCGATGAAACTAAAGAAAAACACAACCATCCGCCAGCGCAGCAAGTCCATGGCTGTCTGTTTAGAAAACACCGTTTTTTCCCAGATCGAGAATGTCAAGAGCTCGCCAAAGAAACTGGATGGCTCTTTCAAGAACCTCGATGGTTCGTCTCAAAAGCAGCAATCCCGAATTTTTGACGACAACCTCACGGACTCTATAAAGATGACGCCCGCCAAACCGGTGTCTACTAAAAAGAAGTCCTTTATTCATCTCTTTTGCAACGGCAATGACGGCATTGAAATACCGTCCGAAAGTGAGGACGAGGAGGCAACCGGAGAGGAAACTGTCAAAAAGGTTATAATTGAAACTAATAACTTCAACTGTGAACATTGCGAATACCATGCTAAATTCCCCAACCACTACAAGGACCACCTGCAAAAAGAGCATGGCCAGCAGCGTCCACGCATTTACTCCTGTCCCTGCTGTCCCAAGTCCTTTGGAGTCCTGAAGTCGATGAAAGACCATTTGTTAGTGACTCATAAGCTTATTGTGGAAACCGTATCGAAGGCCAAGTCAAAGGATAGCAAATCTGAGGGCAAACAAAAGGTTGATTCAAAGCCAAAGGAGCCTAAGACTCAGAACAATAAGCAAAAGGAAGTTAAGTCCAAAGCCAAGAAGCTAGATGAGGTAACGGAGATCAAGGCTAAGGATACGTCAAAAGAGGAAAAGTCAATAAGTAAACAAGTTCTGAACAAAACACAGGATACGTCAAAAGCGGAAAAGTCAATAAATAAACAAGTTCTGAACAAAACAAAGGATGACAAGGATAACGAGACCCAAGAGGAGCGGAATGTTGCCTCCTTTAAAGCCCTAAATGAGTCCTTAATGAAGAAAAGGATGTTCGAGAACGTGGTCGATTCGGATTACACATTCGCCATAAACGGATCTAGTGCATCCACTCCCAGGGCGGAATCTTCCGATTTTCAGTGCGACATTTGCGACTGCGAGCTGACTACCGCTAAGCAGATGCAGGATCACATGAAAACCGCCCACGCCATCGAAAAGCCAAAGATATTCAAGTGCACCATTTGCGACAAGAGTCTGACCACTAAACAGTCTCTAAATAAACACACACTTCTGCATAGCGACGGTGCTGATGTGGGAAAGTCCACCAAGCGAAAAATTCTGCAAGAAGAGGAAGAGGAGGAGGAGGTCGTGAACATTGAGAGTATTTTCCAAACTAACAACTCTGCGGATGATGATGAGGGTCCTAGGGAAGAAAAGATCTTAAAAGTAAATGACACCATGTCCGCACCTGGATCACCCATTAAAAAGGAAAGAAAGAGCAAGTCCAGCTTGCTAGACATATCCGTGGGCACAACTAATGGCGAATCGCCTTCAAAGGCCCAAAAACGTAAGAAACAGAAAAAATCCGAGGAATTAACTTCTGACCAGTTGATGGAGGAGATAAATCATAATGTGAAGCCGCACAAAAAGGCCCGCCTGGACTCCACCGCTGATGAGTCCGTGTCCGACTTCAGCTGCGACAAGTGCGGAAAACGCTTAAAAACGCAGCAGAGTCTTGAACAACATGTCCAAAAGAAACACAGCGTTCTAAAGTGCACCAATTGTAAGAACACTTACACTAGCCAGGTTGACTATGTGGGTCACTTTTCGGAGTGCGGTCCCAGCGATGACCTTCCTTGCGGCGTGTTTTTGTGCAAGAAGAGTTTCTCGGAGGCCAACTTCCTAAGTTCCCATCTGCGCAAGCGCCACAAGTGGGTTTAGGGTCCAATTTGATTGTTATATACATCATCACCTATTGACCAGTTTAGTTTTACTTTAGGTTATTGATTAGTGAATCTATCACTGAGTAGATTTCTTTGATTTTTATTGATGTTTTTACTGGACTTTAAAATGATTTAAAAAAAAACAAAAAATTGGCATTTGTTAAGACATTACAACATTACGGAAACATCTTTATAAATATTTAACGGTTGATTAGCTTTGAAAACCCATTCGAAAAAAGCTAAAAACATCATTATCTGGTGGAGTTCAAATCAATGTTAAAGCCATTTCAAGAAATCTGAGGCAATTTAATGATAAGTTTGGACATACCACTTAAATGGAAATTAATTGTACTCACAAAGAGTATAAAAATCCGTTTCATTTTGGAAAATTATTTTTGTATCAAACAAACAATTACAAATGACTACGATAATAAAAAAATTGTTTTATTTGCTCTTGAAATAAAAATCATCATAAGTATGATTTCTTATACATTTATTTGTCATATTCCCCTAAACAAAAACAACTACAATAGCATGTACGCGAAAACCAACAATATGTTAAATCTGGGAAAGCTTGGATATGGATTTTCCATATAATTCAACAAATGAAATGAAAACAATAGTTACACTTTTCTACTTAATGTAAACGATGATATTGATGACAGCTGATAGGAGGTGGGGGAATTGGATTCAGGGTGCTAGCCTTGTGCTTAAGACGTCACCTTGCCGTGAATTTCGGCCTGGGCCACCTTCATCACATCCAGAGCTCCTCGCTTGATCAGCTCCTCGGCCAGCGTCTTCCCCAGCTGATTGGCTTTCTCGTAGATCCCCCTACTGTGGCAGGCGTGCTGGTAGAGCCCGCAGAACAAGTTCTGCACATCCTCAATGAGCACCGAATGCTGCGGCGTCGGTTGCTCTTCGTCGGCGTAGTCAAACATTTGAACCGTTTTCTGCAGGAACGGGCACTTGGCTTGTGCTGTGTTTCCATTATCCTTGTTCAAGGCCTCCAGACCGCTGCCATGATGCATCGCCGAAAATGGACACTTGGAGGAAGTGGCCACATTGTCCACATCATCCCCAATGCTACTGGCATTACTGGCTCTACTGCTTGGTGGTGTGGGGAGAATAGAAGTTGGTGGTCCTGCAAGACCTCCAGTCACGGGGCACTTGCCCGCCTGAGCATAGGATATCTTGGTCTCCTTGTTAACGTACGGACATTCGCCCATAAAGTCTTGGCCCACGGGCATTTGAAGGGGACAATGGGCAGTATTGGCAGCTTCATTTCCATTGCCATTGTTTTTGTTTGAGGAATCCCCAGAAGCAGCATGAGCTACTGGACACTTGGCAGGTGCCTTAGCCTGATTGAGCGCCACTGGACACTGACCCATGACATCCTGACCGGCCACCAAACGCAGTGGGCACTGGCGGGCAGTTGTATTGGTATTGCTGGTATCAGCATCGCCACCACCAATCCCGGAAGATCCCAGAGCACTGCTATTGCTTAGCACAGGACACTGACTGGCCAGATTCGTGAGCTGCTCCACACTGTAACCGGAAAGAGCCTCGCAAGCGGCAATATCCTCGCAGATCACCGGAGGACTGCCCTGCTGTCGAGGGCTACTCGAATTGGAATCGGAGCCAGAGCCGGAGCTAACGTTACCATTCCTAGCACGCTTTGTAGCTGGCGGGGAATCACAGCTGTTGCTGTTTTCCTCCTGTGGCTGACTGCTGCTTTCCTGGGCTCCACGTTTTCGCTGCTCGACCTCCGACTTCTCCTCATTTAAGGCACAAGCCAGGTGATTTCGTATCTCTATGGCCCCATCCAGGCTCCAAACAGCGCCTGTGAGGGACAGTCCAACCTCCTGGCTATTTCCATTTAAGGGTTCTCCCTTTAGGATACTCCAAACAGCCACTGGGGCAGAGCAACCGCCTCCCAGTGTCTTCAGAAAGCTACGCTCTGCTAAGATCCTGCACGTTGTATTTAGGCACATTAGTTTCTGCAACATGGCCAGAACTTGATCATCATTAGCCCGACACTCCACGGCCAGGGCTCCTTGTCCCACAGCGTAGAGTAAATCGGCCGGCTCCAGCACCTGGCTGATGCGACTCATCCAGCCCATTCTCACCAGACCTGCCTGGGCGAGAATGATGCCAGAAAACTTGGAATCGGCGGCATCCAACTTGGCCAATCGAGTGTTTAGATTACCACGGATATCGCAGACAGTCAAATGGGGATACATCCTCCGGATCTGAGCCGTGCGGCGAAGAGATGAGGTTCCTAAGGAAAATTATAAATGGTTGGTTAATTCAATTAAAATATATATATATATGTTTTTCCAACTAACCAATTACACTTCCTTTAGGAAGCGAAGCTATCGTGTGGCCCTTAAAGTTCTCTCGCAGGACCAGCGCATCTCGGGCATCTTCTCGTTCTAGGACGGCTCCAATGGCCATTCCTGTTGGCAATGCCGTGGGCAAATCCTTAAGCGAGTGCACTACGAAGTCTACGCCCCCATTACGCAGCGCATCCTCAAGATCACGGGTAAATAAGCTCTTTTCACCAATCTTGGGCAGAGATACGTTCAGGACACGATCACCAAATGTCGACATGGTGTCTGAAAACAATAAGTCGATGGGATAATATATTATAGCTTTGTGTTAACAGACACATAATATTTTTATCAAAATCAATCACCACTTAACAGGATATGTGAATTTCAAGTCGAATATATGTATTATAGATTCGTTTTAATAATATTTATATAACATTTATTTTATGATATGTATATTAAAATTTAACCACACCAACCCAAACTGACTATCTATAGATAGGGAAGCATCTTAAATTGATCATTTCGGAAGGTGTTCTATAATTGCAGGTTGTTATGTCATTATCACCTGATAAGGGAACCCAGTAGCACCCCAAGTATCTCAACTTTATGACAGCAATCAACCGAGACATGCAAACTAAATATACATATCGCTCCACCTTCCCCTTCTTCCATTATGGACACGCAATGATAATGTATTTTCCAAATGTTTTGCTTATCGAACCGGGAATACATTTCGAATAAATATACATATCAAAAGAGGATATTGCGTGTGACGTTCGGAACAAAGCTCTCGCCAAATTTCATTTTAATGGAATATTGAAGGGGCAAGTGAGCTTTCTACTCCAAGTATGATTACCATTTTTCGTGTCTGCTATGCAAAAACAATAAATTAAACTGACTCATCGTTCCGTTCTTAAAAATATTTTCATAGCTGACCAATCTTATCAGGTTCAATGGTACTCAAAATGCCTGTTTAAAACCAAATTTCAAAAGATTTCCCTGATGTGTCGACAGAAAGGTGTATGAGTTTATCTTCTAATCAAAAATTTCTACGTTATCAGTGGCAGAACGGCAGCAATCAGATAAACCGATCGGATATGATATGTTCCAAACATTAAATCGTCACGTAATGGCAGAGCGAGTATTTCTACAGCGCTTAACTCACTTAAGCACACAAATTTAAGTATAAATATAATATTACCTATAAAAAAATTATTTTAGCAGTTTTTAATATTGCAATGAGTAATTTTGATAGCTGGTCTCTAAATTGAAAGTAGCTCTTAAACTAGTAAAGTTTATCCAACGTTTTCAAATATAATTCAATTTATAACCCATAACTTATATTGATAATAAATAATACCAAAAAGGTATAAGATTTTTTAGTAATAAAAATTATTTGTATTGAAACCAAAAATTAACATACTCAAAAAATAATTTTACATTTTATTTATAGAAAACTTTAAGAGCCTATTGAAATTTTTTTTCAAATAATCCAAATATCCAAACAAACCAGTTCAGTAACTAATTGAAATATATTTAAGTGACGAGTACTATTTCACTCGTATGTGTATGATATAACATTTTTCGACATTCGCCCTAGTCTCGACAGTAACAAAACCAACAAAAAGACATTGACATTGAGCAAACTTTGCCAAATGGCACGTGAGCGGAAAGAGATGACGAAAGAGCGAGAGAGCCCGTGAAATAAATCAACCGATCATATTTAAACGATCACATTTGTTTTACCACTATCATAATATGAGATAAGCTAAAGGCTCCCCCGGCTAAAATTTTTTTAAGAATCATGCTTCGCTTTCAGTTTCTGTATTTTTTTTAATGCAGCATGAGTTTGATATTTGTTCGGGACCGCTTCCGAAGCCCCTTCCAGTTCCGATATCTCTTTACCCCGGTATCAGTTTCCAATTCCCCTTTCAGACGTTATCCCAATATTTGCTCCTACTTTCACTTACGTATCTCGAATTTTTGCTTGGGATATAGCTTCTGCAGTCGGCCGATGACATGTTTGGTTTGAATCAAAGCCAGCTGCAAAGAGAGGAGAGTTTAATTAATAAATTGACAGCCTATTTAAATGTTAAATGTAAATGAACCGAGAGAAAAGTAAAGAGAGTGGGGCACTCAAGTCGCAAATAAGTCAAGTAATTTCAAATTAAAATGCCAGCAGCACACAGGTGGCCTTCGCTTCAAGCACGATCAAAGGTGGCTCAGTGCAATTAACACAAAAATTATTAAGAGGCCCAGCTTAAAATCAAGTTTTGAACTGGAGATCAAGAGAGGGGTGGCCTAATAAAAATCATCAACAAAAAAACATGTACACATAGTATAGGCTCGGAATATGAAGTTTCGGAGAAATAACTTTAAAAGATTTCTAAATTATTTCGTCTTTTCTACTATTTATATTTTAATTGTTCAAGCACCAAAAAAATGATAAAACACAACTTAAGTACAGTGCACTCTCGACAAAATTTGATGATTAGGTAATTAACATATATTAATTATTTGGGTTTGGCTGGCAAACAAGTATTAATAAAGTGGTTTTCCGTCCATGTTTCGGGTGTGCACTGTATAAGTTTTGCCTCTCTCTTCATTGCAAAAGTGCGTGTTGTTGCTATTGCGAATTGTGTAACAGAAATCAAAAAGCAGGGCAAGTACAACAACTACACCACGAGAGGAGCAACAAGTCTCTTGCAGAAAAGGGAGGTGAGTGGGGTGGAGTAGCAGGGGAGGAGGAGAAGGGGAGAGCCAACAAAATGTGATTGGAAATTCAAATGCAGGTGAGCATTCCAATTCAAAGCGGATGTGCATATTTTGATTCTCGACGAGCACCTACCTCGCTCTTTCGCGAACCAACGCGTATAACCTTTTCCTGCGAAGACATTATATCCGCCGTAAAGTTTCAGTAATCAGTATTGCACAATGATTGTTTATGCTAGGTTATTTGTTCGTTTTTGTTGCTGGGCTGAAGTGAAAGTGTGCGCGAGAATGACAGCTTTCGGGGTCACGTTGGCAGCCACAAAACCCAAGAGTGCGAAAGAGAGGAAAACGCGGAGCCTCGGTAAATGATAAACGATGAATGAAAATATAAATGCACGCACTATTCAAGACACATAGTTTAGTTATTGTCACGTTGGCTTTGTACTAATCGGTGACTAATCTCTATATTTTCGAATTTTGTAGCTGCTGGCCGATACTACGACCGAGCATAAAAGTGAATGACAAAGTGTGACCGCGGGTGGACCGTTAAAATATACGAAACATGGCCGTTAGGGTTGCCTAATGCTCGGCCACTGTTTGGGACTAGGGCTTTCGTAAAATCCATAAAAATACCGCGGTTCAAAAATAAATGTTTTCACTTTTAAAAATAACAATTATTGTAAAGTTTACGCATATAATTGAGTATCATTACAATCCAATTAAATTCAATATCAATACAATTTTGAATCAAAATATATTTTCCAACAGATAACCGAAAAATACCACTTAGAAAAAACTGGCAAGTTTGGATTCGATTACAAATGCACCCGCCTCCAACCTATCGGTATCAGCTGTTTGGAGCCAAAGCAAAACAAAGGGAATGCCGAACTAACAACAATGTTTTTGGTGAGAAAATAGCTATCATTTAGCAAATAAATAATAGTTATTAAATCCTTCTTACCAGTTCATCAGCCGTCCCACGCGGACGCTGGGCAACCGCATGCAGGCGGTTCGCGAGCGTCTTGGTGCGGATTTAGCAGACAGACTGGACGAACTGCATCGAAATGTGATGAGGACTGGTCTGGTGTCTACGCAAGAGCTGGAGGAAGCGTTCCGCAAAACACGGGACATGGACCATAACCCGAACCGGTTGAATCTGCTCTGGCTGCTGGGCATCGTCTTTTTCATCATGGTGGCGACTCCGGTCTTCTATGAAACCATCTCGTTCCTGCTGGGTGTGCGCTGCTTTCTGCCCAACAACTACTTGGTTTGGGAGGCCACTCGACCCATCAGCGACTGCGAATTCTGCAAGGGCGTGAGGGCACCTCTTATCCTGGACAATCTCACCATGGAGGAGTTTGCCCCGCACGCCTACTCTTCGCTGCCTATTATTGTCAAGCGGGCGGTGGCCCATTGGCCAGCCCAAAAGCAACTCAACTTTGCATACATCAAGGATCTGTACGAGAGGGTCCAGGGCGCAATGGAATCGGACTGCCAGTTCCTGCATTTTAACTCTGATCTCAAGAAGCTGAAGGATGTGTTTGCCATGTCAGCAGAGCGTTCAAATCTGAGCCAGGGTGTGCCCTGGTTCGTAGGCTGGAGCGTCTGCCAGCCGGCTGTCCTGGCGGAGCTCAGAAAACTGTATCCACGCCCTCATTTCTTGCCTGTCGATGCCGAAATGCCCCACACGGATTTTATTTTAATGGGCTACGAGCAGGGAGCTGTGATGCATGTAAGTCTAGCCTGAAAAATCAAACAATATAAGACTAATCGTTCAGTTTTGTTAGCTGGACTACATCCCCCGCTTAATGTGGCAGGCCCAGCTAAAGGGCAACAAGAGCTGGTTTTTGGCACCCGCCCCCGAGTGTGATCACCAGTGTCAGCCCTTCTCCTTCTATGTGGAGCCAGGGGATGCTGTACTAGTGGATACGCGCATCTGGTACCATGCAAATACTATTCCCAAGGGCCAGTTCTCTCTCACCGTTCAGTCCGAGTACGGATGATTGCCATGTTAAAAGTCTGCGATTAAGAAATTAATAAAACCTATGTTTATGTTTAGAAATTAATTATTTAGCCCCGAAGTTGTTACTTAATGCTAACCGAATTCATTTTTATATATATAAAGAGGCAATAGTAAATTATTAACCATTCAATTTCGAACTAATTTCATAGAAGTTTGTCTTAATCTTACATTTCGCTTAATTATACTCCTTTAGGTAGGATTTAAAAAACCTTTACTTCTATATTAAGTAATTGCTACATACTAAAATCATTTTTAAAATTTAAGCCGCCACCACTTATGTTATCGATTACCGATAATTTCGGCGGAAGACATTTAAAAGAAGTCATCAAAAGAGGAAGAGTAAACAATGCAAAATACAAATAAAATGGAAGCCAATGTGGATTTTAGCAGGATATCGTCTAAGCTGTACAAAAAGTACCCACAGCATGTGAAGAACCTGAAGGACGTGTGCGTTTCCAAGACTGTGATGAAGCCGGGAGAGTTCTTTGACAGCCTTCAGCAGATGATGGAGGAAGAGGCGGCCACCACCACGCCCTCAAAGGATCTGAGCTCGGTGGCCGAATATGCTGAGCTATTTAAGACTTTGGAGGAGTACCCGGCCAACCTGCAGAAGGTGCCCAAGAAGCGGGAGCTGCAGCGCACCAATTCGACGATCTTGCGGGGACCGGATGAGTCGGTGGCCACGGCCATTAACACCTCCAACGTTTCGCTGAGCCTGACGCGTCTGGAGGAGCAGCGCAGTGCTGTGGATGTGTACAACGACTTCAAGGCTTTCCAGCGAAAGCTGGCCAAGATCTACGACGAGGCCACCGCCCTTGACACCACAGAATCCATATACAAACAAAAATTGGTTCAGCTCCATGGATTTGCACAGCAGTTGGAGAAGCTGATGCCCACCGACGGTGAATCCCCACCGGACGCATTTACACTAGAGCAGCAGCAGACGCTACAAACCATCGCCGCCAACATGGAGCAACTAAACTACCTGCGCTCCAACAGCCTACAGCTGCCCAATCCCACCGAGATCTTGGCCAATGGAAGTCTAGCTGCCCGCTTGGAAATGTTCGTAGAGGTACTCACCTATACTCTCCTTGAAATCAGCAGCTACAACATGGCTTTAATTTAAGAACATAATTTGTCAAGTTAACTAAGCTTCAAATATAATTTAGTTGGTTTAAATTAATGATGATTTTAAAGCCTTGTAAGAAAAATTATTTTTAATGAACCAAATAAATAAATAAAAATGTTGAATCTAAAATTATTGGCTTTGCAGAAGAGTGGCCTAAAACCTACACTTCTAAGCCCATAACTTCTCTTACAGGCATCCGATTTACAAATGGCATACGTCTAAATGATTGTGGTTTAACTCTCTAAAAAACTGTGTTTCCAGTTTGTTTTGTATTTTAAGGTCGATTTTCCGTAATTTTAATGATGTTACTCCTTTCCAAATTTTCGAAAAATTGCTTTGCGGAAAAGTCGCCTAAAACCTGCACTTCTAAGCCCATAACTTTTTTTTACAGACAGCCGATTTGAAAGTGGCATACTTCTAAATGATTGTGGTTTAACTCTCTAAAAAACTGTGTTTTCAGATTGTTTTGTATTTTGGGGTCGATTTTCCGTCATTTTAATGATGTTACCTCTTTCCAAATTTTCGAAAAATGGCTTTGCAGAAATGTGGCCTAAAACCTGCACTTCTATGGCCATAACTTTTCTTACAGACGTCCGATTTACAAATAGCTTACTTCTAAATGACTGTGGTTTAATTCTCTAAAAAACTGTGTTTACAGTTTGTTTTGTATTTTGGAGTCGATTTTCCGTCATTTAAATTTTCGAAAAATGGCTTTGCAGAAAAGTGGCTTAAAACCTGCACTTCTAAGCCCATGACTTTTCTTTCAGAATGATTGTGGTTTAGTTCTCTATAAATTAATTTTGGCAATCGCTTTTATTGTTAAAAATATGGCAATGATATACATTTTTTAAATTAGATGCTTATAGATAAAATCATAGATATAATCCAAGAGTTATGGCGAATCCTCACTGGCATTCTGCTCCTCCTGGAGATTTCTCATCTGGCCGACGGTATCGTGGAGGGCCACCAGCTTGCGCACGGAGCTTCCGAGGTGCTCCACGCGGTGCCTGTAGGCCAGACAGACTTCCACAGGGCTATAATCCTCTTCCCGCTGGTCGCTGCTTCGCATCAGGATCTTGAAGTTCTCCAGGATCTTGGACAGGGCCAGCTCACAATTCGGCGTTACATTGTACACTTTTTGGGACTCTGTTGGACCAACATTCTGAGCGAGAGCCTTGCTAATGGACTCAATGTGGAGCAGCGTGTTGTTAGATCGCTCCATTATCTCGTCTATCTGGGACAACTGCCTGTTCAAGGTCTGCCGATTGGCTACTGCAATTTGGAGCAATGTATAGCCATCTTGGCACTGGTTTAAGTAATTATTTAGTTAATATTTACCCATTCCCGCCAACATTTTGTCGACAGCGTCAGACATTTCGAATTTATTGTTTTGTTTTGCCGGAGAATCAGAGTGACCGTGGCTGGGGAGCTATTATAATACCTTTGAAATCTAAAAGGCTTACTAATCGGTTTTACTTCGTTACTATCGAAATTTAAATTAGGCTTAACGTTTAAAGTTTTTGAGCTATGTGGGTTTAAGGGCAAACGAACGACTCTTTTTCTCTAGCTCAGGATATCGATTCCAGGTTTATTTGGATGATGAAAAATTGGACTTAAATTAAATTTTTAAGCTGTGAATGTCAATCGGCTTTTGAACAAAATACATTTGTTTAATGTTTTTGTTCTAATTTAGTGACTACAAGAGTCTTAAAACTTCGGCTTGCAAAAGTAAGGTACAGTTCCCAATTTTTTATATCTAAACAAAATAAATTGCCTTTCCTATATTATTTTTACCCATTTCTAACACAAAAAGTTATTTTAACGTTTGGTTTATTCAGTTGTTCAAATTGTATTTGACTTGTTTTCTATTTAAATTTAAGTGTAATCCGTTTAATGGTTTGCATTACAATTACAATTTACTCGTACACATCCTCCTTGTCGGCGACGTACTTAATAATGTCGGCAGGTTTAAGCAGCTTCTCGGCATCGGAGTCGGGGATCTCGAATCCAAACTCGTCCTCCATGGCCATGATGACCTCCACATGGTCCAAGGAGTCCAGTCCCAAGTCGTTGATGAAGTGCGACTCAATGTTGAGCTGTAATATCAAGCCATTAGCATTATGAATTTTATTTTTACTGAGCTTTATTCAGTTCTCTGAGGCGACCATTGCACTGGCAAAGGCAATATGTGGCGTTTACCTTGCTGGGATCGATCTTGTCGTAGAGCTTAAGCACAAGCAAGACGCGCTCATTGATCAGCTTCAGCGAGAGCGGCGGTTTCGCCGAGTATCTGCGCACCGATTGCGTTTGCCAGCGACCTCTGCACTCCTGGTTTGGATGGCCCAAAAGAGAAGAACAAAACACAGACCGAGTTAGTGGCGCCATGGAAGTGGATAGTTTACCTTATCTGCTGTGACTTTGTCGTAGGCGGAGACAACCTTCAGCACGCGGAACTTTATGTCCTCGATGGTGCTTTTGGCCGAGTAGCTGCGCACACCGAATTTCTGTGAAATATACCGGTTTAGTGTAAGTCCTAAACAATTTGATTCTTGGCACATCAATAACTTATTTGATTTGATTTTTGCAGACTTCTACAATCAAATTAAACAATTATAAAAGGGAGTCTATACACAAATTTATTTTCATCTGTAGAAAAAGTTTTATCCTTTTTTATAATGCTGTCTAAACACTCCATGACGTTAATGTTGAAATTTAAATAATATTTGTTTAGAGTCTTATACTGTTATGCAGTTATAATAATTAAAATAGTTTTCCGATGTTTAAATAAACAAATGTCACAAATTTTCAATTGAGTTTTTTTTGCTGTTTAGATATTTGTCTAGATATTGTGAATATTTTTCTAGATATATTTTAAAAACTTGAAAAGGAATTTACGGTTTAAATTCAATATAACTTTGATTATTTACAATTTAAAAATGTTTTAGTGGTCGAAATTACAAATTCGAAGAACTAAATTGCTTTAACTATATTGCTGAGTTATCAAAGCTCTTTGTTAGCCAATTTCCACTGTAGTACTATCAAACACACACACAGGCAAGCACCGGTGTTGCAGGTGTGTGTGCGATAGATAGAAACAATCATGTTTTATGCAAAACAATGTGATGCAATCAATTTGGGTGGTACGACAGCCACATGGCTAACTCCTTCTGCAGTTTGGAGATCTCAATTCCTGGTGGTTACGTTTTGGAACCATAAAGACCCCAAAACCCCACCGTTTGCAATGAGGTTAGGTCTCGAATTGGTGGATTGACCGATTAAGTGTCCTGCAAGTTATTTCCCTAGACATCCGCTTACTTGGCTCAATTGGCTGGCCATCGATGGCACGGCGATCTTGTGCATCATCCTGGATGCCTGTGACTGGACGAGGACGCCGGAGGCGATCCTTCGGGGGGCCAAAGTCGCCGCCAGTCGACTGCAGCTGCGCGCGATCTGTGTGAACGACATCTCGGTTCTCCTGCAACGGAAATACACCCGGTTTAATATCGCGTCTTTCCAGGCAGTGCACAAACGCAGGGCACAAATATTGAGCAATATTTACACTGAGTTTTCAAGATTATGTAAAAGTTCTGGAGCAAGTGAAAGACAGCAAGTGACAGTGTGGCCAGAGAAGCGGTGCTGTGTAAAACCAACTACTTTGTGACAAACCTAAGGAACTCTAAAAAATACTATATCTACAGGCAGACACAGTCTGGTAGCACTGCAATCAGCTGACTTATCGATACAAAATTATCGGCAGCAGTTGTCACCAATCGAATGGGCGGACAATTTGAAATTTTCAAGATAAGAGATTAGTTAGGGTTAAAACGCCACGTTTGCTTTTTGCAAAAAAACACGTGAGGAATAGCAAACCAAGTCAAAATGATAAGAGCCCAATTCATATACAAACTGTCATATATTTATAAGTACTTTTTATAAACAATATACATTAAGTTGGAACATTAGTCATATAAAATTCAATTACACAACACGCTTGTGCTGCAGTAACAAAAATACATAGGTACAGTATAAATTACACGAATATAACAAAACAAATGTCGTTTGACTTAAAGCCACTTTTTTTGTTGAAAATAAATTCCTTATTGCGTTCCAATCTGCAAGAGAAATAATTTAAAAATAAGGTCAGCGATAAGGGGAATTTTTCTGGAATAACGTCACTTACAATAACAAGATGGCCCTTATCACGAACCACTCCCGGCTCAGCACCCGTTTGGATGTCGATGACGCCGCCCTTGCCCTTGACGACGTTGTGTTCCAGCCTGTAATGAAGTAAAACAATTAGTTAGTTAGTTTAATCTTCTTAGCATAGTCCTTTAAGAACTCACGAATTTCTGTCCACAATGGATATGATCTGAGCCGTTCCCACAGTCTCGATAATATACGTGCTGAACTCGATGATGCGCGGAATAATCAGGATGAGGTCGCCCTTGTCCTTTTTCAGCTCCAGCGGTATCCGGATGACCATCAGGTCGTCGTTGTGGTTCGTCAGCGTGAAGTCAATCTTGTCCAGCGGCAGCCGATGCTTCTGCTTGTACGTCTTCCCATCAAGGACATAGACAGCCTTGTTGCTCAGCAGGATGAAGCGATCGCGCGACTTGTAGCCATGCCTATCGAACTTGGTGCAGAAGGTCTGGTACTTTAGCTGCTCGCTGCCAAAGGTGCTGGCCACAAAATCGTTGATCCGCTGGATGTGTTCCGTGGGAATGCGATCCTCCTGGAACCAAGTGGGCACACTCACGGCATAGTTGTTCTTCTTGCCCTTGAAGACCTTCTCAGCGAGCACCTTCAGTTCGAATTGCCTCTTCTGCTGAGGCGTCAGTTTCAGGCGGTAGATCCTGGCCAAATGAAGGCGATGCAGGCGGTGCAGGATGACGGAGGCCTCCTCACAGTGACCCGGGGCATGGGGCCAGCTCTTGTCCAGCACCTTGGTGGGCAGCTCCTTGGCTAGCCGGAGCAGCCACATTCGCTTAGAATTGGCAATAAAGTCCTCGTTGAAGCCGTTGGGAGCATCGTTACGGGTGATGAAGCCCTTGATGAAGGCCCTAATCTTATCAGCCGCCTCCCTTCGCTGCTTGGCCGCCTGTTGGGCCAAACGCCTGCGGCAGTAGCTCTGCAGGATGATCACCTGGGCCTTCAGCTTCAGATACTTCCTCCTCTGTACCAATCCCTTCCAATGAGCCTGGATAATGGCCGCGATGTCATGCTTCTTGGCCTGGTAGGCATCTTCCGTATCGAACAGGGTTCTTGGCCAGCGGATAAAGAGTTTCGTCTCACCCACCCGGAACTTCTCCTCGTCCCAACCCAAGTCCTTGACCAATTGCTGCACTCCCGCCTTCGAGCCACCGGGTCCCTTGTAGTTCGGCCAGGTGGACTTACTCAGGGGCTTATAGCGCTCTAGGAAGAGGTCATAGGTGCGACGATAGGCGAAACCAGCTCGCCTCACCCGCAGGTTCTCCATCAATCCCAGATACTTCACCTGATGCAGCACCAACTCGTCGTTGAAAATAGTAGCGGTCTGGAGGTCATTTGGCTTGATGCAGCGAATATAGCTAGGCTCCTTGCACATTAAGATGTCCATGAGGTTATTCAACGAAGCACGGAACTGGGTAATGGCCGTCTCCGGCCGCTTTAAGCTGCGCAGCTCCTTCTCGGGGAAACAACTCCTCACAATTCCATTGCCCGCCTTGCTAAGGGTTTCCTTCAAATCCCTGAACAACAGATCGTTGTTCTTGTCCAGGAAACCATTAACGCTATAGGTGACCTCGCCGGCGTAGTGAACCAAGCGGAACTCATCGCGCAACATGATCTTCTTTATGTGGGCAGGTGCCTTCTCATGACAAACATAGTGATGATGCAGGGACAACTTTTGGGTGAGCTTCTCGAGGAAGGTCTTATCCGAGGGCTCTCCCGGACGCAGGCACTCCTCGTCCAGTATAGAGATAATACCCTTGTGCTTCTCCTCGATCAGGTTGCAAATCACCTTGTTATCAAAGTACTCCACGGGTATCCACTCGATTCCCTCCCTTCTGTACTCATCCTGCTCGGATTTCAGGGTCAACTCAATGAACAACTGCTGCAGCTTCTCGTTGCAGAAATTGATGCAAAACTGCTCGAGGCTGTTCTTCTGGAAGATCTCAAAACCATAGATATCCAGGATTCCCATGACATTGTTCCTGCCTCCACGTACTTCCTTTGCCTGCAGCGAGATATTTAGTCGTTGGACCAACCATGAAAACAGTCGATCGTAAACAGCCTTAGACAGGGCATCCCGGGCATAGATAGCCAGCTCCTGGTTCAGCGGTGAGGTCACCACATCCCCTCGAGCATCGATGGTGCGATGGGTCAAAGCGGCCTCCAATTCACTGGCATTTACACCCAACAATCGGGCAGCGGTTACAACCAAATCACGGCTCTTCACCTTGGCATTGCCCTCCACCTCATTGAAGCCGATGTTACCCAGGTGCAGGATACTCGCCACAATCCCGAAGATGTCTCGCTGCTCCTCCTTGCTGAAATCAATCACACTGAGGGCCTGCTGCACCTGCTTAAAGCTTTCAGCATCGTTGATGCTCGTCACGCTGCCATTGAGCTGTGAATTGGAAGAGAGTTTAGTAAACAGAGGTTCAGGGTACAGGATAGAGAATTTATCCCTTTTAAGGACCCACTTACCCCGTCGGTCAGGTAACTGTATCTGTCCAGAGCCCGCTCCAGACGTAGTTCCTGCAGAAGAGTCTCATCGGCTCCTGCCAGCAGTTGGTAAAAGATGTGGAAGTTGCGCTCGCCGCCCATTTGGGCTACCACTCGCGACTTCTCCAACAGATAGTTCAGGATATTGCCTCCAACCGGAGCTCCCTTGAAGTCGAACTGGATGTCCATGTACTTTCCAAAGCGGGAGGAGTTATCATTTCGGTTCGTCTTGGCATTTCCAAAGGCCTCCAGCACGGGATTGCTCTTCAGAAGCTTATCCTTGACACCCTCGACGGTCGTTTGGTTTCCAGAGCAGGCGGCAATGAACTGCAGCACCTTCTTGGAGGCCTCTGTCTTGCCGGAACCACTTTCTCCGGAGATGAGCACGCACTGGCCACGGTTCTCCTCGATCAGCGAACGGAAGGCATTGTCCGTCACCGCGAAGCTGGAAGGTCGTTGACATTATTAAATGATTTTCTGGAATGGTTTCATCAATTTGGGACTCACACGTGTGGAGGCATCTCGTAAAAGTGCTTATTCCTGTACGCCTTGACATGGGCATCGGAATAGATAGGCAGCTGCTTGTAGGGATTCACAGAGATCAACACCTGGCCAATGTAGGTCTATAAAAAGAAAAATTAAATTGGTGGTTAAATTTGACCGAGATTTGATATTATATACTCACATAAATCAGGTCCTCCTTGAAGCGCTTCTTCAAATTCTCAATGAAGGCTTCATCGCTCTGGTAATTTTCGAGGAGCACAAAGTCCTGCACACCAGCACGATCTCGTTCGTGCAAGCCCGTCTCCATGTTGGGCAATGTAGTAAAACTAAAAAAGACATAAGTCAGATTAAGAAAAAAAGTTTTGCCATGTTTTATTCCTTAAAACAAGAAAAATCTTGATCTAACAACAAAACTAATTTTCTTTGCAGATCGTCTAGAAATGATATAGAATTCCCTGAAAAGTCAATATTGATTTTTGCACCTTCCTGAGAAAACCCTCACTATTGAAACTTATCTTTCACCAACCTTATCTTACCGCCCGGCTGAAAGGGTTGCCATGTTTAACCGCCTTGATTAGGACAAACCTCTTGAGAAGCACCATAGTAAAGCCCCATAGAAAGTCGAAAACCCATAGATAAGATTTACGTTAAGTTTATATAGTATACGAACAATAATTTATAAGAACCTTGCGGAAGTGAGGACTTCAGCAAGGGATGACCCATGAATGAACTTTATTATTGACAATTCCGAGTACCATGACTTCATCAGACAAATCCAATAATGTTTTATCTAAGTCTCATTGCAATCCAATCTTTGGTATTTATAGAAGTATAGTAGAAGTATGGTGGGCAGGTGCAATTCACCTTATCAATGCCATATTTCATATGGCCAGGCGAAGGAGGTAAGAGTTGACTTTATTGGATGACTGCCACAGTTCTACTGATACGCGTCGGGTAAATCCATAAAGAGAAGATTATGCAATGGATTTTGCGGTCAAAAAAACACGGAATGGAATGTCTAAACTCAAAGAGCAGGCTTGAAAGTTTTATTTTTTATGATGTTTCTGTAATAAAAGCACTATGATAGCGGTTTACAAAGGGCACTTTGGGTATAAATCAATAAGATCACTGAATCACATTTATACATCCCTAGATAAGTTCTGTTTATATCCTTCTCTACCTGGTCATGGTTATTCAATTATCCTTTTTCCTTTTTGACTAAGATTATTCCACGACACTTGGGTTTACACAACTGGACTTGAATCTCTGGAGGAGATGTCAGAATTCGCTCATATTCCGCCCTTTGACGGCTCCGTTGGCAAACTAAACCGATCCGTGGAGAGTTGAGGCGTTTTAACCATCAATACTTCTCCACTCTACATATCAATTGGCCTCGTCGCCGTCGTTGTTTCTGTATTTCTGTTGTTTTTTTGTTGGCACATTTATCAACGATAATATACCAATGGCTATGAGGAGGAGAGCAATGGGCCGCTGCCAATCAGTCCCCGATTAGATAGTGCCTTTTGCGAATAAACTCGGGACCCGATTTAGGAAACCATGACAAAATCGCAGCAAAGCTAAGAATTCCGGAGCGGGAATTCTGGCGCTCCCGTATCTGAGATCACGATTGGTCTTGGTCGTATGCGTCAATCCCGAAGTTTTGCGTTCTCATCTCAAACATTGAATGGTTTGAGATATTTGCCATGAATCACAGTCGTGAATCAAATATGTTTTTATTGAAATTTAAATAAAATTATTTGTACACCATATAAACGAAATACATATAGGTTCACTACCTTATTTTATAAGTGTTCTTAATGCCATTTAGATAACATTTTTAACTCTTTATTTGCATAGAAAACATTACTTTTTCCTACCTTCTTTTAAAAACAATTATTAACAGGGAAAAGGTTTTATAAAAGATAAGAATGAGAAAAAAATTAACACATATTTTAAAAGTTTGTAATTGTTATTTGGAACATTATTCATCAAGTAAATCATCTTCGTTTAATTAAATTTTTTGTGTAAAAATTCGTATATTGGCGAATGAATCATTAATATAATCTGTCAGATAATTATGATTTATTAACTTTAATGTACAAAATATAAAAGCATCATTACTTTTACTTTTTCCATAACTTAGTATTGCTTACGATTTACATTCCATAATTGAACATCTCGGAGAAATATCTTCCATTAGGCCATAAATCAGAGATATTATTTCGATAGACATAGTCTAATATAGTACTTCTATGGTCCTTAATCGTTTGTAGACTGGACCTGTGTCATTAAATCATCACTTTCACTTCAAATAAGGGAAACACAAGTAGTAAAAAGATATACACGCAGTTAATTAATTAGAACCTACTGCTCTGGGGACTTAAAGATTACTGGCTCGCTTCTGGGATAAGGCTGAGTCTGAGTCAGAATTCCGAACCTCGACTCAGAGACCTACTCCAGTGAACATTAGCACTGTGTGATGAGCTATCAGTGCGCTAAATAAGTCATTGCCGGCATGCAAACATTGTAAGTACACACACTTCAATTGATGTCGCTATTTATTGATTCTCCCCCATTTCATTTCATCTGCTCTTGCTCAATTCAGAAATGGGTTCGATGGGGAGATGGGGAAGAAATCGAATGCCTGACTAATTACGAAATGTTTGCCGGCGATACAAGACGGGTAGTCTTCCCAGGAATTCTCGAAGAGACCAGCAGACACGTCCCAGTCTTGGAGGCCGAGCTTACTGCAAGTCGATGTTTGTCACATAATTGTTTAATTGCACGTAGGACAGATTGATGTGGATAGCCAAGAACCATATATAAATGTATGACCCAATGGGGGCACTGCCTTTTGCAGTCTTTTTACCTTTTTTTTTAGCACCTCTAACAAATCGCCAGACGCCCAAGATTATGCTACGTCTATTTAAGGTATCAACAAGTGAGAACGAAATCGATAAGGTTTCAACCCAGCATATAGATTTTCAAAGTGGTGGGCCTATTTTGGCACGCATTTTTCTGTTTTGATAAAGGAGGGGGATTCCACATAACAAATTTTATTATGAGTAGAAACAAAAGAATCAGATACTATTATGATTAGATAAACATATTAGTGGTTATTGATAAACAATATATTTATCTGAGTAATGGGTTGATTCATAAATATAAGTATGTATGTGTGGGTTGACTTTCGTTTTATATTAATTAATATTGATTTCTTCCGCTTACATCTGTCCAAGTTAGACGTAGTCTAACATAGCTGGCCATGTGGACTAAGATCTAAATATAATGTTTAATTACATTAACTTTCTCAAGGTTTTTTTTCCTTTCCCTGAGGGAGTCGTTTTTGTCGGCTTTGTTCTACACATTCTTTTATCCCCGTTCAGCTCAGTATTGGAGGGGAGAACTGGTTTCTACGATCCAGAAATGCTCCACCATGTGATGTAACAAAGAACTCCGGCTCTTAGTGGTATCAAGAAACTCGTAAACATGTCTACGACACACGACCCATAACGGAACCCAAAAACATGAGTCCCACCCAAACGAAAAAGTTCTTAAGCTTTTAATATCACACAGCCAAAAAAAAATACAATTTAGAATTTTAAAATTATGGATAGACTGGTCTTGATATGAAACCGCTTATTTCCTGACAAATGGAAAAAAATTGGCTGGACAAAATGAGTTGTACAAATGTAGCTTGAAAAACAATAAAAGGAAGTGAATGATTGTAGCAGGCAAATATAAAATACTTCCAAGGGCAAATGGCTTAGAAATTCTTTATTCACTTGAATATATTTCCAAGGGCAAATGGCTTCGAAATTCTTTATTTACTTAAATATATCTAACAAGTTTTTCTTCAGTGAAGTATGCTTTCTTGATATGCATACAAATGACGTCATATATCAAGTGGCAATATCGCGGGATATTGAACTCTTCGAGTTAAATTGAGAAAATGCAGGGCTGGCAGAACGATTAAAGAACTGAAAAATGGAGAACGGAGAAGGGCAAGAAGTTGGAAGATCCGACATGGCCCCCATGATCATATGCAAATTAATGATCGTAGTTATTAGAACGTTGCTTGATTGATCCGAGATCGAGTTTGAGATGAAAGAAATAGAAAGAAAGCCAGTCCAAATTTGGGACACTGCATTGGTTTATTATAATGAGCAAACCGGGAAAAAGATGCTAGATAATCAAAGTGAATAGATGCACCGGGAGCATCTGACTGTATAAAAAGGGAATGCAGTTGCAGTGGTCAGGTTATTCCGATGGCGATCATGGATCGAAGAGTGACTGCGATTTGTTTAGGTGAGTATAGATTGCGTTTTCTAAAATAAATATTTACTTAAAGGGTATATCCTTTTAGTTATCCTGCACCTGGTGGGCAATGGCTTTTGTTTCCAGGATAAGGCTCCCATACAAACGAGCCTGATTACCGGACAGGCTAGGAATGATAAGCAGCAACAAGTGCTGGATGATCCGCTAGGAAGTGGACGCGGAATCGACGAGCACCTGCTGAAGACCATTGGTAAGGGCGGCATCAAGCTGGTGATGGCCTCTGGCACCCCGACGACCACCCCGAAACCGTCAGTACAACATCATTACTATTATCCACCAGAGGATCAGCAGCATCCGCGCCAGTACGGCTATGGTCCTCCGCCGCCCTGGTCGCCCGCTCCGCCCGTTTACCCGCCGCCACCGCAGCGTCCTTGGGGGCCACCGCCTCCTCCAGGACCTCCACCAGGGCCACCACAGCCCCAGCCGCCCTTCTTCAATCCCTACTACAATGGCTACAACTACTACGGCGGCTATGGCGGCTATGGATATGGGGGCTATGGTTATCCCGGCTATGGCGGTTATCCTGGCTATCCTGGCTATCCCTACTATCCATTCTACCGCTCTTCGGCGGGCGGGGACGTTGATAATCAACTGCCCGGTCCCGAGGGACTAACACCCTCGCCAATTCCGGGTGTGTTTCAAGGCAGGACAGTGCTCTCACAGAACTTTCTAGAGGGCAGAAACAACGCCAACATTGTGCCATTATATCACCTGCTCCAAATGGCCAGGGCTTAAATTACTGTGAACGAATGCTCAAAAAACTGAATAAATTATATATTTTATATACTTCTTGATGACTTCTTTTCTTTACTAAATTAATGGACTTATAACTACAAACCTGAATTCTAATCAAGAATATGCAGTAATGTTATATAACAATTTTTCCACGTGTAATAACAAAACCGACCTAAAGTAGAAAGAAATTAACCCCAGATCAATGATAATTTAAATCATGAGAATATCTTTGGATACATAGTTTTGCAAGATCATTAGACCTGAAGAGTTCTTAGCAAAGGCCGCTGACCGAAAGAAGCGATGATCGAAATCGTTCAGACGATCGTCATCGCCATTTCTCGCACTCGCAAAGACTGGAAATAAAAATTCAAACGAGGCGATCACAAAACACACAAAATCTGGACTCGCAGCTGCTGAGTCACCATCTTTTGGGGACGAGGTTTCGAGGCCCGGTTCGAGGAGATCTTGCCGGCATTTGTGACGCATGCCAAGTCTCTGGGTCTCGGATAACCATTAAGTATTAAACAATCACCGAAGGCATTCGCCCGCTGTTTTCTTAGCTCATTGCAAGCCATAAAAAGCGTCAACAGCGGCTGATCTTGAACGCGATTTACTGCCAATTGCAAAAAAGAAAAATCTGCTGAAAGCGGTTCCCTCCCTCTGCCACAAACCAAAAAAAAGGTTTCGTTTTTTACCTTTTTATTTTCGGTCGCTTTAAAACTTTTTGCTTGTACTCACGTTGAATAAGAGTTGCAGCTTGGGGCTTCCACGAAAAGCCCTTACTCGACACTTTACCAAACTGAACAAATACAAATCCGAGGTGCAATGTAATTGTGATCCCGACACGATCTGACACTCACTCCTCCGTCGAAAGAAATGAAATGGAACTGCCAACTTTGGGTTCTTGGGGCCGTCAAATCGAAGTTTAATGATAAGTGGGGATTTTTGCTCCATGTGTATTTTGTCGTTGCTTCGGTACATTCAATTATGTGGGGCATATGGCCATATTGCGGTCTATCGCTTTATAAGGGTGGATCAGTAGTATCACAGTGGAAAATAATATAGGGAGCTTTCCAGATTGAATAACAATCTTAAGATATGGGGGATAATATTTATTTGAGTTTGTATCTGATGCTAAGATCATGCATAGTTTACAGAAGATTATTTTTTAACAAAATACAAATCCAAAACATTTTGTATAAGTTCATTTGACAATATAAATTGTTGCAATTTCTATAATTAATGGGATTATCTGCTCATTCATAAAATAGGGCATTCCAATTGTCAGCAAGACTTGTGCCAATCTATCGTGGAAAAACTTTGTGCTTCGATGGTTATATAGACATTATGACAATCGGTTTTGTTCTTGGTTTCCCCTTAACTTTTGTATCTTATCAAATCAGGTGTTTAAAAGGAAATCAATGAAAGCCTAAATGCAGCCGGCCAAAGAGTTACCAGGGGAAATGCACCCTGTATGTACACGATCAATAGTCATATCACTAAAATTGGTTGAACCCAAAGAAAAGATAACGCGACCGATTCCGATAAGAGAAAGTTCAAGTTTGTCATCAAGCCACGATTTTAACATTTTTTGGGGGTGTGGGCTTTTGGATCGTTATGTTCCCAACATTTTGTTATGTTATATGCGGTAAAGGCAAATCATTCACATGACAAGGCTGGGCGATAATAAATATCGCAATTACCCGAACCAAAAGGCGTGCAATTTTATTTCCTTCTTCGGTTCTTCGTTTGTTCTTTTGTGTTTGTTTAGCTTGTTAGTTGGCAAAAACTTTGCATTACATCATTACCAAAAAATAATCTTTTGTGAGTACTTTTTTTTCTCCCTTGGTTTTCCAACTCGTTTAATTTGGGTGCCAAGTGTGAGGCAATGACATTGGAGGCAATGCTTTATTTTATGCACTCAAAAAAAAGGGGACTTAAAATAAATAATACATAATTTTTGGAGGATTATTTTTGAAATTTTTAATAAATTATTACTCATAAAGTATTTACATTTAAAGCCTATATTATTTATACGTAATCAGTGATTATCAGTTCGGCTGTATACATTATTTAACTTCAATTTTCAGAGCCCACAATTTGGATTGCAGGATTTGACTATATTTTTTTAAGTGCTGAGTTAGTAATTGCTATTTGTTTGTATTTAAACAGCTGCCAGATTTGGCGAATCATTTCGTTTCGTTTCTCGATCCATTGCAGTTGGTTATTTTAAGCGGCTTATATCCACTGTTTTGAAAACTGGGTCAAATTAATGGAGGGCCGCCAAAGTGTGGAAATGAAATTGAAATTTGATGCCATTTCAATTGGTCAACGAGTAGGAGAGGGATAGAGTAGGAGATATACCCATATCCAAACTGATTACTCATAGCTCTCGCACACACATACGCCCTGTTGACCCTCTTTGTGTGTGGCTATTTGTTCCTGCTATAAAACCTGGGCAAACAAACTTATCCCAGCGGAGCGAGGGAGACAGACAGGTGGACTCCAACCACTACTTCCACCACCATATCACCATGTATGTGGCCTCCAAGGAAGAAGCCCCAGGAAGCGAATGAAAGAGGGAGAGAGGCAGCGAAATTGAGGTGCCTAAACGCTCGCTTTATTAGAGGAGCATCACAATAAACCAGATCTTCTCTTCGATTTGCAGTTGCTAACACACTGAGAGAAACTACATGCCTTAATCAGTGTCTAACTTATAAAGTACTATTACTTTTATCATAAAATAAATATAATATCAGTACATTATCAGGACTGTCAAAAATATTTCGCCCTAAAACTCAAGAGTTACTAATGAAATTCTGTAACTCAATTATATAACAAAAGTTTTTTTATTTCATCTAATATAAAATATTACGTATTTTTAGCGTATTATTTAAAAGAAAAATTGCAATGTTAAAAAAATAAACGGTAGAATAAAAATTGAGAAAACATTTTTCTTAGTGCTCTCCTGTTTTTGTGGCTCTTTTTTGTGCTTTTATAGCTTTTGTTGCGTTTGGTGTCCAAGTTCAAATCGTGCAAAGGAAAGAAAGCAGCGGAAGACGCTGCAGATCACGACCACGGGCAAACCGGCAGAACCGCTTTTTTGAATTTATTTTTTCAGTTTTTTTTTTATAGCTCATGTGCGCGGCATCGAATTGGTGTCTTCTCCGGTGCTCCGGACATTTGTTGGCTGTCAGGATATGCAAAAATTGCGATCGTAATTGATTTTATAGGCCAGCGCGCTTCAGTTTTGCTTCGGATTAAGAAGTTTGAGCCGTCACACGATTGACAAACGACAGCATATTTGTAATGGGGGGACTAAGTACCCATAATTTCACAAACTTGTCGCCTGAAGTCGTTACTTTTTTTTTTGTTGTTGGGTGCTCTACCTGTTTGAATTTTCTTTTTTTGTCGAAGCGGGTACCGTTAGCTTGACCCGGTAAAGGTGACGGCAACAAAAACGTTAGCCGCGAACTTGTGGTTGTCGTTGTGGATAATTTTTAAAATCGAGGCTAAGGCGGCATAAAGTATTCGAAATCGGTTCGATAATGTCAAGCACCGCACGCCCAACGCATGCAAATGAGTGTCCAAAAAAGTTCTCGGCAGCGAAATAACAAAATTAACGAACAATTTACACACGCGAGCCCGCACCATGCCAAAGTTGAAGTTGAACTGACTTCGCTGGTTTCGATTTGCCGCCACATTTCGCGCTCAGCTGTGCTGCCGACAGTGGTGCTCAGTCAGCGCTTTCCCCCCAAAATCACCCTTTTCTGATGCTATCGTTATCGAGATTACAGTTTATTTTGAATACCATTTCTACACTCCACCTTGTAAAGTATTGGGTCTTTTTATCTTTTATGTTCCTCTTTTAATTAAAAAGTATATGGTTCCTTGATCAATCTTAGATGACCCAAAAATATTCTTTTAAATGGCTTAAAAATCACGATTAAAAACTATGAGCCAATGATTTAGAATGTGAAACATCTAGTGTTACTTACGGTTCCTGAAAAAAAAAACTAGAAAGCCACCTTATAATAGCCTTAAGACATATTCACCAATTTTATTTTTCTTCCTTCACTTCCTTTCTTTTCATAACAATGTGGTATTTTTAATTAATCTAGTGTTTAAAGCCATAACACAACATTTTACTATTTGATTTGATCGCTGAAAAATGTGTGTTCCATGTCCGGTTCATCTTTTAAAGTAGTCATTCTTTAAACCGAAAATGCGGAAAAGAGTTGAGAGAACTTTGAAAAATACCTGTAGTTGAAAGTCATTGTGTACGAAGCCGAGGTCGTGATCCCCTGCGGAAAACTAGACCAGGCTAAAGCCCTGAGTTTGCTGGATGGCCTGCAGTAGCTTGAACTTGAGACGCTCCTTTGTCTTATAACGCGGCAGGTCCAGCATATTGAAGCAGGTGTGAGCCACGGGCAGGAAACGTTCATCCGGGGTAGGTTGAATGGTAAGCTATAATTTTTTAATTTAATTACGAATTTCAAAATTATGGACAGCTTAGCTACTTACTTTAAGGGCCTTCATACCCTGAATGGGTATACGATCGCTGCCAGTCAAATAGAGCAAGAAACTCTTCTTTTCTGCCTCGGACAGATCGTGAATAACCTCCCAAAACCATTTGATCTATAGAGAGGACAAGTGTCAAGATTTGATAAGAACTCCTTTGCAAAAAACTTACTGTCTCATCGCCCGAGGTATATCCCTCCCGGTACTCGCAGTTGTCCTGCAGTGCCTGCCAGTCGTAATCCTCATTTCCAACCACCACAGCCATCAGCTCCTCCGGTTGAAATATGTGAATCACCCGACCAGAGCACACCTTCATAAAGCCCTTGTGAAATGCAGTATAATGTAACTCGACGGATTTGTTGAACACAAAGTCCACATACAGATCAACAAACTCTTGCCTAAAAATTATAATATTAATTAATAATTATGTTAAGATTGAAAGGGTTACCACACTCACTTGTTTTCAAGCGTTACGGCTATTTCGTTGCCGTTGGGCTTAAGGCACTTGGACTCCGACTCGCCAAAAACGTCTCGCGTTATCTCAAAGGTCAGATCAAAGAGTTCCTTGAAGTCCTCGCCCTGGTAGTCGAGCAGCGACTGCATGGAGTTGGCCTCTGGTGGTGATAGCTGGCGGAGATCGTTAAGATCTACTGGCTTGCTCAATAACTTTTTATACAATGCCAGCGGAAATGGCAGATTGATGATTGTAAAGTTATAAATGGCTAGACCACATAGCACGCCAATCAGGAAGTACATGTTCTCCGTCTCGAAGCTGTGATCTGTAAACCAGAGGAGGCGTGACTCCTCGAACTCCTTGAACATGCCGTACTTAGGATCGAGTAGATCCTTCAGAAGCAGCATGAAGAACTCTTTGCGCACGCCACCTGCATCTTCCGCTTCCTCGCCTTGGAACTTGATTTTTAGCGGCTTTTTGAGATCACTCTGCGAGTAGCGCTGCAACTCTCGGAGGGAATCCTGCACTAGATTTTCTCGTGTCACGTTTAGCACAATGAAATGGGAGACGGGCATTCCGTTGAGAAGATTTAAAAATGCCTGCAGGGTAAATGTGAATTTATCAGATCGAATATCGTTCATAGATAATATTAACTGACATTAGTTGCTGCGTGAGCCATGGCTGAATGCATCTGCAGAGCCTGATCCGCCTGGAGCAGCGCCGTCTTGGCAGATGGATCGAAGAGGAATGAAAAGTTGCAAATGTTGAACTCGTGGGCAGTATCGGCCATGATCCACTTTACGTACTCCTGCTGCACATCCGCATAATCCGCGAGATCAGGCCAGTAGAAGCTTTGGTAGGTAAGTCGATCATCGCGTAGGTTGTTGATCATGCAGAGGGTCTGCATCAACTTTAGGATCACCTCCAGCTCAGTGTTGTATGGCAGCAGCTAAAATGTTAGAGGAACTATGATTAGAACAAATTTGAGATCAAATTAAGACCTGCAGAAATACTTGCCCTCTGACGTCTTTCGGCACTGGGATTGACGGCTGCCAAACCCATTTTGAAGCTTATAATGTGCACCACGACATGCAGAAAGTTCTGGACAAGATGCTCAAAGTATTCCGATGGCGTTTGAGCCAGCCACTTTATTAGTACCTTGCGCGGATTTTCTGTCAGCTTGAATATGGCATTAGCGAACGGAACCTGCAGTGACTTATAGTGCTTGGAGTTTACAAACTCATGATAAAGCGGCAGAAGAAGGTATAAACGCATGCTCTCCACATCCGCCGGCGAGGATACCAACGACCCAACTAACTCTTTGGTGATATTGTCCCAAATCTAAAAAAAATTACATGATTAAATGACGCTTATAATGTTTTGAATAATAAATACTTACCACCTGCTTAATGCTTTCATTTTCCACAACGCGCAGATTGTCAAATGCCAATTGGGCAGCCCTGAGATCCAATCCATAGTTCCGCACAGAGCAGCCAAAGTGTCTGTCGTGATCTAGCAAGAAGGAGCCATTCAAACAGGCCTGACTCTTGAAGATTAGCTCGATGGAGCTCAGGAGATCCATGTCGCTTTGATCACTTTGCTTAAAATGAGCACATTGCTTCGTAACCTCTGCCGTTAAAGCCAGGATCTGGGATTTGGGCCTGAAAAGTACAAAAAATCAGTTAGCTTTCACTAAAAAATTAAGGCCGTTCCGGCCCTATAATTACTTGTAGTTCCTAAAATCCTCGGGCGGTACCTTGTCCATAAACAAAGTCGTTGTCACAATTGACTGGTCCCCACCTGAGAAAACCTGTTGTATTACCACTGAGACTTTTGCATCGTTGGACTGCAGAAGGGCTGATCCACTAGGTGACACCCAAGGACCAATAACCACCTGTGGCAGCATCAAACTCTTAGTACTCCTCGTGCCCAACTGCCCGGAGCTGCCCAAACCGAAGGCGTAGACCCTGCCTCGCGATGGAACCAAGGCCAGAGTATGGCGATTGCCGCAGGCCACCTGAGTGATGGTGCTGCCCATTAGCTCCATCACCATTCTTGGCAGCATCTCATTCGACCCGAAGCCGTGACCCAATTGGCCATATGCGCCAGCTCCACAGGTGAACACTCCCCCCTCGTTGGTGAGGAAAACGGAAAACTCATCGCCGCAGGCCACAAATCGAACTCCCAGTGTGCGCAGCGTTTTCAGCTGCGTGGGATAGGCACGGCTCGTTTCGTCATTTAGGCCCAGCTGCCCACAGTTGTTCCTGCCCCAACCGAACACTGCACTGGACTTGGAGATGAGGAACGAGTGATTGCCCCCACAGGCAATCGCGGCCAGTGGTATTCCTAGCAGCGTGGTCAGCCGGAGGGGATGATTGCAGTGCGTCAGCTCCTTAGGGGAGTTTACACCCAGCTGTCCGTAGATGTTGGAGCCCCATGAATACAGCTCGCCACCTAAAAAGTCAAAGAGGAATATTATTGAAAAGGAATAACCACATATAGTTAAAATTTTCTCAAAATTGCATTTGTGACTTTTATGTTATTGATAACTAAAAAGTAATAATCTTAGTCATCTAAGGCAAATATAAGTTTTTGAAACATTTTATCTAATCATGTTTCCGGTTAGTGTTATTTGTACAAGATAGGGTTTAAGTAACATAAAAGGAGATAACTCACAAGTTTGTGGTGTCAAAGGAAAGTTATTTAAGATTCCGTAAAATCATAAAAAAAAATTAAATTCATTTAATTAATTGTTAAATGCAATGATATTTAATCATTTACGTATTCATTTTTCTGGCATACTTTTGAATTTAAATATCAAAGATTATTGGTACTTTTCTAAGATTAAAAAACTAAGTTTATGTAAACATGCTGATAAAATACCCCAAGGATTTCCACTTAGCACTTACAACTGGTCAGCGCCAGGCTGTGGTTGTTGCCACAGGCGATCTGGACTACTGTCTTAGACACAAGTTGTCGGACCACCTTGGGCAACTGGACTATATCCTGATCGGTGCCGTGGCCCAGCTGGCCGCAATCGTTGTCGCCCCAGCTCAAAACCTGGCCCCAATCGGAAAGGGCCAACGAATGGCGGCTGCCGCAAGCAATCTGGATGACCACATAGTCCTGCAGTTCGGGAATGAGCACTGCAAAGAATCGGCAGAGGAGTGAGTCCGGGATTTAGCCTCGGTTTACAGCAGTGGCCCATTGAATAGCAGGTGTTGGTGGTGGTGATGAGGTGGAGTTAGGACAATGGAGAGACAAGACGATAAATGAAGATTACATACGAAATGGCGACATACGTGGCCTTTTGGTGGGCAGTTCGTGTCCCAGTTGCGAGTGGTCGTTGCTCCCGCAGGCATAAACTTTTCCATTTGCCGTCAGGAAGAGAGTGTGCCGGTGTCCACAGGCCACCTGCAGTACGGCGGAGTCCGGTGTCCAGGGAATCTGACTGGGTGTCAGGATCTGTCAGGGAGTCGGTAGGATAAATAAGCAACCCAGTGAACAGTGTCTAAAATTTCAATCAATTACCTGCTCGTCCTCAATCCCGCCGAGACCCAATTGTCCATGGGATGTGCTCCCCCAGCAAAACAGCTCCCTACCGGCTGCCATTTTTCTGGATCCCGCGCCCAGCTCCTGTGTGTTTTTTAACTGATTTACTTGTCGGTGCTACGAGAATTTTCGAGAAAGTCCCCAGTTAGCTACATTCTCGTATTCTTTGCTCCCGATTCCTCTGCTCATGCCTCGATAGACTTTCGTTGTTTCACCCGGATCCTGCTGCTCTCTGAATTAAACTTAAACGCTCTTTAACTGGAATTTACACATGCATTATATTATTTTTCTAGAAAAACTAAAACATAAAAACTCAAAAACCAGTAACAAAAAACCAACAAATAATGGTGGGGCTGCCAACTGACTTTACGAAAGTTAATTTTCGTAGGTTGGCAGTTCCGTTGGGTTTACTTATTTAGGGCTGCATTACTTGCGGACTTTTAGGATCCGCATCAGCAATTAAATTCAAATCTCGAGATTTCAGTTAATGATTATTTTTGACTACATTGGGAGGGCGGTAAAAAAACTTAAATGTAGTTAGCAGAGCATAGATATTAAAATAAGGACCTCGGTTAAAACTTTACAACTTTTACGTAAACTTCTTAATAGTTGTTGAGTTTTTGTTTTAAAAACCCCCTTCCGATACCCATGTCATTCTAACTCTTTTGCGCACTGCGCAATATTCGTCAGAATCCGGGGAATACCAAGAAAAAGCTTCGTTCGCACTCTGCGGATTCGACTTCAGACCGAAAAAAAAAGAATATGCCAGACTTGCATTGCCAGTTTAAAATTGATTGTCGAACTGAAAGTAACCATGCCAGACGTGCCCTGCGAGAAATTCTCTGCTACCTTAAATTCAATTGTAAGGGAGCTGCTGGATAGGAATATTAATAAAAACACAATACCACAGGATGTGATTTTCTTAAAAGAAACGGTAGTGACAAAACTTAAGCAAAACAATGTTGTTTTAAACCATGGAATTATGGGTGAGGAACTACATATGTACATACATATATGTATATGTACATACATATGTATGTACATTATTATCGCTGTATACATTTCATACATGACATATATATACTCACTCGCATATCTCTGCGTACACCCCCAAAAAATTATAAAATCAGACTTTAATCAATAATTGTTTTGTCATTTATTCATGTATTTCACTCATTATTTTTTAAACGAAACCTTAGTTTATTGTCTTTAATGACGAATTTATCCAGAATTATCTAGCAATAGGTTATATTTTATTTTTAATTTTAAACTTAACACTACGAAAATGTGTTTACCCAGTTTCGTTTTAAAAATAATGAGTGAAATAGTAGATAAATTATTGATTAGTTTGATTTTGAAATTTTTTGGGGTGTACCCAAAGATATGCGAGTGTAACTGTACATACTTATGTATGTACATATACATTTATTTATTCATTTTTGTAGGCAGTACAACAGAGTCTTTAAGGATGATCAGTAAAACTGAATACGAACTCCACATAAATTTGAAACTCCCGTTTGAATTAACACCGATCCGGGATGATGATCGCCCGGGATTTGTCTTGCTTAAAGCTACCGAGGAGTTGGAACATCCTGCTATCGTGGATGGTTATCTCGATCAAAAAGCCATCAAGAATTGGATTTACGATTCATTAAAAACAATTATTTTTTATAATAATTTTGATTCACTAAAAAAAGAAATTGAATTTAAAAAGTTCTATAGAGTCGTCGTCCCCGAATGCTCGTTTAAATTAACCTGTTTGCCCGTGCTGGAGTTTAACTACAGCAAATGGCCTTTGTCGGCTCCGGATTTGACTGAAAGAAACCTGATATCTTACCCCTGGTACGCTGTTCCTCAAGTGAACGCACTTATCGACCAACGAAGCTTCCTGGCCTGGTCGCCAGATTGGGAACGCTGCATAATGGAAATGAATCCTCATTACAAAAAGGTTGAGCTTTTAATAATTAGTTTGCTCTCTAATCATGATGTAACATGTCCTAACTTGAAATATGTTATCCAGACCACGATGGTGCATGCTACGCTTAACCAAATAATACCATCTGACTTAGGCGACTTCTTAATCTTTATTATTGAAAGCTTGGCTAGTCACCTAAAACAGGATAAATTAAATCCTTTTTTCGAGAGTAGTTTTAATTTGTTTCGGTGTGTATCCGCAGTTGAAATAAATTATTTTTATGATGTCGCTACCGATTTGATCGTCAATTTAAACCAATGTAAATCTCAGGCCTTAGCTGAAGAAAACAACCAAGTTGTGACACCAGCAACCTCGAATGCAAATTGGGTCCCTAATCTACACAAATTATTTGAACTCTGATGCAAATTTATGTATTGTTTCTTACATTTTTAGTAAAAATATGTTTTACTTCTTAAAATTAATTACAATTAGAATCTTAAACTTTGTTTGAATTACATGAATAAAAAAATACATACATATGTATCTAAATATTGAAGCAAAAATTAAATTAAAGATCTTAAGATCTTAATATTATTTAGTAATGAAAATGTAATATTTGTTTTTTTTTTTATATGAATAAAACTCATTATAACTCTTTAAATAGATCAAATTCTTTATTTTCATCGTAAAAATCCGTCACACTTTGAACATCTGAACTTGTCGTGCTGTGCAGCCCTGGTTCTCGTATCAGCCGTTTTTTACTAACCGCCTCCACTGAACTTCTGACCTTTGTCCATTTTGGCTCGAAAGATTAGGCCGTATCATATTAGTGTTTATCAGGGCTATCAACACTGGATATACCGCGCAAATCCAATAGATTTAAAAGTGGCCAAAGGCTGCGCCTGTGGTGATTGAACAAAGGAAAAACCGGTTGCCACGGGAATCGGAAAACACATCGCGTGTGAAAAGAGTTGGATCAGCACAGGTGCCGATTGATTTTCACCGAATATTGCCACGCCAACAGCAGCGGAAAATATGCAGGAGGCCTACGTCAACATCAACTCTATTCCCACCCACATCTTCACCTGGGGCAGGTGGATAGAGGAGACCATACCCGAGAAGGAGATCGTTATTTGCATAACCGGTAATCCCGGATTACCTGGTTTCTACACAGAGTTTGCAGGCACTTTGCAGAAGGAACTGGGCGATCTTCCAGTTTGGGTGATAGGTAAATGGTCTTGGCCAACCCCAATGAGTCAGTTATAACAAATTCTATTATCTTTTAGGTCATGCTGGTCACGATGATCCCCCAGAGGCCAGTATTCGGGAGGTACCCCAACTTAGCGGCAACGAGGAGCTCTTTAATTTAGATGGCCAAATCAAACACAAAGTAGCCTTTATCGAGAAGTATGTGCCAAATGGTGTGAAAATCCACTTGATTGGGCACTCCATCGGAGCCTGGATGATACTGCAACTGCTGGAGAACGAGCGGATACGGAACCGCGTTCAAAAGTGCTACATGCTGTTCCCCACTGTTGAGCGGATGATGGAGTCGCCTAATGGTTGGGTCTTTACCAAGGTTGCCATGCCCCTTTACTCGGTTTTTGGCTACATCTTCTTCAGCTTTTTTAACTTTCTGCCTGTTTGGCTGCGCCTGATGCTGATACAGATATACTTCCTGATCTTCTCCATTCCACGGCAGTACCTCGGCACCGCACTGAAGTACTCCAAGCCCTCTGTTGCAGAAAAGGTTGTTTTTCTGGCTGACGACGAGATGGCCAGAGTTCGCGGCATCCAAAGGGAGATTGTGGAGCAGAACCTAGACATTCTGAAATTCTACTACGGCACCACCGATGGCTGGGTACCCGTCTCCTATTACGACCAGCTCAAAAAGGATTATCCTAAGGTGGATGCTCAACTGGACACCAAAAAGATCGCCCACGCCTTCGTCCTGCGACATTCGAAGCCCATGGCGGGAATCGTGAGGGACATGATCCAGCAGCATCGACGGGGATGAGGTCAAAAATTTCCCTAGCCCAGACTATCAGCCCTGTCCAGATAGACTTGGAATCAGGATAGGGGATGAACGAACCAATAGCAATTCCTCCACTGCCTTTGTGTGGCAATTAGTTTGTTTTTATTAGTATCTTTTGAAGCTCTCGAAGAAAACTCTAAATATAGTCAAAAGTGATTTAACCTGCTTGTATGGTGTGTTATTTTTCCGGAGTTCCAGATCTACTGCGAGATCCGGACTTGGACCGGCTACCAGAGCGGGAACGGGAACTTGAACCCGATCGGGATCGTGATCTTGAGCGGGAACCGGACTTGGAGCGTGATCGGGAGCGAGACCCCGACTTGGAGCGGGATCTAGAGCGCGATCCGGACTTGGAACGGGATCTTGAACGGGAACGCGACTTAGAACGAGCGCGGGAGCCAGATCTATCTGATTCCCCACCAGATTCGATGCGGTTCTTGGCCCGTTTCCGCTTAGTGGCGCCATCGCTGTCACTACCAGACCCAGAGCCACTTCTGCTTCTGCTGCGCTTGCGGCTTGCATCTCGATCACTGCCGCTTCCATAGCCACTGCCACTTCGGCTTCCACTGCGATTGCGGCTTCTGCTTCTACTCCTGCTCTTGCTACGCTTGCCGTCCGACTCCGATTCACTGGTGGAGATCGTCTCCTTGGACAGAACCTTAAGGCGTTGCTTGGCAGTAAGTTTTTCCTTGGTCTCCTTAACCGGCTTGGGCTTCTTGCCCTTCTTCTTTCCCGATTTGCCACTGGCCCTCGGCTCCTCCTCGCTGTCGCTCTCGTACTTCTCCGTCTTGCGCTTACGTCCACTGCCCTTTTTGCGCTCCGCTTTACTTTTCTTCTTTGTCGGACGCTCTCCCTCGCGCCGCGGTCCATCGTTGTCGCTATCGGTTCCAGAGATGTAGTCATCCTTGCGAGGTCGCCCGCCTCCCTTTTTGCGCTCCTTATCCGGCGCAGAATCGGCGATGATTAGCATATTCTTGGTCTTCTTCACGTACTCCTGTCGCTTGGCCAGCAACTGGTCCCTGGAAGTCTTGGCCTCCTCTTCGCGCTTCTTGCGCTGTTCGGCCACCTTTACCTTAAAGGCTTCGCGTTCCTCTTCCTGCTTTCGGCGCAACGAGCGGTCCTCCTCATCGATGCGGCGGGCACGGCCCACATGGTATTGGGCCTGTGAGAGCAGATCCTGGCAGGTGTTCGCCTCAATACCGGCCACCTCAATGTTAAAGCGGTTCTTGTCACCGTGAACGGAAAGGTATTGGAAGTACCTGGAAAGATTGTAAAAAATATATCATTAAAAAACTATAGGAAAGGGTTAACGCTAAATTCGTAATTAAACTATTTTTAAATTTCTCATTAATGAGTATGATTTGTGTTCACAATTAAGTTTATCATTTGGCAATCTAATCCAATCTCCAAAACTAAAATTCATGCTGATTATTTTTCGTTAGTTTTCCGTTAGTAATCTGTACTGCGATAAGGTTAAATACTATATCGGATAATGACCATTAATTAAACTCAAGTCTATAAGGGTTAAAAAGCATAAACACTAAAAGTAATGACAGTTTATTCTTGTCTTAACTTACTTTTGAGCTAGCTCTAGTTCGTGGACAGCCTGGAGCACAATCTCTAGCGTTGATTTCTCATCCTTGAGTATGGCCATGGCCAGTCGTGAGAGAACCACTGCTATATTAAAGAGTAAGACAGTGTCCTGTGGAGCAACTCTACGGGCTTTAAGGAGCACCGCCTTGGCCTCGACCAGCTTGTTGGCCCGTAGATACGCTCTAGCCAGATATTGCATCACCTCGACGTTGTTATGCTTGTAGAACTTTTTCATACAGTTCTCGTACATCTGAATGGCGCTGATGTATTGCTTCTGTTCTACATACACGTGTGCGATGTTCAGCCACACGTCGCAAAAGTCGGCGGTGGCCTCGCGCACTTGTGCGAAGATATCCCGGGCCTCAATCACACATCCTTTATGGGCTAGTACAGCTCCAATTCCATTGGTGGCCCAAATGTTCCGTGGATCGTTTCGAAGAACCTGGAAAGCAGCAGACAAATACCTTAGAATAAAGAATATGAATATGCTTATCTAGACTAACCTGCTTAAAAATGGCCAAAGCTTTCTCCTGGTGCTTTCTTTCCTTCTCCTTATCTCTACTTGGCTGATGGAGTGTCTGCAGGGAAAAGTTTCCTAAAGCAATCAATGAGTAGGCATCCGTTGATGTAGCCGGATTTTTGAGGATCGTCTCGAAGTTCTTTTGACCCAAAGCGAACTGCATCTTGGCCAAATGGAGATTGCCCAGCAGAGATCTCGCATCGGGATTGTCGTTGTTTATGTTTAGCGCATCCTTGAAGAAATCGGAAGCCACAAAAATCAGACCCTTGTCCCTGGCCATGCAACCCAGTCGCAGGTAGCAGTCAATGTAGTTGGGATGCTCCTTGAGGATCTCCTTGTACAGCTTGTCGGCGACATCGTAGCTACTCATTGCTTCATTAAGACGGGCCAGGTTGTACTTCATTGTGACCTGAATGGACTCGTAGTATTTGACATCCTTGTCCATTTCAGAGGTGGCGTGCTTTAGGGCCGACTCCAGCGTGTCCTTGGCCATCTTCAAGTTGCCCAGGCGATAATGCAGTGAGGCCACGTTGTTCTGAATCTCAGCGGGAATCTCATATTTAGCTTTGTCCCGAAGAATACTTGAGGCAGTGCCGTAGGCGTTTAGGGAGGCCTGAAGATCGTTCTGCTCTAAGATCTGGGCTAGTTCTATCCAGGCTTCGATGTCCTCAGGAAACTGTTCGGTGACCTTTTTAAGGTGAGTCTTGGCCATGTCCCGCTTGGTTTGCGAATTGGAGTGCGCATACAGCGAGCCGAGGATCTTCATGGTCTCGTAGTTTCCAGGCTGTATCTTCAGAACCTTTTCAAAGCACTGAGCAGCCTGAAAATAATAAAGGAATTAGAAATTTATAGGTTCAGGATTAATTCCAACTAACATTCTCCGTATCCCCTCGATAGATGTACATCTGGCCCAGACCGTAGTGGGGCAACACAAAGTTGGCGGGCGCGATCTGAGTGGATTGGTAGTAGTACTGAAAGGCCTGATCGTAGTCGCTCTGGGCGTGGAAACTCCTTGCCAGCTGGTAACAGCTCTCGGCTCGCATCGCCTCGTTCTCAGTGTTGTGGAAGGCGTGCAGCGCCAGATGGTGAACCTTTTGATAATCCTTTTTAAAGAAGAAGTGGTTGGCCAAGTGATTGAGCACCATGGGATTGGCGTTGTCGATGGTGTACGCTTTGGAGAGCATCTGAACTCCCAGCTTGTTGGACTCCGGCTCCAGTTGATTGAGTTTAAGCACAGCCAGGCCTATCAAAGCGCCCACACACTGCTGATCCAGCTGTAGGGCGCGCTCAAATGCGAGTTTGGCCTTCTCGGGATTACCCATTTTCAGGAAACAGTGAGCCATGCCAATCCTCACGTTCGCCGGGCAGTTAGGATTAGTACGCAGGGCTTTCTTGTAGAAGGCCATAGCTCCGCGGTAATCCTTGCGATTAAAGGCGATGCATGCCTTACCCAGCAGCGAGGGAATATTCGAGGGGGATTGATTCAGAACAAAATTGAACTGGGCATCGGCCTGGTCCATCTTGTCGCCTTCTAATAGGCAGAAGTAGGCCCTGCCCAGCAGATGGCTCTGATCGTACATAATGATCTTGTCGGCACTGGTGTACAAGTTGGTGGCCTTCATAAATAGCTCGCGTTTCTTGTCCTTGGATTTCTCGCGGTACGCCTCCTGGACATAGTGGGCGGCCAACATGTCCAGAGCGCGCATAAGATCCTTGTCGGAGTCCCGGTACTCCTTGGTGGCGTCATCGCTGCGCGACTCCTCCAGCAGCGTGACAAAGTCCTCCGTCTTCTTTTGCTTGTAGTAGGCCAACTGGGAACGAAATAACCATGGTGATCCTTTCGAATTTCAAGTAGCCTTTATACTTACCGCCACATTGACCCAAACATGCAGAGGCGCACGCTCCTGCTTAAGAATGCTCAGCACCTCTGGACAGTCGGGCAGTTGATCCGGGTCCACCTCGATCACCTAAGTTAGAAACACCCGAGGTAAATCACATTGAACTAGGATCCCCAAAAAAAATGCTTACCTCATCGGTGTCCTGCAAGGGAATTTCTATGCAGTTGGACATGATTGCGGCGACCTTAAGCCAACAAACTGAGCGGCAAAAAACGCTTTACTGGCCCCGAAATACGAGAAAATGTTAGAAAATAGCTTAATTAGCAAAAAACTTTTTCCATTCCGGTACGCTTGCTAGAGATGGCAGAAGAGCCCATTGCCAGCGATACTTTACCTTCTATCGAGTGGCGATAACGATGTTTTGCATGTGGCAGTGATGTCAACTCAACTTGCCTCAATCCAAATCTTTACATATTTTTGTGTGCTTGCAAATTATTTGTAAATTTAAAAGGTGTCATTCCAGACACATTAAATTTTTAGGATCCATTTTTTCCCGAAAATATCGTATAATTATTTAATAAAAATAAAAATATTGTAACTATTTTTGATTAAAAATAATAAAATTTTAAAATAATGTTGAAAATATCAGTACAGAAATTTCTCAGTTTTAAATAGTCCTATGTAGAGCAAAAACAACTCAAATCATATACAATAAATATTTTTCCATAATCTTATTCATATAAAGGTAATTTTTAATATATAATTTTTTGTTCAAAATTATAATTTTTCTCAACAACATTAATTAAAAAGTTACAAATCAAGTAGGAAATGGAAATTGGAAAGGAGATCAATATTTTGTATCTCTGTTTCTTGTATGTCAATTCTAAGTAAATTTTGTTTTTGACTCAAAAAAAATATGAATGTTTCGGTACCTGATTTTTGTACACTTTTTCTCTTTCATTTCCAGCGATATAGGAACACTGTAAATTCGCCAAACAATTATTTAAACTCTCATAAGGGACAAACAATTTTTAAAAATGTATGCTAGAAATAACAAAAATTAATTAAAAACCATATTTTGTTGTATATCTATTGAGTACGGTATTCAACTTATTTTGAATATACAAAATATAAATTGTTTCTATTAATCTTTCAAAGTTTATTGTGCAGATTGCATATTAGTTTTTAACTGTTTTTAATTCATATATTTTCTTTTAATAATGATATAGCGAATTTTAATATCCATTAGTCTATCCATATCCGGATTTAACCGATATTTCAGTACTTTTCGATTAGTTGGCAACTCTAGCAGTCGTAGACAATAAAATTTATAGATAGAAAATGATGTTGTCAAAACCACCTGAAAGATAGTGAAATTCGGATTAATTTTAAATTTAGATCACGCTACGGAGAAGTGAAATGTGCTAGTGGATAAGATAAGATGGCCCTGGGCAGAACGTCCTCCTTGGGCGCCCTTTTCACCTGCGTTTCCCCCGCCCCTAGCGTCCTTCGGAGAGCCACATCTACGAAAACAAAAACAAACGGGCAAACAGATGTTTCTTTGCTGTTATGCAACGTTGCGAAATTGGCGCAAAATTCAATGACGCTGGTTAGTGTAGCGCCGGCAGCCGTGCGAGTAGCAACACGTGAATTAAATCTACAATCACAGGGAACTGTTAGGCACTTTCACAATTCGACAGCGGGAAACTCAAGATATTCGGCCAGCACCATCATGACATCGTACCACAAAGAGCTGCTCCTAAAGGACTACGATATAGTAGGTTTTGATCTGGATGGGACTCTCCTGCGCTACAATCTCCGAGAGATGTCTGCGCTGATCTATCAGGTCCTCAAGCTGTTCCTGGTGGAGCAAAAAGGCTATGGAAAGGAGCTGCTGGATGTGCCTCTCAATGTTGACTTTCTGCAGAAAGGTTTGTTTCTGGATGGACCTCGTGGTAATGTCCTGAAGCTGAGCAACGAGGCAAAGATCCTGCGCGCCACCCACGGCACTCGTCTCCTAAACGACGAGGAAATCCAGGGTATTTATGGACCGGAGCGAAAATGGGACATCACTACCGCCTTCTTCAAGGATCCCCTCTCCACTTGGAATGGCGCTGCTTCCACTCAAATGCGCTCCCTACTAGACTACTTCGATATGCCCAGTGCTTTAGTCTTTGCGCAGTCAGTGGATCAGGTGGACAGAGAGAAGAAGCCAACGCCAGGGGAGGAATACCAGGTCTGGCAAGATGTGCAGGCGGGCCTGATGCACATCTTCAGCCGGGACCACTTTGCCAACGACAAAAGTCCGTATTTCAAGAGCATGCGAGCGGAACCCGCCAGATATGTACTCCAAACGGACTCCAGCGTGATGAACTGGCTGGTCGATCTGCGAAAATCCGGAAAGCAACTGTTCCTGCTAACCGGCTCCAATGTGGACTTTGCAAATTTAACGGCCACACAGGCACTGGGCAAGGATTGGCGGAAGTACTTCGATTTTGTTGTAACCTACGCTAAGAAACCCGGTTTCTTTACCATACAGCGACCTTTCATGCAGGTGGATATGGGTAAACTAGAGGAGCTGCCTCAAGAGACGGAGGAAATAAAGGCGGGTGAGGTCTACTCTCAAGGCAACTGGCATCAATTGCACGAGGCCATGGCTAGGATGCTCCAAAAGAAGCCATCTGAAGCCAAGGCACTGTATTTCGGTGACAACATAGTCCAGGATGTTTATACACCGGTCAAACACCGCGACTTTGATGCAGTGGCCATAGCTGAGGAACTGCTCCTGGAGGATGGTAAGTATCCTTATGCCGCTGAGTTGGATTCCCAGCTGTGGGGCTCCTATTTCGCCCTGGACTGCACGCCAACTCTGTGGGCTAGTTTTATCAGCAGCTACGCTCAGTTGTGTGTGCCGTCGGTGGAGCAAGTGGCGCAGACTTCGCCAGATAAACGAATTATCTGCTCTAATCCGTATGGCTTCAGTCCTCGGCTGCCCAAGGAACTGGAAACGGTGCAGATCAAGGGCTGCTGGCGGGGATGAGTGCAGCGTTATCATCTTTCTGGAGACAATAAACGACCTGCGACCCTGAGGCGCATTTAATCCGATAACGCTTATTTCAGCTGGAACCTCTTCAAAATTCTTACGTACAATAACAATAAATAATGCGATCTTCTGAACTATTCAATTAGCGTCTACAGTGCATGCCATAGCTATAAGAATTCTTTAACACTCAACTAGATTAACAATGCAAAATTCTTGGTGTTAACACATCCAATTTCAAGGATTATTTTAATAAATCAATATTGGTATAGCCCGTAGTAAACTCAATACTTTTGGACATTATTCAATTTCACAGTATTTGTTTTCAATCCTTATCTTATTTCGGTTTACGATTTTGAGGTCTTATTCCGAAGTCCAAACAAGACCCGATAAAAGTATTGCACAAATATTTGATTATTAAGTTACTTCAATTAATTAAACAACATTCTATTGCAATGGTTAAGAAAATAAGTAGTTTACTTAAAAAAGAATTATGCAGTTTAATATACCTATGTTAGCCCAATTTATTCCATAAGTTCTTTTTTCAAAACACTATTAGATACAAATTTTTCAATTATACATACGAATTTTGTCATGATGCCAAGCCTTAATTTAATTGCCTTATTTGAATAATAATTTAAGGACTTACACGTTGTGAACCGCACTGTCGAAGTACAGTATAACGCTAATTTTGCATTTGTATTTACATATGTACCAACAGAAACGAAAAGCAAATAAAACGGGTTGTGCATCATCATAACAAATGGAGGTTTATAATTAGCAACATGCAACCGAGTGCGATGGAACTGAAGAAAATTTCGCTTTGCTGGAAAAATTTAATTTTCCAGGAATAAGAGAGGAAAAACGAATTTTACTTTTTTATTTGAGGTGATGGCAATTTCAATTTAAAATTCAACTAAATTATAGGTCTTTCCAAACTAGTTTTGATTGAAATAAAGTAGACTTTGTGACTGAGTTAGCGACATGGGTTCTGCCTCTACGTAATTGGCAATACTACTTGTTCAGAAAATAGAATACAAAAATATCATCTTTACACTTAAGTGAGAAATAGGAAGGGCAATAAATAGCTTGAATGACAATGAGTGGATTATTAGTTGAGCCGCTCCACGGCCAGGGCGATTCCCATGCCCCCGCCAATGCAGAGAGAGGCAATACCTCGTCTTCCGCCAGTGCGTTCGAGCGCATAGAGCAGCGTAACCAGGACACGGGCGCCTGAAGCTCCAATTGGATGACCCAGGGCAATAGCGCCGCCATTCACATTCACTTTGCTGGCATCCAGCTTCAGATCCTGTAAAACAGCCAGGGATTGGGCGGCGAAGGCTTCATTAAGCTCGTACAGATCCACTTCCTCGCGGTTCCACCCGATTTTTGTTAGCTAATAGAGTAGGTGTCTTAGAAAACGAATGTACCGATTCAATTTGTTCATAAATACCAAAGCTTCCACAGCAGTGACTGGTCCTAAGCCCATCACCTTGGGTTCAATGCCACTCTGCGTCCAGCCCACAATCTTGGCTAGCGGCTTGACGCCCTTCTTGGACACCTCCTCGCCAGACATAAGCAGTACTGCAGCTGCGGAATCGTTGACACCAGAAGCATTGCCAGCAGTTATAGAGCCGCCCTAAATAAACAGGGAAAGTGGGTTAACTTATTTCAACGTTTTTGTTCGTCTTCTTTTTAAACTTACATCTTTGAAGGCTGCCCTAAGCTTCTGAATGCCCTCTACGGTGCTGCCCGCCTTGATGTACTCGTCCTTGCTGAAGATCTGCGTGCCCTTACGATCCTTGATCTCAACGGGCACAATCTCCTTCTCGAAATAGCCATTTTTTTGCGCTTCCTCGGCTCGGTTTTGCGACTGCACGGCATAGGCATCCTGGGCCTCGCGACTGATCTTGTATTGCTCTGCCAGATTTTCGGCGGTGATGCCCATATGTATGTTTTCCATGGCATCGGTGAGCCCATCATGGACCATGGAGTCCACCAGGGTGCCGGAACCCATTTTGACGCCTTGCCGCAGGTGCATGACGTGTGGAGCCAGAGACATGCTCTCCTGACCTCCGGCCACCACAATCTGGGCATCTCCCGAGCGGATTGCCTGGTAACCCAAGGCTACAGTTCTGGAAAGGGTTTAAGCCGGCATAAAAAGGTAAAATTCGATATGCATCTTTGGCAAACCCACTTCAAACCGGAACCGCAGAGCATATTGATGTTGTAGGCAGGCACTTGGATGGGCAGACCCGCTTTGAGGGAAGCCTGTCGAGCGGGATTCTGACCCTGGCCGGCGGTGAGGGCCTAACAAAGATTTACATAACAAAAAGATTGGTAAGATAGGCAAAGAAACCACATGCATGGAAATGCTAATTACAATCCTACCTGGCCCAAGATGACCTCGTTGACTTGGTGGCCCTCCACATTGGCCCGACGGAGCACCTCTTGGACCACCACGCTGCCTAGATCGGAGGCCTTAACTTTAGAAAGCGTTCCATTGAAGCTACCTGTTGATTTCCATTAAGTAAACAGAAAGAGAAAGTTACCAATTGGAATTTGGCATCAAACAAATTGATCTTTTTGTACCTATGGGCGTACGGGCGGCGGACACGATGAACACGTCAGACATTCTAAAACGGAAAATGGACAGGTGACGCAGTGTTTATTGCCCAGTTAATGGCCAGCAAATAAATTCTAATTTTCGAAATTGTTATTGGCTCCGGCAGTGTGCCCAGGTGACGTCAGAGCGGTGATACCACACATGTGCCGCCAATCCCCACTAAATAAACCGTATTCTCACTGAAAAATATAAAGAAACATGATTTGGTTAATAAAATTTTAAAATTTTAATTTATTAAACTAAAAAAGTCACATTTATTGAAGTTGTTCGTGTATGCATGTACTTGCATTAAAAAAACCAAACTGAAAAACTAAAAGAATTTTCTGAACCGTTTTTAATACAATTTTTTTTTAAATTATTGCACGAAGGGTGACCGTTTCTGTTAAAAGTGTTTTTTAAGAAGTTTTTGGTATTTTAGTATGTTCCTCCACGCCGGATGGTATATTTGAACAGTCCAGCCGCGGTCACACTGCAGTACACAGAAAATTTACAGAATTTGAGAAAATTAGGGAATTAAACGCACAAAAGGCGAATTAAAGAGGTCCAAAATACAAGGCGCGATTATCAGGCGCCCCGAGGACCAAAAGGCACTGGAAAAGAGTCCGCAGAGAAGAGGATAACAAGGACAAGGGCCGCAGAAAGCAACAGCCCTCCGCCGCCGCCGCCCAAAAAAACCAAAACGACTGAGGACTGCCAACCAGCCATAAGAAGAAGCACTCCCACAATCTGCCATCTCCAATCTCTAGAACATAAAGCACTCCAAAAAGTCTAGGAATCTACATATAAAACCATGCAGGCGATCAAGTGCGTCGTGGTGGGCGACGGAGCCGTAGGAAAAACATGCCTGCTGATCAGCTATACGACCAATGCCTTTCCCGGCGAGTATATACCCACCGTTTTTGATAACTACTCGGCCAACGTGATGGTCGATGCCAAGCCGATCAACCTGGGCCTTTGGGATACGGCCGGACAGGAGGACTACGACAGGTTGAGGCCTCTATCCTATCCACAGACAGATGTCTTCCTTATCTGCTTCTCGCTGGTTAATCCGGCCTCGTTCGAGAACGTGCGGGCCAAGTGGTATCCGGAGGTGCGCCACCACTGCCCCAGCACGCCCATCATCCTAGTGGGCACCAAATTGGATTTACGCGACGATAAGAACACGATCGAGAAGCTCAGGGACAAGAAACTGGCACCCATTACATACCCGCAGGGTTTGGCCATGGCCAAGGAGATCGGGGCTGTCAAGTATCTGGAGTGCTCGGCGCTGACGCAGAAGGGTCTTAAAACTGTCTTCGACGAGGCCATCCGGTCGGTTCTATGCCCAGTACTGCAGCCCAAGTCCAAGCGCAAGTGCGCCCTGCTCTAAAAGAGATAGAGAGAAAGAGATATCCCACAATGGATTCTATTTAAACGTAATATTATTAACGATAAACGATTATGTAACCTAAGTGTTAGCCAGACATTTGGCTGATCCGTAGTTTCTTTGTTACACTTTGCCACTAATTTCTGCTACAGGGGGGAATCCCCCATTCAAACTCTTGCTTTCTTCGTTTCCGAGTTCGTTTCGTGTGTTCTGTAATTCATAATCTAATTCTGTTTACCCGTGCATTAATTTCAACTAAAAGTTAAAAGCGAGATGTTTTTAGATAAAATGGAAAACCCAATGGGCTATCTGTAACTGTAAACTCTAACTGTATTTTGTATTATTTAATAACTTTTGTAATTAAAATTAATGTTGTAAAACTGAGGTAAAACCAAAAAAAAAAAACAAAAAATGTGAGAGAAGACGATTGTCGCATAAAGAGCATAAAGCATCGATGTCGCCTGATTATCGTAAGTCCTCTAACCGGGATCAGGATATTGAGTCAGTAAAGTAAACGTTCCATTGCAATTACACTTACATTATTACATACTTGTATTTAGATGTTGTTGGATATCGAAGGGACGACGCGAACAGGTAACAACTTTTTAAACTTTTGCTAGATCCAAGAACTATCAATATATATATATATATATATACATGTATGTATAAGATGAAAAGTCCTTCGTATACTATGTACTGAAATTAAAGGCATCAAACTGATCAACTTTGAATACTTTGTATTTTAAAACAACAGATATTCAAGAAAACCAGCAACAAAAAAAACATGAACGAAACCACGATAATTATATAAATGTGTCTATTTCAATGGAAATCAATAAAGCATTATTAATGAGAATTACTATATTTGGTTTAAAGAACTGATTTTTTAAAATTCTTTTGGCTACAATTTAAGTAGATATTATGCAAAAATCTGTATGATGTAAATTTATGAATGTGAAAGAGAATGAAACTAGTTTCAGTGGGGAGCAATTTTGAAGAGAGGCTTTGTTTCTTTTTTAGTCCAAGATCTGAACAGCACAAAAACAATCGAACACACATAATCACACAACACACATTCATGGTGGCTGGAAGTCGTTTATCAAATTCACTAATGTGTATGTCAATGACTGACATCACCGACGAGTGCTCACTGTACACCAAAGCAAAGACGGACTTATCAACTTCCAAAAACGAATTATTTGCTTATCTCGGCGAAAGTCGAAACCCAAAAATAATCTTAATCAGCTTGAAACAAAGTTACAGATTCTCTTGCCACTCTGTTCTGGTTTTACACATAAAATAAATATATCTTTAGAGAACACTATTTTTTTTTTGAGTAATTTTAATGCTAGCTTATTGAATGAAGAAATATTAATTTTTAAAATGGTTTTTGAATTCATACTTTTTAAATTTTATTACCAAATTAACTTTCAATTGACATAAATAAATAAATACTTATATTTCACTTATTTTTTAAAAACTATAATCCAAATTTATACACATTTTTAAATGGCTCTGGTTTTAAAGAGTTTAAAGAATAAAACAATATTTAATGTATTATTTCAAAATGATTTTATTTATTAGTTTTTTTAGAACTCTAAAACAAATTTAAATTGAATTTAATGGTTATGAACATTGATTACAACATTTAAAGTTATTTTGAGCAATAGATTCTGCTGTAAGAACTTTGTACGATTGACAACATCGATTTCATCTTGTCAAGGCTATTAATTTTGTTTTCGGTGTACTCTCTTTCAGTTTCCCCATTTGTGTGTGTTGCTTGGAATGTTCTCGCAGCTGGAAATAAATCGGGCTACAGCAAAAATCATTTATGTTTATAAATATGTTACACAGGCAAATGCGGCGTATCTGTGATTCGGGGCAAAGAGGAGGGGTCAAGTGTCCGCATGTGTGTGCGGAAGGGGCGTTCGTTCCAGTGACGTGGCCATTCATGCTTAAAAAGCTGACGTGGACGCCTTTCAATTAAATAAATCACCTCAAATCAATTAGTCGTGTTACCATGAAATATGGCCCCTTCATTCGAGTCGTTCTATAATGCACTTTCATTGGTCTTAAGATCTAGGCAAGTTTTACAAGTTATTTGGCATGCGAAATGGGAGATTCATAGGATCATTCTTAATCTCTGGGATGCTGGGTCTTTAGTCAATTCCACCCAAACTCTAGAATTCATCGTGGCGCGCGAGGGCTTCTCCAAAATCAGTGGCCTGAGAGCCGACGAAAACATCATATTTGTCCAGTATTTCCTCCTTGGTCAACTGCTCATCGTGATCCACATCGGCCTCGAACAGCAGATGCTTGGCTTCGCTCTCCGAGTGATCAAAGTCCTGGGGCGAAATCCACTGCTTCACCTCCTCCTCGTTCAAATAGCCATCTTTGTCCAGGTCACGATGATTGGAGAACGCCTCTCTTTCGTTGGCCACCCACTCAGGCTCCTCGTCTTCGGCGTTTGCCGAGCGGTACATGTCACCAATGTACTCGTCCACCGAGATCTTGCCATCGTTGTCCTTATCCAGATCGGAGATGGTCTCGCGCAAAACCAAATGTTTCATTGTGGGATGGTCTTCGGGATGCAAGAAGGCAGTGAATTCTTCCCGGGTCAGGTTGTCATCCAAGTCCAGATCGGCGACCGACCAGCGGTTACGATCGCGCTTCATCACACTCTTGTAGCTGACTCCTGGAAATAAAAAATAAAATAAAAATCACGTATGTGTATGCATGGTACTTATATGTTATTATCAGTTTGTCCAAAATAACAATTTCTTTCTAATGCCGTCATTATTTTTTAATATTTAATCACATCTTTTAGCGGCAAATTAAAAAGCTTTAAATTTATATAGGTCATCTCATGTTATGAAAGATTTAATGAGTTATGAAAGATTTAAGGACATAAGATTTAATATTGAACATTTAGCTACCTACCATTTTCTTCCTGTTCCATCTCGTCATTGCTCAAATTATCCAGGAAGCCGTATACAGCCTCCCTGTAGGACTCCCAACTGATGGTGGCATTGTTCTCCGGATTGTGCTGCTTCCACACGCGGCTCACGTCCTCATCGATGTAGCGCCTCTGGGTGTAGGCAATCCAGTTTTTAAGCTCCGGCAAAGTGACGAATCCGTCCTTGTTCTCATCGATGCGGTCCACAATCAGGCCTAATCTCCGCCTGCTCTCCTCTGGCGTTAAGTTGTCGAATTTCTTGGACTCATCGGGACCCAAAAAGGCTTCGTGGTCGAACTGGGCATTATGCTCGCCTCCATCGAAGTGCTTGGCATTTAGGGAATCGTGTTCGAAGGGATTAAAGTCGACCTCTTCCGGAATGCTGGAGGCTCTTGCTGCACTTATCATTACCGCCGCCACCGCAACAAGTAGCAGCATCTGAATTCCGGTCTTCGCCATGTTCTTTTAAATGCCTCCGTTCGGTTCTGTGGTGGTGGAGTGGTCGCTAAAATTTCCTTCACTGATTACAGCACAATCGCTGGATAGCCGACAAAAACCGTTTCCTACTTCGCCTAAAGGGTTCTTCCCAGCTTCTGTTTTAAAAATGATTCCGACTGACGTAGCTAGCCGTTCGTTAGAGTAGGTACACTGCAATCGATATATTGATACTTCGAATAGTGCGATATAGTGCGGAGTTCAGTTTCGATAGTATTTGGGTTAAAAGCCTATTCACACTGGCTCCGTTGCTGCAGCAGCGGCTTTCGATTAGGGTGCTAAATATAATTCTGCTGATATTCAAAAGATCAGATAAGCTTGTAACCTTTATCTTAGGATATCGCTAATGAACAAACATCTACCAGCATACCAGTTTAAATAAAATAACGGCGATGTATGCATACTTTAAGATTTTTGATTTAATTTATTAAACGTCCTTTTTGTAAAGCTATTTAAATATCGCACAAATAAATATGTGCAAACTTTTGTATTCACTTATCTCTATTTACATTCGCTTACGTGCAGGGGAAAATCAGGAGTGAGCGCATCCCGAAATTATTTGGGTGCCTCGGTGCCTTCCTGACCCAGTGAACTAAAGTCCCCCGTGTTGCAGGAGATGCTGGGAATATCGAAGTTTGAGAAGCCCCGGTAGCTGGCCACCTCGGGCTTTAGAGGGGATGGGAGTAGGACAGCTGTCCCAGGCACTTCGCTGTCTATCAGGCTATCCGTGGTGCTGTCTAGAACAGAAGGTGGCTGAGTAATTGAGTCTGTTTGCGCCAGGGGATCAAATTCGTCGAGGTTCAGTTTGGACTCATCCGCAGTGCTGTTTTCGCCACTCTGATCCGACAAATCAAAGTCGTAGTTTATGTTGGTCAGGCCTCCTTGAAACTCTGATCCCAGCATGAGCACATCTGTATTTCCCTCGGATGAGGGCTCCTCCAACAGGGACACGGCATCAAAGGCGGTGTAATTGAAGATTGGCGAAGCGAATAGGTGTTCGGCTGGCTGAAGATTCTGATGTAGTGGTGACAGACGACCCATCGAACCCATACTGGTGTCCTTTAGGGATAGTCCTGAATCTTCCGAAGCCATCGCAGGCTTTACCGAGCCAACAACATCAGTCAGCGATTGGGTGGTCAACGTACCGCCACTCAGCATATTTGCCTGATAATGACCAGCTTCGTTTTCGTTGTGGAGATGAGCTCTTGCTTGTCCAATCAGAAAAGCGGGTGTTTTGATGGGCAGCAGGTTGAGTGGCGCCTTAGCTATCACGGTGTCCACTCGCTCGGTCACCTCCCTTTGGAAATCAATTAGCTTCTTTTCAAATGATGTAATTTCGGAGCTTATCAACGCGTTTTTTTTCTGCAGCATCTCCATCCGCTTCATGTTCTCGGAAATCAAGTGAAGACTCTCGCAGCCCAACAGTGCACTTTCCCAGGGCGAACTGTAGGGTTGCTGTCCGGACATCAGAGCGTCGAACTCCTCGCCACTGATGCCCAGACTCTCACCATTCAGATACTCAATAAAGGCAATGGCCGAGCAAAGATTGGTGAAGTAATAGCCACTCTCGCCGCTCATCACGCGCGATGCATTTGTGAAGCGCGTCACAAAATTGATGTTGCTGTGGAGGCGCACGGGATTGGCCTTCAGGACGACGAAAATCAGGGCGGGTAGGAAGTCATCTGCGCTAGCTGGTCCACCAGTTGCCCGTTTCAGTAGCTCGAAGATATGCCTGCAGCAGCGCCACGTGCACTGCAGCTTCTCCTGGGGCGAGTAATATGAATCGATGCCCACCAACTCGGATATAGCATTGTAAACCAGATCCCTGGCCTCCGAGTTGACCTCATCGATGCTGCAGTCCAGATGCTTGGCCGTGATCCAGCTCAGCTGGCGAATGCGCTTTTGAACCTTTACATCGCTGTCCTCATCCGTTGTAAAATAGGGACTAAAGAGAAATCTGAAAGAAGAATAGTTCCCCGCCATAGAGATAAATATTCTCGTGCACTGATATTTCTGGATGACTCACTTGTGGTTCTGCGTCATCACCACCTTCTCAAAGAAGTCAATGGCACTATCACGATCCTCGTTGGTGGCTATCTCAAAGCTAGGGTCGTTGTGCACGATGTCCGAGACTTTGGTGTAGGCATTTTGCACTAAATCTGAGAGTTCATTGATGTTTTTGCCGCCATTTCCGTTCATATACTTCCAGATTTCGCTGTCCAAGCGTTGGATTTCCAGCTTGAGTTTGCGTTTGCCGTCGTCGGGAATGCGGAGTTGGCGCAGCTGCAGCAGGAACTGACCCTCCGTGGGATCAGGGACATGACCACGCTGTTGGGTGACTATATAATATGTTTATTATATATATTATTATGTTTAGGAGACAGGAGAGCTATGTAACTCTACTTTTTTGGGCTCCAGCTTGAAGTGTTTTCTGCAAAACAGCGGTGAACTTCTTCTTTTGTAGCGTGCCTGGAGTATCCTGCTCAGGTTTTTTAACCTGATGGCCATGACCATGTCCATGTTGTGGGGATCTCCGCTCCAGGGATCCAGCTGCGATTTGTGAAGTTGAGGAGGATCCGGGGCCCGTTTCATCTGTCTTTTCTGCAAGGAACCATTACTTAAGACTCTATTGTGGATTGGGTACGGGAGCCGTAAGGGGGACTCACGCTTCAACTTCCGTTGAACGCATCGAACATCACGGAAACACATCGAACAAAGTCCGTCGTTCTGGGGTGTTCCGTAGAATCCGCATCCCGTGCGGCACTTCAGGTCCTGCTGGCCCAGACGCAGGGAAGGTCGCGCCGCCTTTGACATCTTGGGTGCCTTTGTTGCTTCTTGTTTTTGTGGCTAAACTGTGGAGATAAATAATTCGACTGCTGACAGTGCTGCCAGATCGTCGTCTAGTTAGTAATGGCATATCGTGCATCCACCCGGTAGAACTGATTCACGGGTTTCTAGTACCCGCCCATCGAATGGAACCAGTTCGGTTCATATTGAGGGGGACTCCCATTTATCTACAATACATCCAAGAAACTAAGAATGGTTACCCTCAATTTACCATAACAAAAGAACAGATCAATAAACTTTAAATAAATCTTCTGGGTTCTTTAATAAATTTATAAAAAATTTACCTACAATACACCCAAGAAACTAAGAATGGCTATCCTCAATTTACCATAAAAAAAGAAAAGATAAATAAATCTTCTGGGTTCTTTAATAAATTTATAAAAAATCGTTCGATTTAAATATTTGTGAAATACTTAACATAACACTTACCTTCAATTAAATTCTTATTTAAGAGAACTTAAAAAAACGGCCAAACAATATCCATTGAAAAAAAAACTGTCAGGTTATGTTCCACTAAAATTGAATTTTAGCATATTTTATTCGAAAAGAAAACATTTTAAATTGCAACTTAGGGGAATTTGCTCAATTTTGATGGAATACATTTAGTAAAATCGTAGTGCCTAAGGAAACATTTCAACACACATTCAAGTTTTGGATGCATATAAACATTTTAAAACCAGTTAAACGTTTTGTTTTCGCTTTAGCAAGTTGATAAAGTAGTTACATTTAGGACGGTTATACACATATAAAGAATGCAATTTCTGGTAGGGTCACAAATATTAGTAGTTCACAACAGCGATTGGAAAAAGCTCAGAAAACATAGAGTTATGGCTAGGACTAGACTACGAATTTTCAAATTTGTGTCCTAACTGCTTTATATGCGCTACGTTATCGATCTTGTTCCCAATGAAAAATCTAAATCTGCAAGCAAACCTCTTCGTCGTCGAGCTCTTAACTTAATTGACGCGCTCCAATATTGCACTCAGCTACCAACAACTCGACTAGTTCAACGCTACCTCTACTCTATCTCTACTTCTTCTAAATTTGTTCTCTTGTCTAGCAGTAAAAAGATTTCGAAAAAACCATTTTGTCTCTGTTTGTGTTTGATTAGTCTTAAAAATTGCTAATACTATTTCGCTACTTTCATCAAAATGCAACCTTGTCTTGCCCGTGCTCAACTACTATCGATAGTTTACGTATACTTAACATGATCGTTCTTGTTTTCGTTCACTTTCCATTTGCAATTCAATTCAACCGTTTCGAAAAAGTTTCTTATATAGTTTTGAACTGGAATTTAACACTACTTATGATGTCTTTGGCTTCTGTTTTTTGCTTTGTATGCGCTTAACTCTTACAGCTAAACAATGTAATTATCGTTAACACTTTTTCGACAGTTATGCTGCCATTGGTTTTGGTTATAGGTTTTTGATTAAACATTCTTTGTTTTTTGATTTTTTCGTATGTTAGTGTGAGTGTGAATATCAATTTGCTACAAAAGAGTTGCATTTGTATAAAATTCAAGTCTAACGATTTGTTTCAATAAATTCCTTGTTCCAATCGCAGATCAATTGGAATCAGTTGGCTGATCTGATGACTCTGGTTCTTGTTTGTATTCGATTTATGAGTACCCTGTGTATTTAAGTAGGTTTTTTAATTAGAAAGTATTGTAGTTAACGTTAAATACGTTCAAGTTAATAAAACTGTATATCTTAAATTTAAAATAATGTCAAATATATACATTTAAAGTTTACATTTAAGCAATAAAATTAAATTGAACAAAATAAAATTAATAAAATAAAATAAATTAAAAACGAAAAATGTAATCATATTATACTTATAAAATATTGACCTGTAGTTTTAGTTTCTTAAGAAAATCAAAGTCCCTCTTTAAAAATAAATCTATTTACTAAGTGTGTAGTTCACCCTTTCGACTATGTTCTGTTTTTGACTAGCTCGTTAGGACTTTAATAAGACCATTAAAAAGTCAGCAGTTTTTTTGGTTCAGCGATCTGGTTAACTGAAGTACTTGAGTCCCGCGATTAGCATAAATTTCTCAATAAATAACTCCGAATCCAGGACTGCAATGTGAGCCGCACGACCAATTAGAGTGTTGGCCGTATGAGGCAGGGCATGATGGACATCAAAGCGGGCCAAAGTCAGTTCCGGCCTGGCCAAAATCGGAGCGATTATATTGTGCACCATTTCCCTGGGAAAAAGTAGTATAATAGACCGATATTTTATAAGCTTGGGGTGTATTAATCACCTGTAAATAGTGCCCAACGAGGAACTGTCCCTCATGGCCGCCTTGCAAAGTTCCAATCGGGCCGAGTGCGCTGGAACATAGCGATCCTGGCTGGATCCACAGAGCAGAATGTTCTTGAAATGATGCAGGGTGCTCCTTTGGCTCAGCCTGTACAGGAAACAATTCCGCATGTCGGTGGTATCCCGCATACAAAGCTGCAGCAGGGATCCGGACTTTTTCCACTTTTGCATGAACCACATGCCTACAGGCGAACGTATAAATGGTGAGTATTTTAGGTGGTGTTCCTAACTTTTATGGCCTTACCCATGTTGACCAATCCACTGGTGTTGTAGAGGGTGCCCAGATGAGGTCCCGACAGCGAGAGGAAGGTGTGCAGACGCGGGAGCAGGGGTCTCATCTGGGGCCTGGCCAACGCACTCCTCACTATGATCGTGCCCAAGGAGTGGGCCACAAACGATATTCGAGCGGGATTCAAAGCGCAGCTATCGATATGGTAGAGTATCTCGGTTACCAGCCTAAACGATATACAATTTAAACATTAATCAATTTTAAAGTTAACATTTAAACTAATCAAACCAAAACTTAAATTGTATTTAAGTTGCTGAGCGAGTAGTACAATAATTTAAAAGATTTTAAGGCAAATCTAGTTTAAGATGGACCAAAAATAATAGTATTTAAAATATTGTATAACTCACCGATCAGTCATGGTGTCAAAGTCTGAGAATGTGTCTCCCTGATTTCTCTCCGACATGAGAAACTCAAGATTTACACCGGGTAATCCCAGTTCCAGATAGGTGCGCACCAGCCTCAGATCCGCCGAGTTGCCATCCAACCCGTGGACACAGATGACCAGGTGCATTCCGTTGGGAGAAAATGCACGGTACTCGTCACTGATGTAGAAGTATGGGAGCTCCGAGGCCAGCTGTACGTAATCGGAGTATATGGTACCCTGGTATTTGATCTGCTTTCGGAACTCCTCGCGATACTTCTCGAACTCCAGTAGGGAGATGCTGGGAGGTGCCTCCTGGACGGCGGAGGACACCGGACCCTTCCGCTTGTGCTTGGAGATGGTACTAGCACTATGTGTCTGCTTCGTTCCTCTCACCTGGCCATTGGAGTTCTCCTTGTTTTCATCCTGTTCGTGGTCCAAACCATTCTCCACGCCATTACCATTAATCGCATGGGATTTGCATTGGTGGCTTAGGGGATTCGGTAGATTCTGTGGCCGTTTTAACTCCGCCAAGCTGTGGGATTTCAGTACAGGCTTATTGCTGAAGATGGCCGGCGTGGAGATGGGGCGCAGTGACTCGTAGATGTGGTACACTGGATTATCGATGGCACCCACGGGCTGGCGTTCCTTTAGAGGCGGTGGCAGATGGCAGGAGACCAACTTGGCTTTTCCCGTAGGAGGAAGTGCAGCCGGAGCAGGAACGGTAACAGTAACTGGCAGGGGGACAGGTGCCAAAGGAGCTGTGGGCGCCGGTTCTGGTGGCGGATCACGGAACTCATCGGGTGGCGGAGGAGCCAAGGTCAGAGCTAGCTCCTGCTCTTGATCCTGAAACTGCTGAGGAGGTGGCAGGCACACCGCATCCAATGGCTGCATGTCCTTCAGACTCGTTATATCGAAATCCGACTTGGATTTCTCGCACTTGGTGGCAGAGGCAGTCTTGTGGCGATTCCTGCGCGGCGGTGGCTCCATCTCCTCCACCTCCGTGGACTCACCATTGGGCAGGTGACGCAGTCTATCCAACTGGAAGCGCGAACGCTCCCGTTTCACATTAACAGTCACCGATGAGATCTTCTTGTGAACGTCGGTCTGCTGGCGAGCTGGAGTTCTACTTTGACTGGAGGATCCTACTCCGGCGGCCTGTCTTTTCCGGGTCTTATGGGGATGTTGCTGCTGGAGCTGCTGCTGTTCCAGGACCTTCTGCAGACGTAATCTCAGCTGCTCGCCATTTAGACGGGTCTCCATGGCCATACCCATTCCCAAATTGAGTTGCGTGTGCCTCTGTCGGTTGGTTAAACCTGTGCTGGTAATGGTATCCGGACTGGAGATGGCCAGTGAGCTCCTCCGACTGCTCACCCAGCCACTCTCCTCGCTCAGCGACGAGGTGGAGTTGCTCCGCTGTCGCCTCAACTGAGAATCGGAATCGAATTCCGGTGGGGGAGCCAGATTAGGCAGGGACTCACTGAACCCACTGGTGTTGGGATCACTGCTGGTGGTGTTGTTATTACTGGTTCCATTTCCATTTCCAGCTCCCTCCAAGCGAAAGGGAACACTATTCGAACTAAGCATCTGGAGTTTCTGCATCATGTCGCTCTCGGAACTGCTGGACTCCTTCCTCAGTTGGCCCTGCCTCAGCATCTCCTTGATATCGGAGACCCTGACCCGAGCAATCTCCACAGCTCGCGGGATTTGCGAGGAACTACTCCTCGGCATGGTGGTGTGCTGACTCGGCGGAGGTGGTGGATAGGAGTTCCTCGGCGGAACCATCGACTTGGGCAGGGAGTTGTAGCCATTGGTACACTGCTGTTGCTGTTGCTGAACAACCGGTTGCTGTTGCTTGGGAGGATTCAGCAGCTTGATCTCGTGCAGGTAGTCGAATTTCCCATATCTCTGACGAAACTCACATATGTTCCTCATCAGATCGTCTGCTTGGAGTCGGGGTAGCGTATGGTTGTTAGTCGTTGTCGCTGGATTCGTGATTAGTCCGTCGCAACCATCAAGTTGATCCAGGGACTTACTGTGTCGCGCTGGCACACTCGAATCCAGATCGAGATCCTCCAGCAAACCCGTGACCGAGTGCCTGGATAGATTGTGACGCAGTGAGGGAGCAGCGATTACCTCAGCAGGTGCTTCCTTGCTGGGCGCAATGGTGAGACTCGCCTGGAGCACCTCGCCGCCCAAAGCGAATCTCGGCGTGATCACACATTTGGCATGCGGATGAGCTGGACCCGAGCCATTGGTCTGTGGATAATCATAGTCAAAGTGGCAGGCCAGGCAATCTTTAATGCCATTCAAACTACTGCTCGAGTGCGTTTTGTCCACCTTCTTCTTCTGGCCACCCACCACGGAGATCGTTTCATCCAGCTGGGGATCACTACCGGATCTTCTTCGGGAATAACTGCTGCCCGGAGTCACATAGCGATCCTCGAAGATCAACGGCAATGAGGAGGCATCGCCATCGATTGGTGTACAGTGAACGGGAAGCGGCGGCAGGGACTGCAGATAGCGACTCCTCCTGGCCAGCTCCGCTATGGCCACGTATCCCTGACAGTGACCTGGTGAGGGTGATCCATTCGTTTGATCCTGGCCACCAGCTGCCGCCGCATGACGCGGTTGCTCCAGCACAAAGAAACCTTCGGCAAATCTACGCACTCGAAGTATATGATGCTTCCTGGCCAGCAGCGTGTGCACGGCCGTCGAGGATCTGGAGGCCAGGAGGACCCTGCGCCACCAGAAAATGCTCTCCGCACACAATTGGGCTATGTCCGAATTGGCCCTTATGGCGAAGTCCTCCTCCGCCTCCAGTTGCTTCGCCTGATCCAGCAAAAGTTGAAGCCTTTCTGCCGTGTCGTTTTCCCTGAGCGGAGGTGATCCAATCTGGGAGTTTATACTCGGAGGTAACACTGTACTAAACTCATTTAGCGTGGCCTTCAGTTGCTCAATGGCTCCCAGGAGCAAACAGCAGATCTCTCGATGAATCGCTCGGGATTGGAGCAGCCTGCCCGCGGGTCCACCGCTGCACTTGGTGGTGCCACCTATCTGGGGTCCAAAGAACACCGCTTCCAAGGGTCCCGGCGAGGTGTTTCCCCTGCAGCTCAACTTTCCCGCACTCCAGGGCTTCGAACTGCGAGGCGCACTGAAATTACAGGAGGAGAATCATAAAAAACCGCTATTAACATTTAATGGATACGTGACATCCAGTTCATATCTACCATTTAAAGATACTATACACATAATGAAAAGAGAGAGAAAAGGATAGAGACGCAGACGGACGGATGGATACATAAAGCAAGCTCTCCTGGCCACAGAAACTACACCAACTACGTGAACCGAGCAGAGTGGAGTACGGAATTTACACAGTTACGGAGAGTTAAGGATTTTGATGGGCTCTTACCAGAATTTCATATACGAGAACTTGCTTTTCCTGCAACCGCAACCAGTTTTCAGTGTTGAATTGGTCAAGTTTGATCCGTTATTAAGTGATATTGATATGGATTATATATTTAGGTTTATTTCGATATCGTTGGAGCGCAAAAAATGAGATAAATGAATCGTAGGTTATAGAAAACGATAAATGGTTGAATTTAAACTGCAAGTAACTGTCGTGAAAAATATAGTGTGTGGTGTCGATGATTCCTGAGTCATAACTAATTACCTACAAGTGTTAAGGTGATGGTAAGTAAGAAATAAAAAAATTTTGGAACAATATAGAAATTTAGTGCAGAATCGTTGTTTAAAAAAAGAAAAGATTTATATACCAAAAAGTATACGAACCAGCAGGAAATACAAAATTAGAACGAAATTTTCTTTGATAAAAGATTCAAAGATATCCAAAATAAAAAAGTACCAAATTTCTAAACCAGTGAATCTTAACTAAATAAATTAGGTTCTCCAACACCTTACAGTTCTTGTTGGATTCCAGAAATTAAACCTTAAATCAAATCCAATAAAATCCAAAATTAAATGCACTATGAAAAAATGGTTGAACAAGGATAAAAAGGACCTCTGGGATAAAAGTAACTAAAAGAAAATGTTGGTTATTGCAGGCAAAAAAACCTTCACCAATAAGGATTATAAAGGGCAATCTAACTATTAAACTTTGAAAAGTGAGTCAGAGGAAAAGGGATGCTTTATTATTCCATGCCCGTAAAACTGAAAAGTTTCCATGGGAAAAATGCAAGGAAATCTTCTTTAAAAGATTTAATCCCGAACACTTTAAAGTTTCTCCCCCGAAAATCCGCTGCTAAGCCAATCCGACTCCGAGCATGATTGGACCTCAGCCTGCCGAGATAATCAGGCAATTTACGGCTTCGCTCGCGAGGATAAGAGTTGCGGGGATTGGCGGGCTGTAATCAGCATGAGTATCCACATCGGGGCAGAGGCCAAGGTCAACAAGGAATTCCGGAGCCCAATGAGATGATATTTTATTCATACGAAAGAGATAGACTCACTTGGAGGGAGCGGGAACTACGCGCCCTGAGTCAATTTCAAATTCCGTTTCATGTTTTGTTTGCCAAAGGATTCCGTACGAGGACATCAAATTGGTACTCCAACTAGAGATTGGGCTTCGAGCAATAGCAGAGGATTTGTGCACGAAAATTGCCGACAACTTTTAGCAATACAAAACAGATTAAAGAATTATTCGCAGAAGAAAAATGGTAAACTTTCGTCAAGGAGAAGGGGGCAAAAATACTGGCAGAAGGATAAAAACTTTTGCGGAATCAAACGGCGTAAAAATTGACTCTGCAGTATGAAGTTGTAGCTTTCCGCCAAAGGATCCAGCCACGCCCCCTTGGATCCTGTAACGCCTCTGCGTCTTGTTGGCCGTGCAAGTTGCAAGTTTTGTGTTGTGTACTTTTATCCTCCTACTTTTCCCAGCAGGAGCCAAAGGACAATTGCATTGCGAGAGTCATTAAAATTTATGCCTCGACATTTTTTTTTTGTATTCTCTGCATTTTGTATGCACAGTGGGTAGTTAAGGAGGCGGCGGAGGAGGAGCCTGTGCGCAATTTTAATGAGTTGGAAATGATTTGTGCGGGTAACTGGCCGCCAGTTGCCTACGAAATCCCCTGTCCTGCCGATGCTGCAATCCCCACGCAACAGGACACGATAAAAGGGGGTCTGCCACGCCCACTGTCCCATTCCCCGCCAACTGCCCCTTTCCCAGCCCACGCTGCGGGTTCAATTTACTGTGAAAAATATGACTATATCAACGTTGACATTAGAGATCATGTTGTCATCTTCACTTTGAATCTCCTGCATCGCCTGACACTTGAACCGCCTACACTATGCAAAATTAGTTATAGTTTTGATCGTTTAATAGCTAAGCTTAAAGAAGTGCACTTGTATATTAATTTAAGTTTCGTGGGTAGTCACAAAAAGTAGGACGCTACAAATTTTTTTATCAAAAAGTTACCTAAAATAAATTTTTAATTTGGTTTCTTAAATTACAATTCAATATATCGTTGTACTGTCTTTTATTATAATTGTGTTAAATATATCCTGCTGTCATTTTAATAATTTTACATTTATTTTATATTTTTTTTATAAATTTACTTAAAAACATTTTAAATTTGACTTTTATTTTTAAACGCAGCATAATGTTGTTTTAATACCCATTTAAACTTTTTAAATAAAATGTATATTTCCTACGATTCACACTATACTAAAGCATACAAAAGTATTTTTTTCAGTGCATCGGGGCACACCTCCTCTACTCACTTGATGTAGGGCTGGTGGAGGGCCACGAGGCTGGCATGGATGCCCACACTGATGGCCGCCAAGTGGAAGTAGTCGAACAGCACCGGCAGATGGTAATGAAGGCCACGTCCCGGATGGAAGTTCAGCTGCAGGTTCCTGGTGGAGGCCAGTGTCAACGTGGAACTGCCAGATCCGGAGAAGCTGCCCATCCCACTCCCGTTTCCATTGCCATTCATTCCGCTCGTCCCGTTCTGCTCGCCAAACCAGAGCTCCAACTGCAGTGAAAACTCGGCCCGTTCAATGGACTCCTTCAGGTGACGACTGTCAACTGCAAAAAAAGGGGGCAAAAAAATGAATATCCGTCTTGAGGTTGAGTGAACTGCAAATCCCCGGGATAAATGCGGCAGAAAATCCAGCATGCAAACATCCTATGTAACCCATGCCACACCAAAACCCCCACAGAAGTCGATTTCAATTCCGTCTTTGTCTTATTTGTTTTTGTATTGATTTTCGTTTAGTTCGGAACAGAATAGTGGTTAGTGGGTGGTATTGGATGGGTTGGCCCTCAGCCCCCAAAACAAAATGGGTTAATGTCCATGTAGTTGTGCATGCGAGAAAGACAAATCAAAATTCTGCGAAGACCGCAAATGGTTGGCCGGAAACCAAGGAATAGATGACTCAGGAAAATGTTGTCCTAGTTGCTAACATTTGTGTTTGGGAACTCAATCAATTAGGTTTCATTGTCGATTCACAGCAGATGTCAAAGTATTAAATATTTATTTGTTTATGTTCATACAAGTTGGCTTACATAGAATATTGGGAAAATTAGCGTGCGGTAAAGTGTAATATTTTAATGCAGCTCAAACAAGAGATTATTTTTACTATAAACATGTAAAGATAGAAAATAACTTTAATGTAACTAGTTTCAAATATATTCATAACAACGGCTCACTATTTTCCATTTAATATATGTAAAAAGTAAATAAGCCTTACAAAAAATCTTACTACAAATTTATTATAAAAGTCTTATAACCATTTAAAGCTAATTTTATACCAACTAATTTTTAAATTTTTTTTTATGTAAGGAGAATTAGCTATTATGAACTCATAAAGTTGATGGAAAATTTCGTAAGTAAGCTCTTAAAAATGTGGGTCCATTAATGCTGCAATGATTTTTTCCCTCTTTTGGATGCTGATTTACTTATTCCATATTCAACAAGTGAGCTGAACCTAATCGTAGCCTCCCACATTTCGGTATTTCATCAATACCAGCGATTATTCCACCTGCCGCTCCATAATAATAACCATCAGAGTTTACCAATGTTTTCCGCTCCCCCTGGAGACCCCGATCTCTACCTATAGCTTTGTATAGCTCCATAATCCCCGACCGGCTCGTTTCTGAGCTGAAAATGTTAATCAAATTCAATTTGCTCCACATGTCGATGGTGGTTTATGGGGTGGCTACTTAGGATTCCCGCAACCTTCCTCCGTAAAACCCCCCGTGTGTGTGGGGTCATAAAATTCATTTGTTTTCATAAAAGAAGGATTTATCCATCGCAAAAGGCAATAAAAAGAACAGAGCGGAGAGACCCCCAAGCATCTCTTTTGCTTGTTGAGATTTGCTTGGGCCCGCCGCATCACTCATCCGCCATGTGGTCCATGGTGACAATTGCTTTTGGCTGGAATAATTTAAACGGCGAGGATTTCACAAGGGTCTCCGCTGCTCGACACAGTTTATTTTATTGTCTGCGGTGCAGTAACCCACTATATACGAACTATGCGCGTACGAGTATTCTGCGTGTGCCAAAGATAAATTGCACAGTTAGGAAAGCGGAAAAAGGGAAAATGGGAAAACCCCAACAATCACACACATGCGAGACATCAACAACAGACTGAGAGCTGTCAACTGAAAAGTTACTTTTGTTTGCGGCTTTTTCTATATTTCCCGCCACGGCACATGCTTGGGAAACTTGTCCAAATGAATTAATCACTTTACTCGGCAGCCAAGTGGATGATGTTTCCATTGTTGTTGAAAGATTCCAAGGCGAGACAAAAGGGAAAAAACAATAAGGATAAGGGACATGGGAATAGGCAACATCGAGGGGTTTAGGCGTCCATCAAGTGCTCATCATTCTCGCACTTTTCCGAGAACGAGTTGCCAACACCTTGAAATCTCTTCTCCCTCTTTTATTTCTTTACACAATACCCATAAATATGCGAATAAAAATATCTATTTATATTTATATTTATATCCACCATTTCCATTTGTTGACGGTGCGTGTGTACATTTTTTCATGCGCTTTTCCGCATTTCGCCCGTATCTCACTCTTCACCTCTTGTTATTGTGGAAATTAACTTTCAATTTGCTTTTTACCTCGCCTGCGTTTTTTGACACATTCAGTTTTTATGGGTTTTTATGCTGTTTTATGGCGTGCTTACCCTGTGTACAGAATATTTTAAAAGATGATTGTTTTATAAACGTGAACATAACATTTAAAAGAATAAGTTTATGTACGATTTATATATAGCTATATATGTTATATGTTTAAAAATGGTGATGTCTTATTTCAAAATGTATTTGTTATTCTTAAAATGTTTTCAGATTAAAATAGTTTATTAATGTAACCTTCAAGTCTCATAATTATACTTTTTTTTATGACACCAAAGCTTTTTTAGTTCACTTTTAATTCGATCATCTAGCACGATCTATAACTAAATTGTTTACTTTATATTCTACCTTATACTTGGCCTTCTGGCTTGTGTTCAGCGTCTTGTGTTTTTTATTAATAAAAACTGGGTCAATGTGCGGGCCAAGTTTTTCCCTTGCTTGGCAAAGAGTTTTCTAAAAGGAGCTCCCAACTTGCCGTAATTGCATTGCAGCAAGGGCAGCAAAAATCCTTTTAGCTGCAGTCAGCAATAAATGCAATTAGGTGGAAATTTCCAAACTGAACTTTGTGTCCTGCCATACGTCTTCGGCATCTGTCCCATGTGGTCATCAACTTCACTCCTGTTCCCCATTGAGCATTCCCAAAAGCTCAAAAGTTTTTTTTGTTGGCCAGAACCAGAACTTTGTCCGGTCCCTGACAATTTGATTTATATTTCCAATCGAACAATAAACTCATTTCGGCTCTGAAAGTTTCACTGTCCGCTGACTGGGCGAGTGATTTGGTGTCTGGTTACCCGCTTTGGGTGGGTTTTTTCCCGGTTTGCCATTAAAATGCCACCAATGCGGCAACGGGGAATTCCCGGCATTCTTGGCACTCGCCAAAGTGCACATTTCTAGCTTAGCCTACTTGGCAGTATTCTTGACACTGTTATAATTTAATTTAGAATTTTTAAATCGTTAAAATAATCTTTAGAAATTCTAGAAAGTAATAATTAGCAGTGGACTGTTTTTTTTTCGCGGTTTGTATCTATTTTATTAAATTAGTAACACAAGTCTTTAGTCGCTTAAATTTGGATTACTCTGGTTGTGAATAATTAAAACTTGATTTATGCAGTTCCAGCTAGATATTGTAATGTTTGTCGACACGATTGTTTTTAAATGAAACAAACACTGCAATGCCAACAATGCGGAAGAACGCGATACCTTTTCGCATTCTTGGCAAGAGCCTCTGGTGCTCGAAAGTGCACTTTATGCACTAGCCTACTTGGCCGATGGCCGCACTCCTAAAAAAAAACTAATGTTTGACTTTAAAATAAGAAAAGTTACCTTTTCATTTTCATTTTCTGAAAGGTTAGTAACCTTTATCTGAAGAAAAAGTCATTCAAAGTTTTCATTAATTAAAATTTTTTAAGTTTCATACATAAAAAAAAAACATTTATATTAAATTTTAAAATATTTTATAAGGCAAGAACCATATCTTAAATTTCGAAATAATATTTTCCTGAGGTCACTCACCTAGCAAATGGCTCCGAAAGTGGATGATGTCGCGCAGCGGAACCTCTTCATTGCGGTAGAGTATCTGGAAGATGCGCGATGCACCGCTGCCGTTGATAACCGAGGCGGAAGTGCAGCTGCCCCCCGGTGGGGCCTCGAGGAGGCGTGGCACTTCCCCCGGCGACAGCTGCTCCCCCCTCTCGCTGTCACTGCTCTGGGTTCCATGGTCGGCGGTGCCCCCGTTCGCGTGTCCGTTCTGTTTGCCGCTTCCGCTCGCTTCCGGAATGCTCGTCTCCACCTGCACGGGTAAACGGGGCGAGACACGCAGGCCACAGCGCACCTGGTAGAGTCTGTGGGCGGGAGAAGATTGCACAATGCGCTACATAAACTATCGATTTTAAAAAATGTCAGAGCTCCAAGGTGCCATTTTTAACGAATAAACTGCTGCTTACATTTTTAAAACATTTTAAAGAAAGTCAAGTATAGAAAAATGGCGTGTTTGATATAAAAAGTTATGGACTCTCGAAGTCCAATTTTGAGCCACTCTATTACAAGACATCGGAAAATTGCAAATAACTAACATGAAAATGGGTCAAAAATTTGATCAACCCTAAATTAAAAATTTTGAATGCAGATTTTTAGAGAATCGAATCACGAGTCTTTAGAGGTATGCCACTTTGGAATCGGCTTGAATTTGGTAAGGTTATGGAATCTCGAAGTCCAATTTTGAGCCACTCTATTACAGGACATCGGAAAATTGGAAATAACTAACATGAAAATGGGTCAAAAATTTGATCAACGTTAAATTGAAAATTTTGAATGCAGATTTTTAGAGAATCGAATCACGAGTCTTTAGAGGTATGTCACTTTGGAATCGGCTTAAATTTGGTAAAGTTATGAAATCTCGAAATCCAATTTTGAGCCACTCTATTACAAGACATCGGAAAATTGGAAATAACTAACATGAAAATGGGTCAAAAATTTGATCAACGTTAAATTGAAAATTTTGAATGCAGATTTTTAGAGAATCGAATCACGAGTCTTTAGAGGTATGCCACTTTGGAATCGGCTTGAATTTGGTAAAGTTATGGAATCTCGAAATCCAATTTTGAGCCACTCTATTACAAGACATCGGAAAATTGGAAATAACTAACATGAAAATGGGTCAAAAATTTGATCAACGTTAAATTGAAAATTTTGAATGCAGATTTTTAGAGAATCGAATCCCGAGTCTTTAGAGGTATGCCACTTTGGAATCGGCTTAAGTTTGGTAAAGTTATGGACTCTCGAAGACCAATTTTAAGTCTTTCTATTACAAAACATCGCAAAATTAGAAATAACTAACATGAAAATGGGTCAAAAATTTGATCAACCCTAAATTAAAAATTTTGAATGCAGATTTTTAGAGAATCGAATCACGAGTCTTTAGAGGTATGCCACTTTGAAATCGGCTTAAGTTTGGTAAAGTTATAGACTCAAGATGTCCAATTGTAGGCCACTTTTTAAAAGTCATCGGAAACTTAGAAATCACCAACATGAAAATGTTAAAAAAAATGTATCAAAGTTAAATGACAAATTTGAATGCAGATTTTTGCAGAATCAAACTACAAGGAAATACAAAACAAGAGAGAACGCTATAGTCGGGTGCCCCGACTATCAGATACCCGTTACTCAGGTGAAGGGAGTGCGAGGGAGATGCAGATAGAAACTTTGATCACGCATAACTTTTTAACGAATGGTCCGATTTGAAAAATTTCTTCTACATTTCGATAGGTATTGATAAACACAATAAAACTGCATTTTTACTTTTCCGAAATATTTAAATTTTTAAAATCGTATATAAGCGATTGTGGGCGTTAAAGTAGGCGTGGCACCATTTTGAAACAAACTTGTGCTGCGTAGGAACTTCTAAAATCTACATGCAAAATGCCAATCTTCTAGCTTTTATAGTTTCCGAGATCTCAGCGTTCATACGGACAGACAGACGGACAGACAGACGGACAGACAGACGGACAGACGGACAGACGGACATGGCTATATCGACTCGGCTAGTGATCCTGATCAAGAATATATATACTTTATAGGGTCGGAAACGCTTTCTTCTACCTGTTACATACTTTTGCACGAATACAATATACCCTTTTACTCTACGAGTAACGGGTATAAATATACAAAACGTCATATATGTACTTAAATGCTTTGCCATAAAAAGCTGTACAAATAAAGTCGTATACGTAATATTTATAATGAAAGTCACCTATATCTTATAATACTGATTAATAGTATATTTCCTGTTCGTGGTATCGTATTTCTCCTATAATAAACTTGCTGTCAAAACGTTTAAAGATCAAAAATCCTCAATTCCCCTTAGTTGTGTCGGCCACTGACATCTCGGTCGTCAGCAGCTTCACTCGCAGTGACAGCCAAACAAAGGAAAATCAGAGAAAAACACATAAAAATCAGCCCAAACAATTGCTTTATTTTTCTTTTCATCCATTGGCACTCGCACACGATTTGTGTATTTGCGCACATTTCATGCGAGCTTCGTTTTGTACACTTTTTTATGTATTTTTATAACACGAGCTGCTGCCCGCCGTTCGTTTTCTTCAAGAGCAGCAGCAACAAATTGAAATCCCATAAACACTTGGCTGACAATTAGTGAGTGCTACGGTCACTACATAACCCCTCCGGCCCCCTCTGTCCCCCTCTTTTTTCCCTTTTCTGCCGTTGATTGGTTGTGCACTCTTTATTTGCTTATTGCACTGCATTCCGTTTTGTTTGCCCAGCACTTCAAAGGCATCTGTGTGTAAGTGTGTGGGCGAGTGTGCTCAACAAATTGGAGAAAAATTAACAATTTTATTTGAAATATTTTGTACCAATAGCTCTCTGTGTAATGTCGCAATTGACCCACATTTCTTCAATGTTTGCACATAATTAAGAAGTGCAACTCATCATCGTTCATCTGCACACATAGAGGTACTAATTGAAGGAAGTCTGTTTTAAAAACTTCCATAAACTTAAAGCTTACGACAGCATAAATGCCAAGATACAGAAAACAAACAATACATTTTATGAGACTATTTTTATGAGCTACTCACGAATTTATTTCAAACAGAGTGGCATAAAAACAATTCGTTTTTGTTACCCTCTAAAATCGGGATAATAAATCGTTCAGGAAATTGCTTAAACCGCTTAAAGGCGATTTGTTAAGAAACTATGGGTAACTTTAAGCCTAAATACTAATAGAGTTTAATATTTATAGCAAAGTAAAAAATATTAAGACTCTCTGATTTATAAATGGGAATTTAAAGCTGTACATTTTTTTTCACTGACTTGTCCTTTTCCGACTTTAAGTTTGACTAACGCATTTGCCCGCTAATCCATCAATTTCCATGGCGTGCAAATAAAACTTTCTTGGTATTTACTTTATTACTTTACGTTTCTTTGGATGAATACATCACTGAGTTTGAGTGCTTTTAAAACGTGGCGACAGACTCACCCGCGCTGAAACAAATCCACATTGAAGAACTTGTGCAGCTCCACGGAGAATTCGATGGTGGCCTGCAGGTCGCCCATGGTTCCTTGACCGCCCAAGGGGCTACTCCTGGTCCTGCTGCTCCTCCTCCTTCTGCTCCTCCTCCTCCTCGTGGTCGTCTCAAGTTGTCCGCAAGTTCATTGGCTCCTTCCTGTCACGAAAAAAGAAACACAAAAATTACGATAAGTTTTTACTTTTATTTATGGTATTTGATTTTTTTAGCGCTGACTGCAACGCCCACGGCAAAAGTGGCATTGCTGCGCTCTGCCAAGTTCGATTGCCATGCTCTCAATAAATTTATTGGCAACTATTGACAGCTTGGGCAATTGATTGCCCTGTAATTGTGCGACGAAACTGTGCCAAGTGGGCGATTTTCACCGAGCGCGCTTTATTGCCGCGGCTGTGGGTTGCTTCCTGTGCAGAGAAAAAATAGGACCTAAATTGTGCATGAAAAAGGATGTTTTTTCTAAAAAAAAATAGGACAACGTTGTTGCATATTTATGACCTTTTGACAATTTTAAAGGTGGTTTTTTATATGTGACACAAATACTTTTAAAATATAGATGATGCCCAAAAACACGACAAATACGTATGTACACCCCAATCATATCATAGTTATTAAAGTGATTAAAAGCCAGTTTTGTATAATTAAGCTTTTAAACTAATTTAAGATCAATTTTAAGTCTTTTCTCTAAGATAGGGTTTATTTAAACTGATAAGTGGGTTTAGTTAAGGGTTGAGCTTAATCATCCGACTCTCACATCAATCTTTAAACTAAAATCAGTTTAAAATCCGTTTCAGGCTTAAATGGAATTATATTTATTGCACAAAGGACTTTCAAAATAAGCAGAAGGTGAAAATATATGAATTACTACCATTCTTATGAGTTTTCCTTTGTGTAGCCGGGTTTCTATGTGTGTTTGTGTGTTCTGAGGTTAGCGGGTCAGCCACAACAACAACGAAGTGAAACCAGAAATGGGGGAAGCCCCGCCACGATGTCAGGCGAATGGGGCCAAAAGCGAAAGGAAGACAGCAACAACAACAACGATGACAACTTTTAATCGCCTGAACAACAAAAGCTCCTTTCCTTCACGTCGAAAAAAACGAGAGGGAAAGTGGGGAGGAGTCGGGAAAGTCAGTCAGTCAGTCGCCTGCGAAGCCCACGCCTACAATAACATTAATGTGCTGCAGTTAATGCCACCCCCACCGCTTTTCCACCCACTTTTGGGTGACCTCGCTTGTTGTTGACACAATGGAAGCGAGGCAAGAAAAGTGCTGCTGCTGCAGCTTCTGCTGATGAAAGAGTTCTCCGTGCGGATTTTTAAGGATGGCCCGGCAAAGGGAACATGTCTGTTTTCCCCTCCGCAATGTCTGTCTGTTGTTTGCCTCATTGTCAATGTGGGTTAACCTAAGTGAGCCAAGAGGTGGGTGGTGTGGGTGGAAAAGTTACACTACGATTCGCAACATTATGGGAAATTCAGATAATCAATCATTGTGTACTTAATTACTTAAAACATCAGCATCGCAGTTTTGAAAGTGTTAATACATCGACAATGAATTTTATTAAAGTTATGATTTTAATTGATAAATGTATTATTAAGATTAATGTTTTATTATTAACCTAAAAATGACTATTGATTTTATTCCATTAAAAAAATAAATTAAAATCAAAATCATTTTACTAATTATTCACATATAAGCTTTTATTGTCATATAAAATATAGGTTCTTTTTCATGTTTTTATTTTATTTGACTTTGACTTTGATTCCTAAGAAAAACCTTTTTAAATTCATTAAATTTATTCTATTCACATAATAAAAAGCCAGCCTTAGAAATATTTTTCGTCTTTAAGAATTTTTTAAGGATTTAGAGCTCAACAAACTTGATATCTAGATTTAAGTGACGCAGACTTATAGTTGCTAACCGCACTGTTCGTCTGCTGCAGCTTGGCAAGTGAAAGTGATGATGCCATTTGTTAGCAAAGTCCTTAAACCGCTCTCCTGCCATCCTGCCATCGTTGGTCCCCATCCGCATCCCCGTTTTATCCCATGATGTATGGGCAAATGTTGTCGCTACATTTTGACTTACTTTGTCATTAAGTGTGCGCCCCGCCCAATTCTCTTTTCGCTTGACAAATATTTGTGTTCATGAATTTGAAATGTTCTATGAAGTCTGCGGATTTTCGGCTTTGGCTTTTCGAAATTAAAAGCAAATTTGCTTGTTAGTTTTTACCCACACAAACGGGCCGGGTTTAAAATGGTTCCTTAACTTTTGAACATTACGCATACGCCGCGTTGTCTGAGCGAATAACCAAAAATAGCAAAAACAACTCTTGTAGTTGAGGGGAAACTGGGTCATCGCCAAAGTTCACACAAAAAACGAATTGTGAATAAAGTGCCAACAATGAGTGCACAAAGAATGAGAAATTTTTTTATATTATATATAAAACGGGAAGCGGAAACTTTTTAAAAGCTCAACACAAACACATTTGTGCATCGGATAAAGTGGAAAAGCGGGAAGTAGAATTTCAGGGGATTAACAAAAGCAAAGCCGAAACATAATGAGAATTTTTTGGCCAACTTAGGCGACCACAAAGACGAAATGCATTTATCAAGTTTCTAATTGAAAACTGGAAACTCCCATAAAATAGCATTAAGACCTCATAAAGTTTCTGAATGAAAACGCTGTTTCGAAATTCGCCAAACTAAAATAATAATAAACGAAATGAGCTGTGAACTATTCAATATCTGGGCGAGACCACCAAAAAGTACGCCATAAAAATAAAGCTACAAAAGCCACTTGAGTCACTTATCAAGACAAAAGGCCGGCCCAAACAAACAGTTGCCAACAAAGACACAAAGACCCAAACATAAGCCCAGCATTTCCGATCGCCGAGCCTCACCCGCCGACTTTCCTATCCCAACCGAAACTGTCGATGACAACGGCCTCATAAACGGGAGAAATCAAATCGTTCGTGCTTATCATCGTAATGATTATCCCTAATGTTCCTGGGAGGGAACGAAGAAAGGACTTCCGCGAGAAGGAAATGGGAAGGCAGGGACCGTGGCTATCTGCTAAAGTAAACCCACTTCGGGCCCAACTTCGCTGTACGTTACGTGTGCCCTAAATTATCGTTGTCTGGCCCAAGTCCAAATGGCAGGAAAAATAGGGAGAACCGAAGGACTAAGGGCCGTCAATGGCAGACAAACGAGGGTTGGCCCCCCTCCCCAGATGAAGATAAGTTGGTGACCCCGACACGTTCTGTTTTTTTACGTCTTCCCTCCCGCGCCACGAAAACCGGGTCCACCACTTGTTTTGATAAATACTATAGTATATATAGGGGGCGTACATACATAAAACATGGCGTGTGAATGTGTTAATGTCTAAGGTCGTCGTGGCCTGTTGATGAATGGAAAAGCTTTCATGTTCATATTTCAATTTAATGCCACAGGCCGGTCGCACTTCCTTTTGGGCCTCTTTTATTTTCGACCCGGTTTCAAGGCCATAAATTCAATTAATTTCCTCTTCAAGTCTGACTTTATGATTGTGAAAAATTAATTAAAATATTTTGTGTAGCTTCAAGCTGCTCGGATCAAAAAGATTGCGTTGCCCGGCGACCAAAAAGGTCCTTGAAAAATTAATAGGTTCTTTCCGAGAGCTCGATTTCATTCATTAACGATTTATATTGCCAACTTGTTAGCGCTAACCTTCCAAAACTTCGATACTAAGCAAATTAAGTTTATCCAATTTGGAGGTTGAAGCATGATGTTTATCGCATGTAATTTGAAACTCAGAAAAAGCAAACTTTGTGCTGATTGTTATCTCAGTTGCCTGAAAACATAGGAACCCGGAGAAAAAGCTCTTTCAATTTGGTTGTCCGGCAACTTTCGGCTACCTCCACCCCATTTCCATTCCCATGACAACTTGCTCGGCAGTCAGACTGAGCCGGAAATAGGCAATTTCATATCAGACAATTTCAACGACCGATTTGTTTGCCTGGGTGGCGAATTCCAGCCTGTAACATGTGTTTTTCCCTTAAATTATTCATCAACTGGCAAACTTAACCAAGCTGGGCTCTAACTCTGGTCTCCACATCTCTGCCCAGGCATCTCATAAAAAATGCCCTCGAGTGCCGACTTCGTCGCCGTCCATGAGCATGAAAATTATTTTCCCTGGCCTCCAAACTCTTTCCCGTCTATTGTGCACAATAAAGCAAGTGGAAGTGCTCTTGCGGAGTGTTGAGACTTGTTAGTTACCTATTAGTTTTTAAATTTGTCGACTACTTTTTTGGCAAATAAAAATAACTTGGCATATTGGAAGACAGTAACCTTATGAATGTTTTGATTACAAATTCCTTTCTTACCATCACAAAAATGGGTTTTTATAGGTTTCTAAGTACCGAAGAAGGTGTACATAATATATTTTGTATTAATTATGTGACTTATAAAAACCACTACATTTTGTAAAAAACACACTATCAAGTAATTAGAAAATTATGTTTATTAAGGCAGCAGTATTTAAGATTAAGAGATGCTAAACATGTGGTTCCAAGAGTTCCACAAATACAATATACCCCTGCAATCAACTGGTAACGGATAAAAAAATTGCCAACAGTTGCAGCTGATGGCGGGCACAAAAAGCGAGGGGCAAAAACGAGGTGCTCGGGCTGAGGTATCTTGGCCAAGTGCATCGCGTGCCCGGGGAAGAGCCAGGGGCACTCCGGCGGGCCACTTGCTCACGTTCACGTGTCGAGGCCCGAATGGGGCCCAAAGTCGGGGGGACGGACAATAAAGGGCGAGCCGAAGAACTCAAGTGCGCAGCCAACAATAACAAAAGAACAAGACCCCAAGCCAAGAGCAATGGCAGCGGGAAAGTTAGGAAAGGCAACCGCCTAACTGGTCTGGGAAACAGGGCTTGTGGCGAGTGCAGGCAAGTGCAAGGAATTGGTCAACATTTCTACGGGCCTCTCACATTACACGTGCCCCACGTTACAACGGAAAATGGGTGGAACGCTGGGAGGGCGACAAATCGGGTTGGGAAATCTTGTGGCGCATCAAATGGAATTGAAGTGAAAGAAGCACGAACGAATGAAAGATTGCGCCGAGGCTCAAAAGAGCTTTGCGAAATGAAATGGAAATGAAAAAAGGTAAATGAAAAAGATCAAGAAAATAGGGAAGATCCAGGAAATATGAAAAACAAGGAGATACTTTTAGAATTTAAGTTCTAGGAATTTGGAAAATTAAAATAAGAAATAAGGAAAAGTTTTTAGGTAAAGGAATGAGTGGATGTTTTAAAATTAGGTTTAAAATGTTTATATTTTAAGTACTTATAATAACTGATGAACTTAATATTTGAGTCTTAAAAAAACAAGGCATACTTAAAAGAAATTAAATAAATATTTAAACTTCTGAAAAAATATGTAGTTTCAATATACTCTTTAAATAATAAAATTAGCAGGGTCAATATTTTTCAACAACTTGGCTAAGATCCCTATAAAAATCTTAAAAGAAAAGAGAGCACTTACTAAAGATGGCTGAAATTAGAAGCCATTAATTGGAATAATGGAATAGAATAGGAAACTCAAGCCCCGCTTCATTAAAATTCCCTGAAAGGCAAGGAGCAATAAAGGAAAATTGAGAACCGTTGCCAGGATAAAAGCGCAGAGAAATAAATAATAGAAACCTGAGATTTGAGCATCCAATGCAGAGTTATTAGAAGCACAATGTATAAAAATTCTGCAGCAAGGCTGGGATAATTAAATCAAATAAATTATTTATCAAGCCATGAAGGCTGCTGCAACTAGTTCGCTACATCCTAATTTGCTCAACTTTCTGCAGCATTTCCGAGCATACATGATGCATGGCCACTGCCCCGCCCACCGGATGACTTAATTATATGCACCGAGCACCAAGCACCCACATCCCCTTCCACATCCACATCCTATGTGGGTCCCCTCCTTCTGAAGGACCCTTCCCACTTGGTTAACTCCAACAAAGCTCAACGAGTTGAGCATTGTGTAGAGCGAGCGGAGAGAAAGCACGAGCATGTGAGCACCTGAAGGACCTCCGGGGTCTGGACTCTCTAATGAAAATGGAAACTTGAATTGGCAGCAGACCGAATCGGAGGCGGGGAAACCCAGGACTCGCGGGGTGGGGTCGTGGAAAAATTGAATTGAGCCTTTTTATGCGACCAGACTGACGATGGATGGGGCAGGAGACGGAAAAGGATATTTCATTACATTTAAGCATGCATGGCTGAGTGGGAGGATTCGGGGGTGGCTTAGATAGGGTAACGCCCACGTGGAAAAAATGGCAACATTGTTCAAATGTGCAAATATTGGCTCAAGTGACGGCAATAAAAGAGTCAACCCCGGAAAGTTGCTTGTCCTTTCCTAAAGCCCTCGAGCACCTGAGGGTTATCCTTTTTATGCAGTACCCGGTATTTTGCAAATATATTGGGTATATGTAATGTCTCAAAAGTATGCTTGCTCAAAGTAAAGCTAAGGTGACGCCGAAATCCCTAAGCCTATGAATTTCCTAGTTAGTGTTAATAAAAAATTCTTGTCTTGTCTTAGAACATTTAAGAATATTTTGATCAAACGTAAAGCATATAATTGGAATAAAACAGGATATACTTAAAATCGGGACATAATCTTTGATCATAACATTATCGTTGTCTAAACAATGAATTATTTATATAGAAAACAGCGACAAAAATGGGTGCTCTGTAGTCTCAACCCTGTATTTGTTAAACTCATCGCAAATCCATTACGTCACCTGGCATGTCATCAATTGATGTCCCTTTAGTGTTATCCCAACTTTAACCTTAAAAGCTCACGATTGTCGACAGCAATTTCAATTTCTCCATGATTGGCAGCCCGAACCCAGACCAAAAGTACGCCCCCTTTTTGCATAATTGCATACCTGGCTGGGCATTATTTCTGGTACGCTATTCCGATATACAGGGGACTTTTATGTTTTTCCAGAGCGGTCATGTCATAGATCTCGGCAGGAAGGAGCTCTTAACCCCTGGCTGCCACCGTGCCTGTCACAGCCTCATATGTCGCCTGCGGTTTTGTTTCGGTTCGGTTCAGTTCAGTTGGGTTGAGTTGAGTTGAGTTGCGTTGCGTTATGTTATGTTGGGTTTTTTTGCGAGCTGCTTTGCGTTATGCGGCAGTTAACTGTGTCGTGACATGTGGCAAGCATAAAAGAACCGTAAAATGTCATGTTTGTTGTGGGCCGAACATGACGTGAAGTGGTCGAGATGGAGTGGAATACGAATACGAATACGAAAACCGGAATATACCGGGAGGGTGACGGGACCTGCCAGTACGATGACGACTCTCACAGTTTGGCTGACATGTGACTCACGCATTTGCCAAAAGGCCGGAATAATGGGTGGGGTGCAGCAATGGCAACAGGGGGGTGGTGGTGGTGGGTTAATAGGTGGCCGTGTCAACACATAGCCAAATTACACTAGGCACGCAGAAAGGAAACCGGAGAGCCACAAGAAATTTCGGCGGCGGTAAGGATTTTTTAATAAAGTCGCAACACGAGTCGAGTTGAGTTAGTCATGCCAAGGTAGACGGGGTGTACAAAGGACCTGTGCTCCCTAATTAATAAATCGATTTGGATTTAAATATAAATAGATTTTAGGCCATTCCAAATACATCTTTAATAAGGTCCTTTTCTACATTTGAAAAACTCCAATTTTGGGATTACCAAACCAAATTTGTGATAATCGATTCACAAGTATTTAATTCAAATTTTTAAAACTCAATTATCGAATTTATAGTTGCTGATTTATGGCCACTGACTCGTTATCAATCATTTAAATTTTGTAGCACAGTGTTGGGCGCAGTTGTTACTCGCATTGAGGGTCCTCTTTAGTCCCTTTTTTGTTGACCATCAAATTTGCGAGCAAATGTCCCGTGCCCGTCCCGAAACATCCGAAATTCGTTTTAATTAAATGCATCATAAATTCTCGCACATTTCAACTAGCGGAGGGTTGGCACCCAAAAAAAGATTCAGTCGAATCGCACTTGTCACTCAGTTTTGAACACTTTTTCATTCCATTTTTGATTCACTTTTCTCTCTGGGATTTTCGGTTGTTTTTTTGTTGTTTCCGGAGGTTTTTGCCCTACAATCGACGATGCCGATTTTTTGTCGCTCATTTTGTGTGGCCATGAAAAACGGAAAATTTATTTATACATTTTTGCGTTTGCTCTGGGGGACTTTGCGTATGAAATGTTTTTGCAATTTAAAAATAATTTACCAACCGAACAGTTGTTTGTTCAAAGAATAACATGTAAATGCAGGAATATAATATGCTGTGGGTGGGCATATAAATATCAAGTAATTGGCATGTCCTTTTTTGGACCGTTTTTATGTATTTTAATAAAATATGATAATTTAAGCGACAAAAATATCAAGTAAAAACTACTGAAATTTTAATATTAACGGTTAAATTATTGAAAAGAATAAAAAATCACATTCCCTCTGGGGAATTTAACAGAAATGGGTCCTTGTAAAATGTCAAATAACTTTGTTGGGAATTTAAAAATTGTTTTTGTCCTTTTTAGAGCCCTCGTTTAAGGTTATGGCCTGAGCAGATATACCCCCCAAATTCGATGGGAATTTAAAAACGTGGTGGCCTTTTAGGGAGCCCTAAATTTAGGTGCAGCAGAGTGGGCCCATTGAATTAATTAGGCTGCGACAACGACGAGCACTTTAAGCGAGGGCGGTCAAGTGGTGGGAGTGGCACTCACACACACTCTGCCAAGCATTTTGCCCTAATTTTACTTTCTGCGATGCGATGTTATCAGGACACACACTTTGGGGCAAAAGGGAGCCAGCCGAAGAGACAACCCACATTCCACAACCGCTCTCTCTTTGGTTTTTTTAAGCCATATCCCGATGTCATAATTTACGCACTTCTTTATCTGCCTCCGGATTATTTGCCCTGCCCGGTGGACATTTCCCCGCGCTGCTTTCCGGCTAATGAAATTAGAGTGCAAAAACCGAAACACCGCAAAGAACCGAGTGTTACAACGAACGAAACTATTATGATACTTTCTTTCCTTCGGTTCGTGTTCGCAACGTGTTCGAGAATTTCCACCGCTCAACGCACGTCCGCACCGGGAAAATGTCTACAACCAACTGCGCCGGAAAATGAGCACCGCGAACTGGGAGTCGAGAATTGAAAATTGAGAATCGAGCACGGAGAACGCACCACGGAATGCGTCGTCGGACAAGTTGTTCTTCGTGCTCTTGGCCGTATTTTTCCCATCAGCCAAATTCAATTTCCTTTCCTTTCATCTGTAAGAGAACCAGGTAAAGAGAGTGCACTTTTCCTAAGCACTTTCTCTTTGGAGAGATGGAAATAGCTACAGCTGAACGAAGGTTGATTGATGGGAATTTAAATGTTTTGGCTATGACGGGTGATAAGTGATTAATTAGTTTGCCATAATAATAAAGTATCAAATTTTCTACTGAAATTGAAAGTGTTAAGGCTAAGAAATGGTTGTAAGCAAAGTGATTTAGTATTGGAAATCGATGACTATTAAAGCGCCTCTATTTATATCTTATTAAATCATGCTTACTATGATTTAATTTAAGTTCCTAAAGATTTAATTTAGCAAATAAGTTCTTTAATAACATATGATAATTTTTTATCAAAAGAAAGTGTTTTAGCTATACACTATTTGTATAAAACCAAGCTTGGTAGTAAGTAGTTAATAATTCGGTTAAATTTGATAATATAACTTATTGGGATGAACGTAGGTACTATTCTTTTGTACTTGCATTATTTCAAAATTTCTTGGAATACTGCTATATTTATTAGGTTAATAAATATTGCTTCTTTAAGTGATAACCAATTTTTTTTTTTTACTTTGAACCTTAGCTAATTGTTTTATTTTTTACAAAACAAACTTGCTTATAAATATTGTTTAAATGTATACTATTCGTACATGTCTTTTAAATTGAAGTGTTACCCATAGTTTATTGTTCTGGCAGCTCCAGCTGATTTCTCTTCAGCGAATCCTCTTTTTCAGCCACTCCTGGGCATGCGCTCTCTTTATCCTGGCTCTCAAACACCGTTTTGCGTCCTGTCTGTTCCCCCGGGTCCTGTTGTGTGACTAGCCCTTGCCGGCGGCGACGGTTTCGAGGGGAAATCCAGAGGGGAAACCTGGCGAACAGCTGGACACGAAGAGAGATAAGCGGGACACAGTGAAAGGAGGCGGCTCTGGGATAAGGACAATGCGACAGACGCCTAAGTCGCGAATTGCTGGCAACAATGTTCGCCAAAAGCTCTTCTCTCATCACTGGAGCAGAACAAAGTAAATCAAGGATGGAAATCTCGAAGCCGAGTACCTTCTTCCACCTCTCCAGCTGATTAGTTTGTCAGCATTAGTTTTGTTTAGTTGCCACACAGACAGGTGGCTGCATCCCCGGAGAAAATACCAGGGGAAAGGAGAGGAGAGGGCTGCGGGGGAGTTGCTGACAGGCACTTTCAATTTTATTTGCGCGCTTTATGGCAAAACATGATTATTGAGCGGGAAAAGCGCAGGATGGGCGTGCTGTTCAAAAAGGATTACTCATACGCACCGTTGCACCCTATGGGAATCAGGAATGAAATGATGAGCTTATTTCCCCAAAACAAGTTTCAAATTTCGTGCGCCACCACAATTGATGGATATCATTTTTGTGGCTTAAAATTATATACAAAAATAGAAAACCACAAATATTTTTTTTAGCTGGAAGTTCTAGATGCAAAGCTCATTAAAACGGTGAAATAATTCGAAGGTTTACGTTAAATGGCAATTAATTTCATAATTGTATGCACTTGAAGGTAATTTGCTGATTGGAATTTATTCGGATTTACAGATAAATCTAATTAAAGCAAATATTATTATTATTTTGCGGCTTAAAATTATTGATTAGTTGATCCTTGATATTCGTTAGATAGTATTTCATTTAATAATCAAGTAGGATTGTCAAATTTGTATTAATATTATAAAGACTTTTATCAATGTAATAAATGCTTTTAAAAAAGTTAACTTAGTGTTATCCTTTTTAATTGATAATTTGGTAAAAAAAAAGGTTACTTACTATCTTTACGGCTTTCTTTATTTAATTCAAAACAAATTTATATAATATTTTTATGATACATTTTATTCATATTTTACATGAGAAAGTACAGGCAATCCTAGGCATAATTTAATTAGGCTTACTAGCTAATTATCAACAAGAATTTTTTACACTTACGCAACTAAGCTAAGAATACGCGTATTTAGATCGTACAGCTGTCATTGCTCGACATTCACATTCACATTTTCACTTTCACTGCGGCTAACCGCAGTTCAGCCCAACTAGTTAATCACTATCTGATATGGAGTGCGGATATGGAGTGCGGATACTGGGCTATCCTCTTAATTGGGCTGCACCTCGCAGACGAAGTAGGTCTCGAAGCTGCAGGGCGAGTCGTTCCACTTGAGTCCCTTGCCATCGCGGTTCCACAGCTCCAAACAGTTCTCCTCCTCGCCGTTCTCGTACCGGAAATTGTTGGGCTCGCCGGCGTTCCAGTTGGTGAATGTGATGGGTCGCCCGGTGGCCATCCAGAAGAAGTTGCCCTCATCGGCCAGATCTGTGCCGGAAATCCAGAAATGTTCGTGGCCCAGGCCTGGAAATTAAATGAAAAGCGCTCGGATTATACTTGAGAAACATATGAAAATTTTGTATGGGTTTTTGTGCCGAACGAAGGTACATTGGTTATGTAGATATTTATGTTACAGGGTATCCTCTTCATATTTTATTGTTTCTGTCATTTACCTATACATATTTTATAGCTATAACCTTCACCTAGTCTATTACATACTAAACAAAAAATAAACTTAAATTGATTAGGTTACAGAGTGGTCAAAAGTATTAAATTAAATCTTTTAATTGTCTGTCAAACCCAATCAAAACATCTTTTTCCTGACAAAACACTGACCGTCTGACAGCATGACAGCTGGACAGTTGCATTCATATTGCCACAGACTGCGTGGCATGCAACAACTGAAATAAGTTGAAAAGCCGATCAATATGACAATAGACCCGGCCAGCAAACAAAAGCCATTGCGAATGCCGCAGGAATGGAATCGGGGGACTTGTGAAGTGCCGGCTGCTCAGGGGACTGGACTTTCTAGCAGTGCCATAATACACGGAAGTTGGTAACCGAAAACCCAACAAAAGGGGTCGGAATCGGGATCGGGATCGGGGAGTGGGAGTGGGAGTGGAGTAACGAACTCCAGTGCACTTTCCATTGCATAAATCTCCATAAAAACACACATGGCAATAGACGCAGACAAACGGAAAAAGTGAATGTTGCACATTTTTGTTGAAAGCTGACCACCGCAGGGCCATGGGCAAAAACCACGCCCACTCACGAAGAGGGTGGTGAATAATAACAATAAGCTTACTAGGCTAAGGTATAGTTTTAGACCAGCAAATACTCAGTATAATTTTTAAATTAAATAAAGAGTATTCAAAAAGGTATCTATAAGATACTTTTATAACAGGGATGATAAAAGAATCTCTGATATTTCTAAAAAAACATGTCTAAAAAATTCTGGCTTGAACTAGAAAGTCGGATCCATCCATCCATCTTTTGTATAACCCCTTTGGATACATTGAAAATTGTTTTTAATTTGTAAAATATTTTTTTTTAAAGGAAAAATTAACTGCACTTTTGTGTATTCTTCATTTCGTTCTTTTTGAATAGATTTTTAATTACCAAAGATGTCAAAGTCAGCACTTTTAGCCCTGAAACATGGGTTTTAAAGCCATATATTTCACAAAAGTATCCAACAAAGTATTCTATCTAAGCACGATTGTCCCTTTAATCAATTTCGCTCTGCAAAGTAGTTTTTCAGCTGCTTTGCCAACTTACCAAAGTCACGTATGTGCTTCTCCAGTCTATCGTTCTCTTCCTGTGATGAAATGCTGGCCAGATGCATGCCGTGGTATCGGCAATATTGTGTGGCTTTGAACCAGTTTGCCTGTAATGGAAAAAAAACAGACATGGAATCGAATTGAATTGAATTTAAGATGCATGCCAAGTTAAAGATTATATAATTGTGTTTGCGCAATCGGTTGACCCAGTTTCCGAGAGGCCAGATCCAAATCCACCGGCAGCCACTGAAAGGTGCCATTCAATCTCGGTTCCCTCAGCCGACACTTGTCAATAAAAATCCTAGAGATTTGTTTGCTCCTGTTTTTTTTTTGCGGCCATATGTGTGTGAAAAGGGGGCGGCATTGGTCACGCATTCGCATGGAAATTGAGTTTATCTTCGGATCTGCGTGGGTTTGTAGCCAATTAGTGTTGGTTTCTGTATCTGATGCGGTTAGCCAATCTAAATGTTATCAGAATCGAAATTGGCATCGAAATCTGAATGGGTTTTGGGCGATATGGCCGTGTCCTGCCCGTTTCAAACTACATATTCAATTAACTCTAATGGACTTTGGCCCGGTCATTAGCAGAAATGGATGGTTAGCAAAAAAATCGAATGGCTTTAGGGGCCATATCTCCTGCTGTGAGCTGATGTGCACATAAATCGATTACGCAACTATCCATCCTGCATCCTGCTCAACTGGCACCTCTCTCCCCCTTTCCCCCCATTAACTTGGCTTTAATTGTATTAGCCGTAATTGTGCGCGAATAAAGCGGGGAACGCGGCATCCTGCCACACGATTCCCTGACATGCCACACATGTGGCAAGAAAGGTGGAAGATGGAAGGTGTTTAATGCCTTCACTTGTCTTTCGCTCTGAAAGTGTTTATTGGGCTGTAAAAGGTTCATCTCGCCACGTCGAAAAGTCAATTAGTTCGGTGTGCCGAGGTAAAACAAGGACTCTGGTTCGCAACCAAGCCAGTTGCCTTTAATGGCCCGGAGTTTCTGCCAGGGAAATTGCATAAGGTTAATGCCTTGTCTGACTCGAATTTTGATTTTGGTTGAGGAGAATAAAGAACACAAAAAACATTTCCTAAGGTTGCCAAGGTTCTGCGAAGTCTTTGTTGTGCATTTGGCCAAGATGACTAAGGAAAGCCTTTGTTTGGGATAATATTACGGTCGACAAAATACTCGGATATTTTGGGGAAACTAATAAGCTTGTGCTTAAATTGGTATAGGAAATATTTAATTAAGTTATGGTACAATAATAATATATTTCGTAATTAAACCTGTTTGAAAATGAACTGCGTGTCCATACCAAGTTCTTAAATTTTTTGGTAGATTCTATTCTAAGCATTCTATATCATACATTTGGCAACAGTTTTTGGGGTAATTGAATTGTAACCCACAAAATTCTGTTAAATCATTTGCAGTACGCAATGTCGACCAATTAGGCGACTGAAGTTTGCACAAAACTCAATTGAGTGGCAACAAAATATTGGCCGTGTTGTTAATGTCATTAGCACAGCTACCTTAACACATAGCCCACTACCCCCCCTCCACACCTCCCCCCTTTCATCCAGGTGTCTTTCAATTAGCTTTGATTTGATTTGCGCCTGCGTGAAGTCCAAATGACATTATGCCTCCGACTGCCGCTGTGCGGTTGTCAAGTCTTATTTTCCCCCAAAAAAAATTTAATTGCTTCATTTGCATATTTACACGCGAAATGAATTTGCATTAAATTGCTCATATGTATTGCATAACATTGTGCCACTGCCGAATGAGAGAGAAAAAACCCAAAAACTGAATGACTTTTAAGATATTTATAAGGACTGCGGTATAATTCTTAATTAGATATACCCATAAATAATCGGAAAACACTTTGAAATTGGTATGCGTGGTTAATTAACTTACCAATATGAAAATAAAACCGAACAAACGAACACCGAAATAATAAATTAATATTCAAAACTTCTAATCTGTTCAACGACCTGGGGAATGCTCTTAAAATATATTATAGAGATAACTGTTAATTCTGGTGAAAGAAAACAGTTATGTTATAACTTGTTAAATCACAGCAGATGTTAAAATTATGATAATATTTAAAGTCGTAAAGATAAGCACAATAACAATGAATATTCAAATTTTTATTGATTTAAGAACTTTGAACTGAATTTTAAAGATATTATTTTAATAATATTATTCGATAGACTAACATGAAAGACTTACTTTGTTAAATTTGTATTTCAATTTGCGTCAAATCAAATCAACCAATTTTATAATTAAATTCAAATTAATTAAAAGCAAAGTCGTAAAGATAATCACAATAAAAATGAATATGCTAATTTTAATGGAACTGATAATTATAAACATTTAAGTGAACATCAAAACGTTGTATCCCTATTGCAGTTAGGGTAGGATCAAATGAAACGAATTAAAAATTAAATTCAAATTAAAATGCCAGCATTCTGAGCATTTGAGATGCTTAAAATTTTAATCGCTTTGACAATTGGGGGTGTTAGAAGGAGCGGGATAGAATGCTATAGACAGAGAGCGAGGTACCGTTAGAGATAACAAATTTGGGAATATTTATGGATTTATTTTCGGTCTTGTTTTCTGGGTGGCTTACTGTATCTGCTGCCTAATCAGCCGACTGGTTAGAGGAGATGGATTTTTGTTGTTAATTAACGAGCTAATAATTAATTCATTGCTTTGTTTATCCAGCGGCATATACCAAATAGAATTGTTTAATTTACACGCTTACTCAGAAAACGTTCATAAACCAAAATATGCAACGAAAGTTGATTAAATATTTATATATTTGCTTTCTGCTGTTTGGTGCAATTAAAGCGTTCAAATGTCGAATTAAAAATGTGGAGATTTATTTGTCATCGCTTGGTTATACAAAGTTAACAAAAACATTTTTATTATTCGAGGCAATTGAGAGATTGTGTTTGGGATTAAACGTTGAGATTTCATTCTGGTTTTTAAAAAAGATATTTATTGCAGGATTGTCTTTTTCAGAATTTACATGCATTTTTTAATTCGATTTACCAATTTACGACTTACAATTTTATTTAAATGAATATTGGATTACTTTGTCTTAACAAAATATTCAAATTAGAGGTTATTTACCTCTTTTTCTCCCTCCCAAACTTTATAGTTTTAGGAAGCAAGGTTCCGTTCGTTTATCAAACCTTTTAATCCACCAACCCAATCATAAATCCACAATTTAACCTCCTCATGAAATGTTTGCCGCTTTGTTTAGTACTAAATATATGCATCTTATTAATTTTACAATGGTGAAGCAGTTTCAGTTTTATGGCTCTACCTTTAAAGTTCAAGGAAACTGTGCTATGCATTTTATGAATATGAAAATATAATTCACTTTGACGTGGAACCACTAAAGCAGCTAATTTTGGTATGGACACACCCGCCGTCTCACTTCCTCAGAGTGTCGCCGTCTATTAATATTACTCATACGACCGGTGGTTCAACACGACAGCGGTTAGTGAACGCCTTTTTGATGCTTTGACTAATTCATTTTTAATGTGAATAGCGGCTTTGTTATTCAGTTTACTATATCTACGCATGCGTAACCAAGCACGCGCCTTTTTTTGATACCCTAGATATTTTTATTCATGGTCGAGTAGATAGGAACTATATTTTTTTTCTACGTTTTAAGTTTCTGTCATCAGGTTTTATTTAAAAAATGACTTTGGGCTCAGTTCTAATGCTGTTCGTTACGATATCAATTTGCACATTGCATTGAAAATTTCTCTAGGTAAATGTATATACAACGGTTTTTATCAATTGAAGGATCTTTCATCTTTCGATATGAACTAGGTATTCATATAACATTGAAATTGAAATTACTAATTTAAATGAAGACAAAGCACAACTGAAAATATTTATTACTATGGGTCTATTTAATATCGATGCTACATTCATAGTATAATATAACATTTAAATATAAATGACTAAATTAAAAAAGTTCATGCATAATTTTCAAATTAATATTTGGAATGGCTAATTTTATCGGTAAGCCTTTGCCGCGATATGTCATTTAAAAAAGGAATGATGACAGTTAAACTTATTTTTCACGATTGATTAATAAACAGAGCATGATTTGGTTTCCAAAATAGATAAATTATATTGAAATGCAAGCCTACGTTTAAATAATAATATGTAAATGCCCTAAAATCATGCGTAGCTAAAATTAAAGACTCTTAATTGTTTAATTATTTAAATACTTTGATAAGCGACTGGCGGGTTTTATAAAAAGCCTTTGGAGTTTGGTTTATACAAATAAATTTTGAAAATCGAAGATGAACAGAGGATTCTTTAAGTGTACATTCAATTTCTCATTCCTCCCACACCCCGAACTAAACCTGAAACCTGCTGATCAGTGTAATATATGAACTTAAGCTTCTTCAACCGCCCCTGCTGTAATATTCCATATGCAATCTTCTTGCAATCAGTGGCAGCTGAGAAACCCGAGAGCCATCAAACCGGACTTGGTAAACCGTTGGCCCGGTCAGTTGCATTCGGCCGGTAAGTTTATGGACCGTTTTGTGGGGCGTGGAATGCCACTCACCTTGAAGAAGATGCCGAGGTAGTACCGCTTCTCCCCGAGCTTCAGCAGCGGCATCGTCCATTTGTTCGGCGTGTACTGCGACTCGTCCACGCAGTTGGGGCAGTCTAAAAATAAAGGTTGAAAGGGATGGAGGATTAGCGTCTTGCAAACATCAACGAAGTAATAAGAAATAATTCCAAAAACGACGGGAAATATGGGCTGGCTGACGTTTTCGACTTAAGGATTCATTCTTTATGATAAATTATGAGTAGTACAACAGAAAAAAAATTATACAGGCGACGACAAATTATACACTTCATAAAAATACATTTTAAAAGGAATTTCCTTCAAACTTGATATTATATTTTAATAGTTAGGTTCTCTCTTACAAATAAAAATAGAGTATCAAATATCTAGTTTCTATGACACTTAACATTCATTTATTTACATATTTGGTTAATCATAAAACTAAAAGGATTTAAACTGGCTTGTTTAAACTTTTTAAAAGCCCAAAATAGTCAATATGCAGATAATTCTTGCTTCCTTTGGTCCATAAACTTTTATGAGGTAGGTTGCCTTGTGCTTGTTTTATACTAGATTTATAAATATTGAATTGCCAAAAAAGAAAAAAAATTAAACTATAAATTTAATAGGGGCATATAATTAAATGTCTCCTCAAGACTAGAGTTCTTTTCAGATTTCTTTCACTTTTAGATTGAGTCATCTCTAAAGTGCCCTCTGACTAATTAATTACCGCATAAAACCAATCTTAATTTGTTATTTTTAATGCCGTACCCACCTTAAACGGACATCTTAGCGATAGAATGGACAAAAGACTTTGATACTAATTGCGAACGAAGCGAGAAATGTTTGTTGTACCCACGAATTGAGTTATGAAAGTCTGTCCAGATGTCAAAAGGAAACAAATTCGAGTTTGGAACTGGTTACCTTTAGGAATTCTACGACAACCAGTTCGACTTGTCCAAGTGACTTAAGCATAATCCATTGTGACGTTCAAACTCCAATTCAGCTTAAACTAGAACTCATTTTGGATATCTAAATCAAGGTCTGGTCAATCCATTGTTTGAAGTATGTGAAGGTCACTTACGTTATGTTCTTTCTAAAAAAAAAGCGAAACGGTTTCCCTTTTGTTTCGTAACTGTCTATCCGCTAATGTTTATTAATTAATCATCCGCCATGTCTGCCCATCTACGAACACTCTGCAAAGGCCTTGCCGAATGCTGTTGCTGATGGCGATTGTCGAATGCTGTTGATATATGAAGGGGGCGTAGTGACATGGGGCCTGCTCCAAAAAGAAATAAATTTACTTTGCACAACGGGCCAAGTCCGTGTGAAAACATGACCAAAAAGCAGTTAACATTTTGACTCCATCGTAAACAATACAAAAAGGCGGTTTAATGCAATGCTTGAACAATGCGAAGATTTGGCAAGAGTTTTAGGTGTCTGGGAGTTTGCCAATTACGAACAAATTTCTTATATATAAATACCTATTCTATCCTATTCATGGAAATTATTTTAAGAGTTTAATTTCGAGGCAAAAATTAACGTAATGCTTTTGTATTATTCAACCAAGTTAACCAAACAAAAATAAATAAAAAAAAAATTGTTTTCCCTCAGCTTTTAATTAAGATTCTATAAGACTAAACATACTACTAAACATATTTATTTACTACCCATGTTAAACAGATGTGAGTTTATGTTTCTTTTGCAATTTACACAAGCGCAAAATATATTACTTTGATCATTTTATTTGATATATTTAACATCAATTCAAACATCTTTAATGAAGCATGTAAGCCAAGGTAATTGATTTATAACTATTTTATTATTTAAATTAACAGCTTAGGGATATTTAGCACTTATTGATGTTGCTAATTGATAGATTGGTGAATACCCTACTTTCACTGCAATGTGCAATTTTACAAATTTTCTGCACGTGTTGCATAATGGAATTAAGGCTTCTTTGTTAATTAATTTCACTGCTATATAAGCACTATTAAAGACCGGTTGGATTTCTGACCAGCTGTCCTCTTCCTGCTCCTCGATGTCATCTACTCCACACCCCTCTAATCAACAGATTTGAAACAAATTAAAGGTGTCAAACTGATTAAGATCCGTACAAACATTAAATTTGCATTCAGCTTTCCTTCGCCAATCAACTTCAAAGATAACCGTACATTGAAATATATATTTATTCATTGATTGTTTATTAATTTTTAAAGCAAACACTGTTTGATTATAGTTTTTTGTGTGTGGAGGCGATTTATCATAAGAGTCACAAACCAGTTTTGGCACAAAAGGCGATAATGCAGAATGCCGAAAAGTCAATGTCAATTTGGTTGCCCTGTTGAGCACTTGTGTACCTCCCTTCTTCCCCTTAACTCCACAATTAAATTATAATTCCTTAACCTTCGTTAAAACGGAACCTCAAGACGTCCAGAAATACTTAACGTTTATTTCAACTCCAATTATCAACCTGACATACAACCACATTTATCGCTGTGGCTTCCTACTAAATATATATATTTTGTAGAAAAACATTTTCGTGTTTTATGTTAATTAGTTTGGACTTGCAAGCGAACAAAAGAATTTTTAATATTCAAATGGATTTTTTCTGTTATATTAATGTTTATGATGAGGTTTTGACTTTTATAAATGTTATAAATTATTTTCTTTTCTAACAGTTGCAATTTGTTTATGGGGTAGCGAAATATTGGTTGGATAAAGATTAGATTAGAAATTGGAAGATTTATGAGTGGGTTGCTTGGTAAGTTTTGGAACAAATTATGAATCAGAAAATTACATTTAAATTAATCAACACAGATTCGCTTAAGTGAATCATGCTTATTGTTCAATTGTTTTTTATTAAACCCTTTTCATTCCCTTTTTATAAATTTACCCTTGACCTTCAGTTAAATTTCTTGTTGCCTTTATTTCGGTTTTAACCTAAATTGGCTTCGATCTCCTTTTTCAGTGATTTATATTGGCTTTTGTATAAATGTATTTTTATCTTGATGAGTTGCTTGTGTCAATGAAATGGTTTGTTTTTTCACAAACATTTCAACTGCCAACAGTAAAGGCAATAAAAATGCAGGCAGGTGCACAAATAAACATTTTGACTAATTTCGATCCAAATGGCCAAAACCAGAAAAGGTAAAACAAATCGAATTGGGCCAAAACAGAAAAAGCAGCGATAAATTAAATAGGAATACCACGACAAACGGTAGCTGTCTAAACATATTTTATACACCATCCATTTTGGCTCTGAACTCCTCAATTAGGCTTCCTAACTTCACACATCAATCCATTCATTCCAACCAACCAACCCAATTCGAGAAAGTGAAAGTGAGTGTAAACTTTGTTTTCGTTTTCGTGCATTTTTTGTGGTCAGGATTCCTTTATCGAATGGGTTATGCAATGGTTAATTTTTCGCTGATTTTTTTTTAAACCTACCCGCTACAGGACCTGGTCCTTTGTTGGGCGACGCCATCGTCCTGTCCAGACTGCAAAGCAGTTGGATGGAGATTATCACAGACAAAACGAAATACTTTTGCATGTTTCCAATCGTTCAGTCAGATATTTTATGTATGAGCAATATGCAAATGTTATTTTTTCCGTTTTTTTATTTTTTGGTTACACACTTCCGCACTCTGAAAATTCCGTAAAATATTTGTAAATGTGTATCAAAAAATTTCGCTTTTATGTTTCAACGCATATTTTTCTCGGTCGTTGGTTGTTTTGTTCGAATTATGAATTATTTTAAATAGAAATAGATGCTTATCGCATGAAATCGAAAGTTGGCAAAATGCGGAGTCGAAAACTTCGGTTTTGGATCGTGTGAAATGGTGTGCGCAGGCGTGCGCCCAAACTGACCGTCGGCTGTCGAAGAACTAACTCTTTCGGCTCAACTCGGCTCAAACCAAGGCAGAATTCCCCCAGAGATTTCGGAGGGGGTCTCTCCGAGAGAAACAGAGATCCATGGAGGAGAAGAAGCTGCCGGAGAAGCACTCACAGAGATCGGTTTTGGAGTTACCCAACTGGTTCGAGAGAGTCCAAGATCTCTGGCTCGAAGACGAACTTGTTTGCCGCGGCCAAGCCAAGAGGCGAAAAAAAGGCGAAACGAAACCCGAAAGATTAACATCGCCCGAGATCGACCATACATGGATATGGCCAATGGTCGGCGGACACTTGCGGTTGTTTGTCAAACACTTGACGCAGCCGCAGCTGGAGATCGAGATCGAGAGCTCATGTCGCATCTGAAGCTGAAGCTGAATCCGAATCTTAATCCGAAGCCTCACCAAGGTGAAAAATGACGTGAAACGAACGCCAAACCTTTGAAAGAACGCTCTAGTTAGGTGGCTCGAACTAAAGTTACCCGGTAGCTACCTGCCGAGCACGAAATTACCACCAAAAGAATGAAGAACAAACATTTTGACCATGTTTTATTTACAATTATTAAACAATATCTGAGCACTGATTTTTTAAAGGGCATTTATAAGTCCAACTATTAATAGTTAATACTTGTTAAATGTAATTTATTAATATTATTTTATACAATAATGTTTAACCATATTGTATCTGCAAGAATCTATCAATCAGTGCTTTTAATGATAAATCTAATACATTTTCTTTCTTTTCCCTATTAGAAAATAAAAGGGTAATCTAGATAGATATACAAGTCAGCTTATCTCATTCTTTTTACGAGCAATCAATTCATTTAACCGAAGAACCGGAAGACTGCTCAAAAAATACCAGTGAGTCACGAGCTAATTTAATAAAATATAAATGCAATACCTATAAAATAAAAGATTTAAGTCTATACCAACTTAACATACTCAGAAACTACCGGGTACAAGCCCAAAAAGTGGAATCATTTCAAAATTCTGGTTTCGCTTTTGTGGTTTCAGATTGCGCTCCATTCGGTTCTGTTCTCTTGCCATCTGATCTGGGTTCTCGGATTACGCAATTTCCCGCCGGGATTGGATGCATTTCAAACGTGGGCTCTGAATTTGGTCTACGAATAAACTGGGCTGAACCAGAAAACTTCACTTCTCGCTGTTGCTGGCCGAATTTCTTAAATGTGACCTTGAGATGCAGATGATGAACTAGTTTGTTGGCTTAGATTGTTCGTTTGGAGCTGCTGGCGTTTGCCTTTTCATTCAACTGAATGCTGGTTTTACGGTCATACATTGCGTATGCGTGATGCTTGTCAGTGATCAGATAGAAGTGATGGGAAGATAAATGGTGGGATAATAATAAGATGTATTTTTAGACGTCGGCAAAGTGGGTTGGGAAGATTAGGTTGCTTTGGAGATGTGGGTTAGAAACAAATGGAGTTTCAGTTTATTTAAACGAGCCCATTTATCTTATATTGTTAATCACAAGGTAACTAGTTAAGTAACCATGCATGTTTGAAAAATAAAACTAATCTGTTTTACTAGTTTTTCATAGATTTCTTCCCAGTGTATATCATAACTATTCCTGCTTAGCATTTTATAAATGTCTTTCGAAATTCCGTGTGTAAACACTACTCAAATTCTACGAGCATGAAGTTCTTTACCAAATAGCAAAGACATCAATTTATTGTGCCGATAATTAAGTCTGGGCCATAAAAATTGATTATTCCGCCAAGGGGGACAAAAACTATTGACTACTTTTTGTGGAAAATGTCAGCAGCAGAAAAGCATACAGAGATTCCAATGCAGATGGGAGATGCAAAGGGGCAGAGGAAAACCCATCTGCAAAGGCCGCAACTTGTGAAGAAATCCAAAAACCAAGTCGCCAAGTGGCAACCACTTGTTGCCGCTGCCACCGCTTTACATCTTTAGTTATTTTCGTACTTTTTGCATGAAAATCAACTTTATGTACATGCCAGTTGGTCTTTTTTTGCTTACGTGTTTTGAATTAACTTTTTTTTCGGCTTCTGGTATCTTGTAAGCGGCATCGATTCAATTTCACAGTTCTTCTCCACTCCCAGAGGTTGGACTAATTAATTAATTGAAAACAAGCGATCGGTGAAACAAGAAACGATTCAGAGCAGCTGAAATTCAGTTCGTGAATTTAATGTGTATTTATTCAGATTTTCAGTAGTTTTATATGCATCACGCTAACAAAACCAGATTAAAGTCAACTTCAGTAAAATATATAGGCGACGACTTCATTGCTATTTACCCACAACCAAGGCCACACCACATGTGATAAACGTAAAAATTCTTTAAGGTTTTTGGCCGGGGATTCACCGAATCGGAAGTGATTTAAATAGTTTTTTCAGGTAATAATTAACTTAAATTATTATAAATTAAAAAGCATTTATTTCAATGAACTTGCTGTTAATTTGTGGATATATTTTAATAATCTTAATGATATAATAAGCCATTGGCTAATGACATGCGGGGATTTGAATAAATTTACTGAAAATAGATTTCGTAAGACCATTCTTGGAATCATGAGACTTGACCCTCTCGTGTGATTCGACTCGGGTGAATCCCCTCAAACAAAATCGGCCGGCAAACCTTCATCATCTACGCAACACATGGCCTTTGATGGATCTTCAAGCCAAAGCTTTTACAATTCGTATGACGCTAATGAAATAGAAATTCAAATTCAGCTTTTGTATGATAATTTAAAACTCGATGTTTGTTGGTTTTTGGCCTATGAATGTGATTAAGGTGGTTTGTTGAACTAAATAACTCGTTCCAGTTTAATGTTCGGATGGTGTATGACGTACATTGGCAAAATTTAAATTTCACTTTTTAAAAGCTATTAAAAACTTTTGATTTATGTTATTTCTAATACTATTTATGATTAAAGAATTGTATTTAAATGGATCGGGGAACAATGATACCAGAACTTTATTTATACGTTTTTAAATACATGATATCAGCTTCCTCTTAATATTCGATAATTCACTTCCTTTTCCGAAACCCATGCAAATTCTTATCTCAAACGACTGTCACGTTGAATCTAAAAGAATCGCTAACAAAGTATCCTCAACTAGTTCTCAACATCTGGAAATGGGTGCAATGTCTCCTCACATTCTTCTCGACTCGTGTGTGGGTAATAAATTTTTAATGGTTTGACGTTTAAGTTAAATAAAATCCCGTCATCGAACTACTTCTAGACTCGTCTTGATTCGATTCGTTGCGATGCGATTCGATTCGTGGTCGTAAACTTTTTGCTCAGGGTTAAAATCGGTGCGAAAAAGAGGGACGGGTGGCAACCAGTTCGACCCTGGGCCAAGTGAAATAAAAGCTCCATAAATTTGCCAATATTTTCGCCTTTAAATTGTGCAAATAGCCTGACAAAACGAGGCTCGTCTGATATGTTATGTAAACACATATGCAGCCCGAGGCTATCCATCATACGCACTGTGGTCCCGGAGGCGACAAAGCGATCAGTGCTAACAAAAAGCTGCGAAATGCAAATAAGTAATGGAGAAGGGTAATGCTTGAGAAGTGTAGGTAATGAGTTGGAATACTTTCATTGTTAATGGAATGAAGTAGGGTTTGAAATCAAGGGGAACATATGTCAAAAAATATAAAAAAGGATGATAGAAGCAAGAAATAGTTAAACAATGACTTAACAAAGTGTATAATAAATGATAAATGAATGGATGGACCATTAAAAAAAACAAAGTGTGAGGAAATGGATTCCGAAAGAAACATAAAAAGACCATAAATTAAGAACAATAAACTGGAAAAAAAGAAGAGGCAAATCTTTTAAAAACTTAAATCGAATAAGACATTAAACAACTACATAATTTTTAAAAAATTTAAAAAATACTTCACAACAAAAATCTGACCACAAAGAAACATAAAAAGACCATAAATTAAGAACAATAAACTGGAAAAAAAGAACAGGCAAATCTTTTAAAAACTTAAATCGAATAAGACATTAAACAACTACATAATTTTTTAAAAATTTAAAAAATACTTCACAACAAAAATCTGACCACAATGCCACTAAAATTGCCAGTAAAAAATCAATAAAAATCTTTATGAGAAGAATTTAAAGATAAACGAATTGGAATGTCAATTGCCATTTTCGAACCCCATATGGAATTTTCACGTACATAAAGTGGAATGAACAACTCTTAAAGTGGAATGAACAACTGTTTAAGGAATGAATTGAAAGTGACAACTGCTTGAGGCAAGGGACTGCCCCAAAACATACCTTAAAACTGAAAAAAAATGAAATAATTTAATGGTATTGGATAATAATTATTATGATGCAGCTGGAAGCTGAACGAGTGGAACTAAATAAATTAATGTGGATTGATGGATGGTCAGCGCGGCTAATGGCATAACCTCTAAGTAATATGTAAGGTGAAGTTGAACATAAATTCCATGCTTGATCGCTTTATCAATGAGTTAGTTAGTGGGGAATTGATTGATGGTGCTTAGAAAAGGGGAGCATAGTTATTTAATTTATAAATTAATGTCTACTTTTATCAATCAGTCTCAAACTAACTTAAAAATCAATATAGTTTATCTACATTTTTTTATTTACGGCGACGAGACTTTCAATTAATTTCGAAGATTTATTATGTCTTTCTTTTGGAAATCTAATCGGTTATGACTTCACAAATGGTAAAAAAAATATATTCAAATAAATATATTTATAAGTATATTACTTATATATTACTTATATACTACTTTAAAATTAATTTCAACTCACCATTATCGACTTCGTTTTCGCTGGGGTCACGATGGAATATGTTGCCATAGTACTGATCATGTTGCTCCGACTCCACGCTCTGCAGGGATTCCTGCACATCGTAGTCGAAGTCCTCCTGGTTGGCTTGGGGTTGCTGATCCCGATCCTCCTCCTGGTCCTCCTCCTCTTCCGGTTCCTGTTCCTTCTGGGGTCGCTTGCGGTTGTAGCCGGATCGCCTTTTGGAGGCCGCAGCTGCCAGGCGATTCCTCTGAGCTCCACCACCGCTCCTCTTAAAATTTCCCCCATCATTGGCCGCAAATCCTCGAGGACGTGGCCTAGGCGATGGTTTTGGTTTGGGCAAAATATCTGCGATAGTGGGAATCTTCTGGTTGGCCGTGCGATTGGGAAACAGGCGGCGCTCCAAATAGTTGGCAAATATCTGCTGTGTTATCTGATTCTGGCGGGCTATCTCACTCTGATCCAGTTGAGTGCCTGAAATGGTTTCTCAATTAATCACTGAACATGTAGTCCAACATGTGGGTCATTGGATATTGTGTAATAACCAAGTCTTGATTTTTAAGGGTAATTACATAAAGTGCGGGACAGACAACCCACGTTGAGGTGTTGAAAATAAAGTAATTAAAACAAAGACTTCAAAAAAAGACCCCCGAAGTCTGGTTACCCTTGTGGGTAAATATCATACAATATTATACAATATCATACCTTAATAGCAAGTTAATGGCAACAGTTAGCCAATGAAGTGGTGTTTTTTATATTAATGTTAGGGCATTATGATGAGCGCGTCACTTGATGAATTTTTGATTACATCGTTTGGGTTTTGAAGTGACACGCAGACATCATTCAAAACTCTGGGAATCGGGGGAAGACCCCTTGAGAAATCAGGGTTGCCCTTATAAAGCATTTGATCGTGACCCTTGAACCTTACTTCTTATGAATGAAAGTGAGAAGATATGTAAATGATTAAAATCCCGGACTCCAGCGGTAATCGCTGGCCATTTCGTCTTCCCAAAAAGTGTGTCAAGGTCGGCAAAGTCTTTTACTGCCCAGCTGTTAAGCGGATTGCAGTCGTTTTATGACCATTTCCAGTTTCCGGGGCTCCCTGTGATGAGCCCGAAATTGCAAAATAATTGATATAAATATTGTGGCTTTAATCCAGGCGCCCAGACTGTGCCATAACTGCCCTGTGATACATTAGCACCGCCCAGCCCTCAGCTCCCAGTTTGAGTGGCATTTCGGGTTAAATTTATCTTCAGGGTGTTAAAAGAAATACAGAAAAAATAAAGTAAAATTTATTACGCAATTAAGGTAATTGTTTAACGTATTTTTTAAATATATCTTTTTGTTAATCAGTTAAGAGCGCAAAATTACGCGGCAAATAGTTGAAAAGTCCGCCCTGACATTTGTCTGTGATTGAGTGGGGACATGAGCGTTTTTCTGGGGGTTTTAAAGTATGTGCGATGTCAGGTGAAACATTAATGCCGGATTACCGAAAACAAGGCCTCTGTTCACTTGACTTTGTATGGCGGATAATTCGGCTTTATCTGATTGCCTTCGGTTGATGAAATTGGACTCCCTGAATGGGCGAAGCACTTGGCAGTAAATCGACTACAAAGATCTTCATTTCAGATCTGAGGCTGTTAATGGAAAGTTCGTGTCTTTAGTAATTAAGTGAAAATTCGGAGGTAATTTAATGGAAAGTTAAGTTGAGAAAGCAAATCGATTACCAAGCATTGAACAAATTGATTGGGCTTTTAATTTCATTTCAAAATAAGGTCCCTGAACTTTTAAATTATGGGTTAAAATATGTTTTACAAACATTTTATTAAACTGGAAACACAGTTTTATATTCACTTATATCTGGTTTTAACTTGATATTAAAATAAATGTGAATGAATGAAGTTCAAATATTTATCATTAATTTAACATTCATGTTATTAGGCTTCAACAATAAATAAATGGGCAATGAACTTCATTATATTTTCGCATAAGAGAAACATGCGTTCCAATAATTGCTTAATCCGAATCAACTTCAAGTTCATTTGCTCAACACAGATATTTGAAGCAATTTTTTAATCCAAGCCGGCGGATGTGAACATTTTCAAACAACTTCCAAAGAATTTAAAGTGCTTTGAAGTCCCAGCGGAATGGCAAGTCATCGAACAAGAATTTAATTTCGGCATTAATTACCAATTGAGGTGGAATTAGACTGTGCCTTTGAGTCTGCTGTCGAAAAGAGAACAAAAGGCAGCTCAACGCACTGGGACAAACCAGACAAACTCCGAGTTCATTGTTCACTTTTTGTTCTCCAAGAGTCGCAGTCCTTGGCTTGTTAACCGAGCATTATGTGAGATAATTTACGTGCCATTGTTGGGCGCTATTTGCTGACCAGTTGAAAGTTGGATCGAATATGTGACAACAGTCGAAACGTGATGGCCTAAATGCTTTTGAAGTTTTGAAGAGAAGAGGGGGTGTTCTGATATACGATCTACGATCACTGATCTTAAAAGTGCACGCAAAAAATTCTTGACAGGATAAGATAATCTTAAGTTGATATTTTTGATTTTTTAAAGTAGCATAAAGTAATTTCTTCCACTTGATTCTAACATCGTTTCAATGCTTTGTTTTAAATATAATAAATGTGAAGTTATGATTTAGGATATCTAATTTTTTAGCCATTAACACAATTTTCTATGTTGCAAATAGAAATTTTTGTACAAGTTTTACCAAGTTGGAACTTTTAATACAAGTTTGGTAAGCTTCTAAGGAGAAATCTTTATTTATACATTTTTCCTTACTATTCCTCCTTTATGCAGCTTTCAATGCCGTTTTAAATTAAAATTAAATTTTCCCTAATCTCTATACCTATATCAATGTAAAATCTTAAAGACAAATCTTTTGGATTATTTTTCCCTGTGCATCTGTGGATCGGCCTGGGCATTCAATAACTTCACGAATTGGTGACCCAGTTGTGTCTCCGTCGCGATGTGTATCTATATCGGGCAACAACTATATAGCTGATACTTGGACCGGCTAATTGTCGTTTGCACAGGCCGCATAAATCATGACAACTCGCTGAGGATGTTGGCTTTGCCTTGAGAGAAAAACGAAGCGAACCTATCAAAGCGGTAAATCATTTCCACCAGCATCTGCGGCTAAGAACCGTCGCAAAATGTATCTGTATCTGTATCTGAGGCTGCAACAAGCGGCTGCAGTTGCAATTGCAACTGCAACAACAGCAACATCGGCTATTTGAGGGCCGTGCAATTGCCGCTTGGCTGAAAAGAGGTCAATTAGCTGCGAGGAGTTGCCCAAAGACAAAGGATTTCGCAATTCCGCTCGCTAAACGATTGTTTTTTTTTATTGTTTTTGCTGTTTGTGGACCAGCTTCCACATTCCATAAAGATACTTTTTCAAACGCTTGCGCAATCCACTAGTATCTCTTGTTTCGGGTAATTACATGAGCAGCCAATGCGGCGTATACGTTACGCAGCTCAAGACTCAACTTTCAAGCTGTGGTCAAACTTCTTTGATTTACGATCTCAAGGTGCCTAAGAATCGGTTTTTCATATGTATATAAATTTGATACATTAGATCATAATTAAGTTAAGTTGTCAGCCGTGTTTCAATGTCAAGCTTCAGGTCTAAAAGATTTATTTGTTCAATGCTGAAATATGTAATTATATTCAAAGGCTTATGGGAATACACTAACAAAGCAGAGAATAGTGAGTTATAGCCTGTCTTTGCTTTTTCAGATTTTCGTTACATAATAATATACATTATCGTACTTCTAGTATTAACAAATTCGTAGCTACTTATAATTAACATAACTTATCAATGAATAACCAAATAATATTTAAATATTTAACAAACATAACGACATGGCATAAGAAACAAAAAGATTAATTGATACCGGCTGAAAATAATATGTAAAAGTATAAAAAGTTAGTGTATTTAAATAAACCAAATGAAATTTAATAATGCCTTATCTTGACAAATGGCTCTTTTAAGTGGTAGGCCTAATACCATCAAAGGTTCAAGACATCTTCTGCCTTTTTAATAAAAGCATTTGCATATTTCGTAAGCATTCGTTTATTTTTGGACAACTGTCAGCTAATTTCTGATCATCACTACACGCAAACCGAATTTCCAATGCAAATCTGAAATTCTTTTCTAGCATAATATCCAGTAATTATTGAGAGGTGTTTGAACTCTTATTTTCGTTTTTTGCTTTCAGTTCGCAGCTGGCCCCTCTAGACTCATTAATCTTATTGCCATTTTTGGGGAATGGTTGTGGGCACGTGCTGTTTTCTTCGGCTTTTGTTCTCGGCAAAATGTCACAAGGTTATAGACTTGAACTTTATCACAAATACCCATAATTCTTTCAGTTTAATTCGTTTTAACATAATATTATTTAATATATTTTCTGATTTGCGTCAGTGTTTTCTTCTACTCAATATTTTATTTAGTATTCTGAGGTCACCTGCATTCCAATTAAAAAAAACAAAGCCAAGAAGCGCAGCCAAAAGTGGAGAGAAACGTATCACAAAAATATTGATAAAACTGGATTTCTTTTTTCGTTTTAGAGTTGAATATTTATGCAAGTAGAAGATGGGCATCAAACGCACATATCATGTTATAAATACACACACAGTCTATATATATCAAACATTAAATCGCAGCGGGGAGATAAAGCCGCCAATACGAAAGTTTGCCTCCGATTCGACTCGATTGTGATTGTGACAAGATTCGCTTCTATAGAACTCATATGTTTATGAAATGCAAAATCTTTAAATGTCAAATGGTGCATGGGAAACACAATTTGCATTTTAATACAAAACAAACCGCAGTTCTTTTTTAATCAACTTTTTTGTTGTAATAAATAAATGAAAATCAAAACAAAAAATTTGCTTACGAATTGATATGTTAAGCGAAATTGGAGGAGATAAATGTGAAAAGATTTTTTATGCAAATATGGATCTTTTCCAATTTAAAAATTCTTTTATAGTTGGTATAATTAATATGAAAAACTAGATTTGTTTGTATTTCCAAAACAAACGTTGGCAATAATCAAGTGTCGTCTTTTTGCAATCATAAATCTTGTCAATTTCTAACGCTATACATTAATATGTTTTATTGTTTTTGACACAGCCAATAAATAAGGACAACATATAAAATATATTTTATTTTCTTTTCAACACAAACAATTTAAATAGACTTTTGAGTTAATCATTTAATCATTAATTATTTAATCATTAGTCTTAAATGAAAGTTAAATTAATCCTGCTAAGTTTTCCTAATTTTCAAAAATTAAAAAACTGTTACCAATGGCTTTCTCCCATTTAAGCCTCATTAAAGAGCTTATTACCCACTGAACCCTTGAAATTCCACACAATTTCCACCTACATCTAACACTTGCCAAGACTACGGAAAAGCTTCAAACCGATTCAAAGCAATCTGGCCAAGAGCAATTGTTAATATTTGCAAATCAATTGACACTGCCACTCGATGGAGTCCATCACAGGGGCTGAGTGGCTCTGACCCTGACACGGATTCACCGGAATCGAAGGCACTTGGAAAAGTGCCTCAAAGGGGACAAGTACTCACCTCTCTTATCACGGCCATTGGCGAAGTGCTCGGCCTCAGTCGGAACATTTCCTCCTCCCAGTTGGCTAATATCGCTGCTGCTGTTGTGATTGTTTTGGCTAAGATGGAAACCGTGTGGTACATTGCTGATGGGTACTGCCACCGGTATTTTGGTTGGGGGTGTATTGTGGCCGGAATCGACACTGGCCAACGAAATGAGCACTATGATGAGCGTGGGGCGTAACATTATCACCGATTTTATACTTTTCCCGCGAATCTTAGACACCAGTAAAAGTTGCAAGTGCACTTTGTGAGATCTCTCGAATGCACGAAACCGAAAACCGGGGGAAAGAAAGTCGAGGCTATGGTGTAACCTCCGATCTCGAGCTGTAACTGAAAGCCAACTGACCGATGTTGGTCGTTTCGAGGGTCTCTCTAGATCTAGCTTATTTGGTATGCAGCATCGCTTTCTAAATTATCAAAAAAATATGAGGGGAAATGTCGCGGGTATCTCTTCGATCTGCGGGCTAGATCGGTAGTAGTCTTTTGTTTTAATATTCAAATACTTTGGTTTTCTCCGCCCAACTGTCAACGCTCGAGGGGCGGGGAGAGGTCTTTAAGTTAGGGCCATTAATTTGCGCCTTCGAAATATTTGGAGCCAGGGTTCGATGCCTGGTCGTGTTCGCCTTCGCGGATTAAGTAATCACCGAGATCTGCGCTCAATTCACTTTCTTTCCGCTTTCGCAGAGAGAGGGAGATTGAGAGAATTGGAGTGGTTTTTTTTTTGGGGGGTCTCTAAGATCTCTCACTTTTTATGGTCTGCCATGGACCGATCTCAAAACTCGCTCGCATTCGGGTCCGATCCACCGAACAGTTAACATCTAGGCTTGGGCACCGCTTCACGCTTTTCTCGGCTCTTTCCTGCGATCGCACTCGCCGTGTTAACTTACAGACTAAAGCGTTTGAACGCAACTAAAACGAGTTCCTCGCTCGACTCCTCTCCGAACCGTCGATCGGTCAGCTGGCCCGATCTCCGATCTCCGATCTCTGGTCTCCCTCACTCTGCATATAGTATACACCTCCGGGGTCTCAACTTGTTTGAAGTGACCAGACCAGACGGCAAACCACAAAAACCGCCGCTGCATCCAACGCCTTCTTTGGCAGCTCTCCTCTTCGATCCTCTCCTCCGAAGATTTCTGGCCGGGATGGGTCTCATGTTTTTTAATTACAGGTGTGCAATAGATGATGGTCGGAACGGATGGGTATTACTGTTCTCCGTCGCAACTCAGCCATCGTAAATTGGCTTTGTCAGTTATTTTTATATACACTGGAATTGCAGATGAGGCGCCTCTGTGGCCTTGACTTGGCAGTTAAATGCCCTTAAAAAGGGCTGTAAAAATTTGCAAATCAGCTTGTGTGTCAGCTTTAGAGCGGAATTTGGTTTTTTATCCAATATTGAATGCATTTATTAACAAAATCATGTTTACTATAACATTTAACATTTATATTTCGCTGTCTAAAGTTAAACTTTCTTGGTATGCTCTTATTCAAAGCTGCATGTTTAATTTAATATAATATAAGCCATAACACTGTCAAATATTATAATGCATACCCAAAGCCATTTTTAGATTTATTTAGGCTTCTTTTAAGCTCAGTAGGGGGTATTAACTGGTTATGCTTCAGAAAATTATTTTACTTGTTCAAAATTAAATAGAAAGAGCATTAGAGCTAACTTCTAAGCCAAAGTTTTAATCCCCGTACAGACTATTCTAGTCATGCTGATCAAGAATATATATACTTTGAAGGGTCTTATTCACAGCGTTACAAACTTCTGACCAATTTTATAATACCGTCTGCAAGGGTATAAATATCACTTGGCAATTTATTTATTATTATATTTATTTTCCAAGTCCTCCTTTGGCTTTATAAACAACCAAGGGCTTGTGTAACTTAATCCTTTTCAGAAGCGTCAATCTCTGACAGACGAACAAATCTTCACTTGCGGTTTTGACACTCCACAATTAAAAATATTTCCATTTTTAAATTTTAAATTTTTATTTATTCCAAATGATACATTTACGTAACTAGTCGAAATATTCATTATTCGTGCGCCTAACTAAACGGGTGGACATGAGGGTTACTGTGTGGAGAAGCCAGTGGACAGGTTCCGAAATGATGTGCACCTGGTCCGGATTCTTGTGTAATAATTGCCTTAGGATCGTTAATGGATTATGATTCGCCTTACGATCGTTGATGTTTTCGCTATACGATCGCTGATTATTTAGGATTCGCCTTAGAATCGTTCGTAGTCCTTTATCGTCTACTTCTTCTTGCCCTTGCCCTTTTTGCCTTTACCCTTTTTGCCTTTGCCCTTCTTTTTCTTTTTCTTGCCCCCACCGAGCATTTCCTCGGAAACATAGGTTTCGGTGGTGACCTTGCTGATCGGCAGAGTCACGGGTTGCTTGGGCGTCCTCAGCTCGATCTCGATGGTGTTCTTCTTGTGCTGCGATTTGGCCTTGCTTCCCAGTTTTACCAGGAACACGTCGCTATCCGTCTCTTCGCAAGTCTTGTAACAGACCTGAAATTAAAGTTTAAAAAATAACATTAAAAAACAACCTTAAAATCCATACAAATTTAGTATGCGAATAACCTTTAATTAGTAAAACAAAAATTAAAGTTAATAATAAACGCCACTTCAGAATGACCTTCGCATAATCATTAAATAAAACTTTGATGTGATTAAGAAAAAGAAAGTTGCCTTGTGCCTAAGATTTTAAAATAGTCATAATGCAAAAACAATTAAAACGTGATATTTTTAGATATACTTGATGTTCATGGAACAAAAACACCTAATTTACGTGTACGAGTATGTGGTTGAAAAAGCTTCCTTCGATTTATTACATCTCCTGTGCGATTACCATAAATAAAAACACATGGAAAGCTTGAGCTGATTTGGAACCGCAAAATGAAAAAGAGTGCTCCACATTTGGAGCTGGCAGATGTTATGCAACTGCACCACAATTGAGGCAATTGAAAGCCTTCCACCGAGTTCCCGAAGTTGCAGAAGTTGCACCACCTGCATCGGCATTTAGAGGGGCCAAGTCACGGACTGAAAGCGATCACACATTCCGCATTCGCACACGTAACCAGCGATCCCAAAAAAAGGAATGCGGAGGCGATCCGTGGTTACACTGATTTAAGATTAAACATTCTTGAAATATGGATACGTTGTGAGTTAATTACTACTGTGCAATATCACCGCGTTTAAAGATAAGTGGTGAACTGTTTTAAACTGCGTTTAACTTTTACTAAGCAGCCTAGTAGAATTTTAGGTTTAAAAAAAAAAAAAAAATAATTTTATTAAATATTAAGAGAGATTAAGCTCACCTCGATGCCCTTGCGCCTGGTGTCCAGATTGACACCCTTCATGGTCTGCATGATGTCCTTCCCCTCGACCTGCATGCAGCAGGAGCGCTGGTTCTGGACAGGACAATGGGCGGGGACAATGGGATCGTATCCCCCACAGAGGCGCTGGCGATAGCAGTCGACCTTGGCCTCATGGAGGTCACAGGCCTCCTTGATCTTCGAGAAGGGCACGTAGTAGTTGTCCGTCTCGCAGGCATCGTTACCCGAATACTTGATGTTGGCCCGCACCTTCGGGATGTTTGGGTGGTTGATGATCCTGCCGCCGGTCCTGCGCCTGATGTGGTTCCTGGCGAAGGAGCTGCGCTGCATCATCTCGTGCAGGCAGGACTCCTGCTTGGGCTCGCAGTCGTTGGGATCCTCCCGATAGCAGGGATCATCATCTGCACCAAGGTTACCGCCTTCGTTGCCATCCACAACGTTCTCCACTTTATGGGTGTTCTTCAGGACTCGAATGGTCAACCCACTACCATTGAGACACGCCTCGAACTCATCGTAGGCCTCCGGACCCGGATCCCGCCTAGTGGGTTGGATGAAACAAGGTGCCAACTCCGGACTGCAGTCGCAATCGCAGGCGCATTGGCAACAGCCATCACAATCATCAACATCTGTGGTTACCCAAGAGATTGGTAAGGATTACCCATGGTCTAAATAAATACTTACTCTCGTTCATTGGCTTGAGCATCTCATTTGTTATCTTGAAATTGCAGTTGACCTTGGGCTTCTTGCCCTTCTTTCCCTTTTTACCCCTTTTGGCCATGATGTATGATTAACTGTCTTTATAATATATAACTATTCACTGGGTTCTTTTGCAGATGTTGTCTGTCTTAAGAGTAGAGATATACTCTCAGTTCGAAAGGCCTTTAATTCTCAATTTGGATATTATACTTCAGGAGTAAGTGTCGCAATTTCCGCACAGCCCGTTTTCGTGCTGCAATAAAATAGGAACGCGATTTATTAGGATAATTCCAATTTTGTATTGGTACTAAGCGTACTACTCTTGTCTTTTGTTTTTAAAGTCCATCCAAAGCTCGCGTAACGATAACGAAGAAATTTAATTTTTGTTTATTTTGTGCGGCAGACAACATTTCCCGTTTGAAACTATAAAACGAATGCAAACCGAGTAATGATCGTTTTCCCCCCGGATACTTGGTGTTACTAAAAGGTTTGAAGTGAGTTTCTACATAAATCTGTTGTTTTTCTCAAAGCCTACTAAATGTTATGGTGTTGAAAAGGCACTGCGATTTTACACAGCATTTAAGTATTTAAATATTGTTGTAAGATATATTTTTGTAACCCTTCAAAAGGGTAAATGTTGAGAAATAACACTTACCTTCATCGCATGCCATGTCGTACTCGTCTTCCCGCCTGTTGCACTTGACAATGGGATCATACCTCATTTTCTTAGTTGCCTGGAGGACACCATCGCAGACAGGATCGCGGTCTTCGTAAATGGCAGATGGACCGTTGTGGTCTCCTACACAGTAAACGGCACCTCCGGCCTGTCGCTTTTTCTTGCCCTTGTCCTTTCCACCCTTGGCATCCTTGTCCTTCTTGCCATCCTTGTCCTTTTTGCCATCCTTGTCCTTTTTGGGGTCTGGGGTCGGCTTGCCCAGGAGTACTGCATCCAACTTTTCTTGGATGAAGCGGGGATACGGGGGAATGCCGCCGCATGGTCCGCATTTTTGCAGCTTTTGTTCGATGGGTGACATGTTACAACGCCTTGAAGGAACAGTGGGACATTCTGGGGAAAGAAGGATTCAATTTGTACATTTTTAACACGATTTTTTACCATAAAGTGTAGTAGCAAAATTTTGTAATCGTTGTAACATTTTTTTAAGGACATTTTGGATGTTTGATATATTATTCACAATCCCAGAAATTTTAAACAAAATCGAAATGGTTGAGAGTGTTGGGATGTAAATAAATGGATTACCTTCTTCTATGGATTAATTTATAATTTAAATTATATTGAAAAAATTTAATTTAAAATTAAACAAAATAATTAATTAATAAAACTATTTATAAATGATATGATATGATATATGTATATGGCTTATATGGATAAAGACTCACCTCTGTCGAACTCGTCCTCACAGTAATCACAGGGACATAGCTTGTCCAGGTTGCAGGAGTAGTATCTTAGGCACTTGGCCGGCGGCTCGACGCGCTTGGCACAAGGATCCACCATAGTGCAGCGACGGCAAGGAGGCTGAGCACAAGGACCCTTACAGCACTTATTCTTTTCCATAGGTCCGCCGGTGGCAGTTCCTCCGGCACCACAGCAAGGGCCGCAGGGATCGCACGGATCGCAGGGATCACAGGGTGGCGGACAGGGAGAAGGACACGGGGCAGTACCGCACCCAGGAGGAGGTGGACTGCAGCAGGGAGGACAGTTGCCGCAGCAAGGAGGTGGTGGGCAGGGTCCACAGGGACCGCAGCAGGGCTCCGGGCACTTGGGATTCCGGGAGCAGACCTTACTGAAGGGGAATGTGGAAACTATGGCCGGGCCATTGCAAACCAATCTGAGGATCAGCACTATGTTTCCAGTCTGCATCTTGCAGAGATTGAACAGGGGCAGCAATCGCTTAGATAGCTCCGAAGTGGGACACCACTGCTCATGGCGTTCATTTAGTTTTTCATAGCAAGCACAATTGTCCAGGAGACCCTTGCTATTCGGACCCTTCATCTTGGGCAATTGGGCAATGTGACCCAGCATTGCCCCCTCCCAGGCCGGATTTTCCGCATCGAAGGACTCTTTTACCCGATCAAAGATGGGCTTCACCTTCAGCTCCGATAATCCAATCAAAAACTTGCAACTCTCCGTGCGCTTTTTGTACACATGCACCTGCAGCACATCCTTGTCGGTAATCGGGGAATCCAGAGTGAAGAGGGCACACTTTCCGCACTTGGGCGAACAAGGGTTTACACAGGTGCCCACCTCCCGATCGCACAGATTCACGTACACCGACGACCGGAACGTGATCTCCGTGCAGGTGGGATACTCCTCCGGCGCACACATATTCTGTCGTGTAATCAGCAGATCGTCCACCACAAACTCAAACATGTACAGAAAGTTTTCTGCAATTTTTGGTGGTTTTTCCGATTTCTCAGACATTCTGAAAGAAGGAACCTTAACTTTTGCACTGATACCGAAAGGGAATTTACGCTAGCCTTTAGTTTCTGCAAAATTTAGAATATCCGCACGCAATTTAAAAAGTTTTGAGAAAAAAAATTTAAAATTTTGATTTAGATTTTGAATGGATGTCGAGACAGGGAGACTGTGGTGTTCGAACTGATCATACGATGGGATTATCAAGGACTACTGGGGAATTGATGGGGATTTTTGGATATAAGATTGAGCGAGCAGTTTATTATTTTATCAAATAACTGAATATTAGTCTGTAATGTGTTTTTTATGTTTTTATAACAGCTTAAAAAAAATTTAATTAATATTTTCTTGAAACGTGTACTAATTTTCAACTCTTTTTTTAATCTATATACTATTTGTATTAAAAAATTTGAGTAAATCCAATTTTAGACTGGGTGCTGAAATCAACCACAATGAAGTACAATAAAAATATTTTCAGAACTAGAGAAAACCACTACATTTTATTATTAGCTAACCTTTACATGTTCTGATCATATTTATGATGACCATTTTTAAAGCCAGCAATAAACCCGCATTCTTTTATTTATAGAAGTTTACCTTCCACGAGCAATTAAAAGACTACGATTGATGTAGAAAAGTGTAAAATACTTTATTGTTAAAGATCTACTACTCGAATGATAGTAATTAATCAGCGGCGCAGCCTTGTCAAAACATGCTTGAATAAAAACGGAATATAAAATCCATGCCGCTTTTGTTCCTGTTCATGTCTTCTTAGATTTCACGGATTTGCAGGGATCGCAGGGATCTATTGGGGACGAACAAGGAGCAGGCCATGTTTCTGGGCAGGGACAACAGGAAGTGCAGCAGGGGTTCTTGCATTTGGGAGTGACGGCGAATGAGGAAACTACGGAAGGACCATTGCAAACCAATCTCAGGATCAGGACAATGTTCCCTGTTTGCATCTTGCAGAGATTGAAGAGGGGCAGCATTCGCTTGGTTATCTCAGATGTGGGACACCACGCCTCAAGGCGCGTCTTATGCTTCTCGAAGCAATCGCAAGTATTGATCTTTTTACAAGGACCCCTAATCCTGGGCAATCGCGAAACGTGCGTCATCACGTTCTCCTCCCAGTTTATATTAACCGAATCGAATTCCTTCTTCACTCTATCAAAGATCGGCTTCATCTTGAGCTCCGTCAATCCGAGCAAGAACTTGCAGCCCTCCGAGCGTTTCTTATAAACATGTATATTCATCACATCCTCGTCCGTAATCGGGGTATCCAGCGTGAACAGTGCGCACTTTCCAGTCTTCGGTGAACAGGGGCTAACACAGGTGCCATTCTCCCGATCACAGATGTTCAAAAAGATTGACCTGAACGTAATCTCCGTACAGGTGGGATACTCCTCTGGCGCACACAGATTCTGGCGCGTAATCAGCAGATCGTCCACCACAAACTCCAACATGTACAGGAAGTTGTCGGCAAGTTTTGAAGATTTATCCGCTTTGTCCATTTTATTTTAAAAGTCTTACAAACTAAAAAGATTGTACTTAAAAATCTACACCAAGGGGAATTTTTTATTTTAAATTAAATGCAATCTTAAGACTATCGTAGGTCCTATACACATTCTAAAAATTTCGTTACTAAAGTAAATTTTTAAAAATTTTTGTTCAGATTTTGATGGCTTGCCGAAACAAAAAGACTGATGCTTTCGAAATAACTAGAAGAATGAACGTTCACAGCCTGCCTAGATAAATACTAGTTGGTAAAATTAATTTACATCAAAATTGATTTTTAAATAATATTCAAATTTTATTTCAAGCCAATCCAATAAAGAAGTTATATAGATTTTTCGCCTCAATTAACCTTTACAAGATGTGTTCATATTTGCAAGTCATAAACACGATATACCCGTATCATTAAGCAAGAAAAACGTTCTTAGTTCGCATGGCAGTTCACCTTAACAAGTAATTAAAAGATGTCGATTGAGGTTTTCTAGCAATGCGTAAAATACTTTATTTAATGTCATAAAATGTTTCTACAAAAGTGATTGATCTACTTTGCAATTAATCGCAGTTAAGAAGCGGCGCCTTGACAACTCCTTCCCCTCCCGTCCGAAAACACAATAATTTCTGTGTTACAGTAACTAACATGTTCTAGATAGGAATGGATTTGGAGGTTTTAAAACTAAACAAAACTATAATAAAACAAACAGAAAGCGGGGGCCAGAAATTGAAAGAATTTCAAATCGATTACAGGAATTGGTTTACAATATATTTTCTTGGAGCAATGTGACTGTTTATGCTGCAGAGTAGTTGCCAGTGGCTCTGCTAGACGACACTAACGTCATGGCTCTCGAAAGGAGTTCGGCGGAAGAAGCCGCGGCCACTGCACGAACTCGATGCCGTAGTGCAGAATTCCGGTGGCACTGACGGCGATCATTGCGCCCCAGAAAAGCATGAATAGCAGATTCTCCGTATTGAACTCGGCCGGATAGGTCATCGTGATCATGAACATGGCCACGGCCATCAGCAGGACCGAAGGGAAAGTGAAGAATCGCCAGCCATGCTTCGATTCCAGTGGTGATGGAACGGCGCCACCCTCGTTGTCGTTAATCAGATACTTGCCAAGGAACAGATCAATACCATCCTGCCGCTGGCCATCGGAAAAATTGTTCAAATAGTATCGTATCAGCGAGTTCTTGCCATCCTGCAGTGCTCCAGCCTTGGTCCTCTTGCCCGTCCGGGTGAAGTCCGTCTTGAGGGCACACGTTCCCGAATATTGCAGCGACACCAAATCCGCATTGTCCGCCCAAACGCCCTTGAATCGCGTCTCGAAGAGGGCGGAGGCCTGCTCCACTCGCTGGCCCACATGCAGGACTCCCAGCTGCTGGAGCACCGTCGTAAGGGATCTTCGGGCCAGCATGCTCTGCACCACATTTGTGCGGTCCAGACAATCAATGCAATTCGTTCGGAAGACGCCAGTCTGCGTGGAAACCAGCTTGCCATCGTCAAAGACATGATAGAAACCGAACTGATCCTGCTCGAGGGCCAAGCGATCGATGAGTATGTTGAGCCGGTCCCAGCGCATCTTCCGGCACTCACAATGGAAGTCAAAATATTCATAGCGCACTCGTGGATTTCCCATTTCGCGAATCAGACGAGCATAAGTCGCTTCCAGTTCACCTTCGCGACCTTTGTGATCCACCAGATTCACAGCCACATTATTGCCGTACAGCTGGATTTGATCGTTGAAGTGCTGTGTACAGGCAGCCAGGTGATCCTTTCCCGGGATCAGAACGGGTCGCGGTTTATACCGCAGGTTGGGCTGCTGGTGCCACAGGAAGGGCATGCTGCCGCGCGTCTGCACGAATCCCGTCAGTTGTCCGTTGAACTCCACTATTTGCTCGGTCTCCACAAAGTTGGCCACATGCCCCTGCTCGTCGCTGCCTCTGCAGAAGAGTCGAGTGCCCGCACGCTCCACAGATCGCCTAGTGACGATGGTCCAAAAGAAGGTCTGACCGTTTATCTGGACCTGGTTGATGGATACAAAGCCAAGGACCAGTGGCAATTGAAACTTCTCCATCTTGTCACAGTTGAACTGCCTTAGAACAAAGCCATTCCAAACAAATCTCTGGTCAGCCCGCTGCAGTAAGCCAGGTTGTACTGGCCGAGATTGGGCTACTTCCCGCTGCCTTTGGAGCGAATTGGTGAGGTCGTAGCGGTAGGAGAAGTAAAAGTACTTGGTGTCCAGTGTCTGGCGGAGTAATTGCAAGTATGTCTCGTTCTCCTTGCGCTGGATGGCATTGGGAATGTAGGGTATGATGTCATAGCCGGCTAATCTCCACACAATCGAGCCATCGAGGACGCCAACGAAGAGCCGGTGGGTGGCGACCATGAGGTAATCGCAGCTCAGCAAGTGTATGGTGCCCAGGATCCCACAAATCCGCCTTGTAGGTCGTAGGTTGGCCAACTGACCGCCCACTGGCTGAACTCTGGTGACCTTATCGTGGCGCCCGATTACGAGCACCTCCTGCACTCCGGTCGGCTCCACGATGAAGCTCTCAGGCGTGATGTACAGGTTCATGTCATCGTACACCTCATTGGCCTCCCTGCTCTCCATGATTTCCGGCGGCGGTGGTTGACCCAAGTTGAAGGCTATGGGTTAAAACGGGCAAAACCAAAGGGTTAATAAATATCGGCTGCACCTGTGCTGCTTCCACCTCTTCTGGGGGTTGTCTCACTTTCTGAAATCGGGGATTCCGTGTCGCTATCACCGCTGTCACACACGCACAGCACAAAATTCAGCCACAGCCTTAGGAATTCTGTTATTTCTTTATTGATTTAACACAATTTGCGTTTCATCTGGGTTTTTGCCACTACGTGTGTGATAGAGATGGGCGAGTTCGCTAAATAGCGAAGTGCCCGTTGCGATATTTCCACGATGGTCACACTGACTCACCAGCATTTGATGTTGAGGTCAAGCAGGAACACCAATCTAGCCAGGAAGGCATGATTTTAGCGCATTATAACTTGGTCCCAAAACACAAATTTAATGGATCCCGTTGAAATTTTAATTTTTAAAGTTTCTTTATGACATTTTTATAAAAAACAGCTGGCTGCCTAGGCTTTTATAAAACTTTACAAATTTCTTTTTGAAGTTGTTTCCGTCCAACGTTTTTTGAATGCAAGAAAGCATCTGTTAAAAAATACTAAATATTGACCGTTTATTATAAAAATACTATCAGCTGGTAAATAGTATCATATCAACGCGATCAGAAAATTTTTGGCGCAAACCCATCGCTAAATCAACAAACCAAAAAAAACAGATCAACAATGAGCCGGCCAAACAAATTATTTGGAGACAAGGCCTTTGAGCTTCTTAAGGAAATGGAGAGATCGTCGCAAACCATTCCCGCCTTCGATGACGACGGAGTGCGTCAGGTTCTGGAGGAGATCAAGGCGATATTCGAGGAGAACGTGGCCCAGGCATCAACCTACAATACTTCTGGGGATCGGAGTTTATGGCCCCTTCTAAACTTCAGGCATGCGGCTCTCCAGAGGAACAAGAGGTGCTTATTGGCCTATTTATACGAGCGATGCAAGAGGATCAAGGCCCTGCGCTGGGAATTCGGACCCATAATTCCCGGGGACATCAAGCAGTCGCTCTGTGAACCTGAGGTTCACTTCTTCAACAACTACTCCAAATCCCTGGCTGCCTACATGTGCAGTGCCGGCTATAATCAGGGATTACCCATTGATCTCACCAACAACCTGCGTCCTCCAAAATCCCTCTATATAGAAGTGCGCTGCATGGAAGACTACGGGAAATTCGAGCTGGACGATGGAGAGGTAATTCATCTGAAGAAAAACAGCCAGCATTATCTTCCAAGGGCTCAAGTAGAGTCCCTCTTACGGCAGGGAATTCTTCACCACATAGCTTAAATCAATAGTAATTTTTAAATTGTTCAATAAATTTTAAATGATATTTTTGTCAAATTATTAAGTTACCTTTTTAATATGGATACATTAATAATGGAGCAGGAATGACATCCTCTTAAGGCTATAGACTATTTTTTAAACTAACTAGAATTTGCCATAACATTTGTACAAATATGTATTACACAAATTTAAATTCATGTTATATTTAAATTCAGTACTTTTCCAAACGAACTAGTTCATTGTGGTATATTTTCTTATACAGCGTGGTATTTTTATATTAGCCTGCGGCAGTCACACTATTTGCGCATAATTTTAAAATTGAACGGACAAGCGGAGACGCTGCGCCCATAGTTCTCGTTGGAATTAGTGCAACAAATAGTTTTCTATAGCGTCCATCTGTAAATAGTAGTTAAAAATCATCCAATTAAGTTCAGTGGAAAGTGAAAACAAGGCTTTCCAGGAAGCACACACACACACGGGCACGCATACAAGTGCAATCGCCTGGCGTCATTTTTTGGACTGTACGCGCTAAAATACTAATTAATTGATTTAATTAATTAAAATGGACATATCTGGTGGTAATACGTCGCGCCAGCCGCAAAAGAAGTCCAACCAAAACATCCAGGTGTATGTGCGCGTCAGGTGAGTTGATATTATGAGCCAGTCCTCTCAGAAATGCGATTCCTAACTGCGGTTCCATATTTCTCTTAGGCCCCTTAATTCCCGGGAACGTTGCATCCGATCCGCCGAAGTCGTGGATGTGGTGGCACCACGGGAAATTGTGACCCGCCACACGCTCGACTCCAAGCTCACGAAGAAGTTCACCTTTGACCGCAGCTTTGGCCCCGAGTCCAAGCAATGCGATGTCTACTCCGTCGTGGTGTCTCCACTGATCGAAGAGGTCCTCAGTGGCTATAACTGCACGGTTTTTGCATACGGACAAACTGGCACGGGCAAAACCCATACGATGGTGGGAAACGAGACCGCCGAACTGAAATCCTCCTGGGAAGATGTGAGTTAATGGTTGAAGGCTGAGGATGTGCTATAAGATAAAATACTTCGATTGGAAAAATCTTAAAAAAGTCCATAAGAATAGTTATAATCGGTCACTTACCAAGCCTTAAGTTTCTATATCATTCCTATAGCCATCCTCCTTAAATTGGCAGTCCTCGAGATTCTTATTTTCCTACAAAATGACGAAAAGAAGGGTCTCAGCCAAACCGGTTTTTCTATTCCACGAACTACCAATCTAACCTATTCCCATTTTTATTTCCGCTTAGGACTCTGATATTGGTATCATACCGCGGGCTCTGAGTCACCTTTTCGATGAGCTGCGTATGATGGAGGTGGAGTACACAATGCGCATTTCCTACTTGGAGCTGTATAACGAGGAACTGTGCGATCTGTTGTCGACCGATGACTCCACCAAGATTCGTATTTTCGATGACAGCACTAAGAAGGGATCAGTTATTATCCAGGGACTGGAGGAGATACCTGTGCACAGCAAGGATGATGTGTACAAGCTGTTAGAAAAGGGAAAAGAACGTCGCAAAACGGCCACTACTCTGATGAATGCACAATCCTCTCGATCCCATACTGTGTTTTCTATAGTCGTGCACATTAGGGAGAATGGAATCGAAGGAGAGGATATGCTGAAAATCGGAAAGTTGAATCTAGTGGATCTGGCGGGCAGTGAAAATGTCTCAAAGGCAGGAAATGAAAAGGGAATACGTGTGCGGGAGACAGTAAACATAAATCAGAGTCTCTTGACTCTCGGCAGAGTAATTACCGCATTGGTGGATCGTGCACCTCATGTTCCCTATCGCGAATCGAAGCTTACTAGGCTGCTCCAAGAATCTCTGGGTGGCAGGACCAAGACGTCCATCATAGCCACCATATCACCGGGTCACAAGGACATCGAGGAGACCCTCAGCACTTTAGAATACGCCCATCGAGCCAAGAACATTCAAAACAAACCCGAAGTCAATCAGAAGTTGACCAAGAAAACGGTGCTCAAGGAGTACACCGAGGAAATTGACAAGCTCAAAAGAGATCTTATGGCTGCCAGGGACAAGAATGGCATTTATTTGGCAGAGGAAACATACGGCGAAATCACCTTGAAGTTGGAATCGCAGAACCGCGAGCTCAACGAGAAGATGCTGCTGCTAAAGGCTTTGAAGGATGAACTCCAAAACAAGGAGAAGATCTTCAGTGAGGTGAGCATGAGTCTGGTGGAGAAAACTCAAGAGCTGAAGAAAACCGAGGAGAATCTGATGAACACCAAGGGTTCGTTGCTGCTTACAAAGAAAGTGCTGACAAAGACCAAGCGGCGTTACAAGGAGAAAAAGGAGTTGGTGGCCTCGCATATGAAAACGGAGCAGGTGTTGACCACACAGGCGCAGGAGATTTTGGCCGTTGCTGATCTGGCCACAGATGATACTCATCAACTGATAGGCACAATCGAAAGAAGGCGTGATGTGGACGAGAAAATACGCAGATCCTGCGATCAGTTTAAAGACCGTATGCAGGACAATTTGGAGATGATCGGTGGCAGCTTAAATTTGTATCTAGAGCAGCAGGCAGCCTCTAAGGAGCACCTTTGCCAGGAGATGGGTAAGCTATCTACAAACATTTATTTAGTTTTTACCAGTTTTATTTGTATCGTAATCTCTCATATCCAGTCAACTCCAACAATGTGAACCAACGTCTCTCAACAAATGCCAGCAAGAGCATTGAAATGCTTAAGGAAATCTGTACTCAGGCGCTGACCGATCAGGTTCAGCTTCAGAATAAGTTAATGACAGAAGTCTTAAAGGTCAGCGATCAGCACAATGAGAAATTTATCGCCCAGATGATGAAGCAGTTGCAGCAGCGTCAGCTTATGATGAGCAGGGAAATTCAGACGAGCCTACAGGATATGGAGGAAAACAACCAGCGGCATAAAGCCATGCTAGACTCTATGCAGGACAAGTTCTCCCAAATTATCGACAACAGTTCGCAGTCTCTGGAAAAGCATGCGAAGCAAGTGCATCAGCAACTAGAACAGCTCAGTGGAATGAGTTTGCCGGATGCAGAAAATCTACAGCAGCTGCAAGAGGAGCTGGCCAACGAACGGGCTCTGGCACAGCAAGAGGAAACACTTCTGGAGTCTATGATGATGCAAATGGACCAGATCAAGAATTTACGTGCCAAGAATAACGTTAGCATGTCTATTCGTCTAAACAAGATGGAGGAAAGTCGACTGACCAGGAATCAGCGCATCGATGAAACCAAGACTGGTATCCAAGATTACCAGAATATGGGTGTCAAAGCTGCTCAGTCCGCTCAAACGGAGCTCAGCAGCCAAATGGAGACGGGAATGCGCTGTCTGGACCAAGGCGTTGCAAACTGTTCCATGCTTCAGGTCCATATGAAAAATCTCAGCCAGGAATATGCCAATCAAACAAACGACAATGTCGGCTCAAGTCGCCTACACCACGCGCAGGTGGAGTTTATATGCCAAGACAGCAAACGTCAGCTGGTGGCACTGGAAGAGAAAAGCCAAATAAATCTGGATCAGATTGTGGGGGAGAGAGAGCAGCTTAACACGGAGGACAGGCAGCGTTTTATTGGTCATTCCACAGTGGCCACTGATCTTGTGCAGGAGTTGTCACGGCAATCCAGCGAACACGCCGCACTCCAAAAACAGCAGCTTCAGATTTGCGAGCAGGAGCTTGTGCGCTTCCAACAGAACGAATTGAAAACCTATGCGCCTACCGGAACCACGCCGTCCAAAAGGGACTTTATCTATCCACGTACTCTGGTGGCCACGTCACCGCACCAGGAAATTGTGAGACGCTATCGTCAGGAGCAGGATTGGTCTGATCTGGACACTACTGCACCCATAGATGAGGTAAGTAAAAAGGGTACTATAAAGTGTATATTGGATACCACTTACCCTTTTTCGCCCATTCTGTAGTTAAGCGAGGGGGAGCACGACGACTCCCTGGCATCCGTCCAAGAGCTGTCCGAAACGGAAACCATAATGAATTCCACGCCCATTGAGGCTGATGGTGTTACCATAAGACGAGGCTCTTCTACCAATCGAAACTCCAATTCGAACGCTCTGAAGCCACCCGTAATAAGCGGTGGCAAGCGCAGTAGCTCCTTGTCCCGTTCCCTTACGCCCAAGAAATCTTCACCTCGAAATTCTCCCGCTTTCAACAGGGTAAGTCAAGCAATCAAGTGGTCCGCTAATGGCTAAACAAACAAATGTCTCGGATAAAAAATCATATCGTTTATTTTCAATAATTTTAGCACAATAAAGAAAACGTGGCCTGATTGCATCGATGACTATAGTACTCAACCCAGTAACTCGTTTATGTTAGTGGAATCCGGATCGTTTTGTTTGTTTGGCTCTTCTGGATATTCTTTTTTATCTGTATATCAATCTTTGGAATTTCGTACATTTATTATTTAAATAAACTTAGTATGCTATGTAAAGTTAACAAAACCTTGCCACGTCGGTTCGACTGCCAGTTCAAGATTTAGTAAGCTTGTATAAGTATTACAAAGGGCATCGGATAAAGGTTTTTCTTAAAGTTCGATAAGTAATTTAAACAACTCCTTAATGATTTCGTTCAACCTCGTATTCTTGTGCGTTTTATATAAAGTTCACAAAACTTATCGGTTTATTAAAGTAAAATCTGTTCTTTAAAGTTTACGAGCCTCTAAATCAATAAATTTAGATTTAATACAATGTTATATTTCTTTTGCTGAACATAACATAATCTCATTGGTAAATTTATACTTGTTTCATTTTCACTCTTAAACATTTTTAAGTTATATAACCATATTGTTAAGCTTATATATTTTAAAATCGAAAAGTTTCATTTACAAAATGTAAATGACATAAAAGTGTTTTTTTTTAATAACCTAATTACCTACTGCTAATCCTCATCGTGCTCATCGTCATCATCTTTGAGAATGCCCAGCCGACGGGCCACCTCCTTGACATTGGCAATGAACTCCTCCTGGACAAGATTAAAGCTCATGGCCAATAGAGCAATGCCGAAGAGAAGATATAGCGAACAATAGGCAATCGACTGCTCCGATTCATCTTTGACACCTTTTGCTGGCACAAAGTCGCCAAATCCTTCACAAAATCGTATCATCAGAATAAAGTCCGAATTGAATTAACACAAACACTTACCAATCGTGGTCAGCGTGATGAAACAGAAGTAGGCGGAGTCCAGAAAAGACCAGTTTTCCCAGTAGGCAAACAGAACAGCTCCTCCGAGAATATAGCTAACCACCAAAAAGACGCACAACCAAATGGGCACGGGGCGATCCTTGGGCAGCAAATCTCCATAGTCCCCATACTCATCCCCGTACATAGAGTCATCTTCATCGCAATCGTAGCTGGGCCGCCGACGGATTTGCCGCTGAACCGGAAAACCCATTGGTGACATGATCCTCGGGGATGGAGGCAAACGTTCTGTTCGTTCTCTTCGGCGATTTCTTCTTGGCTCACGACTTCTGGAGCGATGGCGTTCGGTCGGGTAATCCTCGTAGTCATCCCCGTAAAGCGAACCTTCATCGAAGCTCTCCTCCACATAATCCTCGTAGCGTCCTTGGGAGTGACCACGTCTATCCCGACGATGATCCCGTCCTGGCGGTGGAGCGTCGTAGTCGGGTAGCTCTAGATGATTGCCATAACGAGAGGATTGTCTGCCCAGACTTCCAGCTCTTCTGCCATTGCTTTGGCGTTGTGAACTGTGAGGTGGCGGTTGTGGAGATCGCTCCCTTTCACGATCCCTCTGGCGTTGCCTCTGGTGAGCAGATCTCGGCATGGATTGACTCCTTGGCGCTTGGTGTCTTTTATTGCCTCCGCCACCGAAGTCATCTAATGCATACCTATTCGGTATGATGGGCGTTTTCCTCACCACATCCTCATCCACATCTTCGTAATGCGAAGACACGTGCCTGGGGTCCACTGACTTGGCTCTACTCCTCCCAGGAGCCGAGTGCAGACGATGTAGTTCCCTGGAAGCTTTCGAAGGCTCCTGATGGTGAGGCGATCGAACGGAACGCACACTGGCGGCTCTTTTAGCAGGAGGTGGCATGTCACCAAAGTCCTCAATAGATCCAGCATCCAAATGGGACCGGGAATAGCGCTCCCTTTCCACCGTGTGCCTGTCCCTCATCCGATCCCGCTGCCTCTGTCGACTGCTGTAGCGATTGGAGCGATTCAGGGTCTGGGTTTCGTACTCATCCCCATAAATGGTGTGCCGCTGGCGAGGATCGTGATGTGGATGCTGCTGTTGCTGACGTCGATTACGTCCACCTCCACTGCTGCGATGGCCAAACTCCCGATCGTCGTAACCCCTGCCCATGGTGCGCAGTTCGGGATCGGAGTAGGCATGCCCCATTGAGGGACCCAGTCCGGAGTCATTTCCCGACCGCTGCGTCATCTTCATGGAACGCCGGAAGGAGGGTGGCGGCTGGGAACGGGCTTGTCGCTGCGAGCGCATCGATCTCTGCCGGGATCGGGCATTCCTTGGTCGCTTAGCCGTGCGGGTGCACACATAGCAACAAATTCTCCAGTATAGAAACCTATGGGGAGTCAACCAAATAAGCATCAGTAAATTCATACTTTTTTTTAGTACTCACCGGAATGATGTGGCCATGACATCTCCAATGTTGGACAGGCAGATGAGCATCAGCGGAATGCCCACAATGGCGTAGAAAATCGTTGTCACCTTGCCCCAATCCGTGCGCGGCGATATGTGGCCATAGCCTGTCCAGAATATGATGAAGAATACTAAATTACTCCGGTCTTAAAAGGTGAGTTTGATTTTGAGTCATGCTTGTGGCTTTACCTTCAACCTTGTGACCGCAAAGTTCTTGAAATACTAATGAGTCTAAGACCCGCTAAGGTCTAATCTATCTGTGTACTTCTTTTTGTATAAGCCAAGCCCATTATCGCTCCCAAAAAGCAATCGGCAAACAATTGCGAACATGGTATTTCAAGTCTGCCGCTTTTGGCCTTTACGGAAGTGTGCAAACTTTTAAATAGCATTCTGCCCCTTTTCGCAAAATTCTACCTGATGGGCGTCGGTCACTAAACCCATTTGTATTTTAGCCATAAATCCATATTGGGGTATTGTGCAAATGAAAAAACTAAGCTTCCATCATCAACAGCTAAAACTAATAAACCCCTTTAAAGAAAAAAATTAAAATAAATATGCTTGAAAGTCGAGAAGTTAAATGCCCTAAAATAATTTAACTAATTTTATTTGTTTTAATTTTATTTAAATTTTTATCAGTTACATATTTTTTGTTTGACAATTAAATCTTCTATAAATCTTAAGCTGACTGTTAATGTCTTCACAAAGACCACTTTTTACTACTCAAAAAGGCTTTTCTTATATTTCGTTTTTAGCATTTTAAGTTTTCCTCCTCCAGCTTTTGAACAGAATCAGTAAAACCCCTGCTAGAGTATTCAAAAATCAGAAATTCCCATCGTTAAAATCTAAATCTGAATTGTCAGAAAAGATAATCACGATCGGTCAGTGGCGTTTGACCTTGCTGTTGTTTTGACCACAGACAATTGGATGGCAGCAATTCCACTTTTGGTTTCATTTGACACGCTCCACACACCCTCGCTCCCTTTGCGACCCATCACCACCCAAATGAACCCATTTTTAGAGGTCACTCACGTGCTCCATGCCCAGCTAACTGTGTCCAAACTGGATCTTTGACCTATGACTTCTGCCCTGCAAAGGGAGTATATACCAACTCATGGTAATTTCCAGGAATGGGTTTTTTTGGGTCGATTAATGAGCAATTACCCAATGATTTATGTGATTTCAACGTGATCACTGAGTGGACAAAACCAACTGTCCGAATCATCCGCTTGCCTCATTGGTTCCTGGGCGGATCACGCTCCTCGGCGGTTTGGTTGCGCTTCAGGTGAATCAACGAAACGATTCGATCCGATACGTGGGCCCAAGATCTCGGCTGCGTCTGGCACGATCGGCTGCCCTGCCATGTTTGCGTTGATTCATTGGCCTGGTAGTCGCCAAATCCCCACCTGCGGCTGCCCTCGCCGCTTGACTGAGTTTGTGCGTCGTCATCGCCGCTGATGTCTCTGTTTTTTTTTTCGGTTCTCGGGTGCGGTTATATAAGTAGCGTGCGCCGGTCGCATTTCTGAACTATTCTGTTGCGGGAGCTTGCCGCGACCAAGCGAAAAATACGGGTCAGTGTGTGATCGAAGAAGTCGGACAAAGACAATACAAAGACAACACAATCATGCGAAGCTATTGCCTCATCATCGCATTGTGCCTACTTGGATTAGTGGCAGCCAAATCTCCGGAGGAAGATCGAGATCAGTGGGTCTGGCGATCTTACAACCGAAGGGAGCGCTCCTTTCGGAACATAGATCGCAGTTCCCCCATTAGAAATTCATATGACCAAAAGCTGAGGAGGGAACCCACCACACGCAGACCTTTGCCCGGCGAACCGGAGAACGATGAGATCGAGGACTATGCGGACGTGGAGCCCACCAGGTCCTCGGACACTCCCAACGTTGGCACCCGTCAGTTCAATCCCTATGGCGGCCAAACTAATGCTGGACAATTCGGAGCAGGAGTTGGTGGATACGGTGGAAATCCAGGCGTCTTAGTTGGACCCGGAGGACCTACTGGAATCATTGGCAGACCTCAATTGTACCCCAGTCCTTACCAACCAGGCTATGGAGGATTCTCGGGAGCTCAGAACGGCATTGGGGGATATCCCGGAGGATATGCAGGAGTGGGACAGGGACTTCCCGGAGCTGGATATCCTGGATCCAACGTGGGTGGCGTTTTCCCCGGATCTAACGTAGGAGGTGGATTCCCCGGCACCAGCGTGGGAACCGGCTTCAACGGCTATTCCAGCAACGGACTTGGCCTAAACCAATTCCCCAGCAACGGACAGTATCCTTATGGATCCTACCCTGGAGGCGACTTCGGTGGCAACCAGTTTGCAGCCCCGGGTGGACAGTTCCCTGGACTAGGACAATACCCCTCTAATCAACAGTTTGGAGGACCACAGTATACTGAGGGTTATGGATTGGCTGGAGGATTGGGCTTGGGTCAGCTTGGTGTTGGAAACGGTGGTATTGGATATGGCAGTAATTTTCCACCTGTGGGTGGATTTGGCTTCGATGAGAAATCGCCAGCTGTGGCCGAGGGCAAAAGTGCTAAAAGTGTGGCTGCGGCACCCAGATCGGTGAACGATAAGCTCAGTAAGAAAGTATAGGACTTTATATTCTAAGCTCAAAAGCAGTGTTGTGGAATTGGACATGTTCCTTTTTTACTCCTTCTCACTGCAACTAAAAAGATCTGCAATCAAATCCCCGAATCTATTGTTTCCTAATTATACACTTCCATCTAGCATCAGTTGTAAATAGTTCCCTTATGCTAGGCATAGTTTAGGCTTAGATTAAGCAAATAAATCCCATTGTTTACCCAACTGTGTTCTTTTCAAATGTTGGGTATACTCTTTAAGAATCTGAAACCTTACTCCTCAGCAATTAAATTTAAAATTTACTGACCTATGGTAGTTATCACTATGATGGAGTAGAACAGAGATCCAGCGAAGGTCCATTGAGATTTCCGCAGATCCTCGTCGCCATCCCAACCATCTGCCTTGATGGCCGTTAGGATTTGTTTCTCGAAGTTGGCCAGATGTTTGCTAACATTAGCTATCCAATCGCTTTCACTGAGGTACGAGGCATCGTATGATAGAACCCAGATATTCTCCGTGAGATTGAAGCGCAGATTCTGTATATCACGCTTCACCTGAATGGCGATTAAAGAGTTTAGGTGGGTCATTCATGGTAAGGTCACTCACTCACATCCAGTTCGTGGGGTTTTTCGAGGTGCTGGAAGAGATAGGCGCCGCCCACGCAATAGGAAACGACGAGGAGCACGAGCAGTACGTGGGACACAATGCAGGTGAGCACCTTCCACGAGAAGCAGATGGCAGCCACACAACGTCCGCGTTCCGGCTTCGCTGGCTCCAACATGTGCGCCGGCAAAGATTGGGCCCGCCTACTCGACATGGTCACCCTCCTCTGCTCCCCTACCTTTGGCTGATTTACCGCTCGGCTGGCTATAAATTATGAAAGAAAACTAAGTAAAGGATAGGACTAAAAAGTGTGGGGTTCGAAGCGCTAAATACCCTTGAATATAATATAAAAACAATGTTTAGATATCATGTTTTTAGGACTTTAATTAAGTAATCCAAGTAATCAGAACTTTTAGAGCAATATTTTGAATCTTTAAATGGAAACTAATTGCCTAAAAATCCACAATGGATAACAATTCAGGTAAATGCTGCCATAGAAATTAAACTAATGCCTTTAAATAAACATCCCTTTTCATCGAGTTCGATTTGTTTTCTTTGGTAATCTCGAAAGGAGCAATTACAGAGAAGCCGAAAGGTAAACCAGACAAAGCTCTATGGCCCACATGTTTATTTGTCCAAATATTTATTTATTTGGGTTGCTGGGGCAAGGCCGAAGAGCCGAGGGGATGAGGCGCGGAAGCCAACGAAAGACTCCATGAGACTATTTTGGGTACCCGGCTGCCCGGCGGGGGCATTAATCTCATCGTCAAATCGGACGTCGGAGACTCGTGCCACGCCTGTCGAGAACTCTTTTGGATTTTTTTTTACTTATATACGGAGACTACATAACATGTCCGAGCAATTATGAACTTCGATTTCGTTTGGGTAATTAGTGCTGGGAATTTATGAGCCCACGAGATGGGGAATGAGTATGAAAATGCGTTAATGATGATTACCGATCACGGATCGCTTTCTGATTCGCACTGAGGGATAGTTTTCAGATTTTTAATTGAATTTCCATGCTGTGCACCCCCTTCACTCTCTCGCTTTCCCACCGATCCAATTCGATCCGTACAAACAACCGACGCACCGATCCGTACGACCCACAAATTCTTACTGAATCTCCCAACTGCACAGATGGACTCTCCACGAAATCTCTCGGGAAAATCGGTTTATTTTTGGTTTATCGCGAAGTTCTCTTGTTTTCCGTGGGTATATAGTTTTGGAAAAACTTGTATTTTAAATTTTTCTATGGCCTTTCGTTTGTTTTGTATTGTTCGTCTCTCACTTGCATCTCAATTTGTGTTTTGTTTATGCCGACTATCTATGAACAGCTCTTTTAATCAGCTGATACAGGTGGTCTCTCGTTGTATCTGATATTTAATTTTTGATCTTGATCTTATTAGAGTTCAATTAAAAAAAAATGTACTTAGAAAGGTCCTAAATCATTTCGTTTATACCAATATGGACAAAGTATTAAATCTTCTTTTCACAAATCTTTCTTATAGTTTTATTTTTGTACTAATTTGTATGTTAATCTTTAAATTCATGGAACTTGCCTATCTTTATTATTGTTTGCGCTAAACTCTTTACGATTTGTTATACTCTTATCTCTACGCTTATCAAAAATCGATTAGAATAAAGCTAAACTCGGATAGTTGAGTTTCTTCACCTTTGTAACTTTAGATAAGAGCTGCAACTGAGACTATTTTTAGTTAGTTTTCTTTAGTTTTTTTTAGAGAGCTAAGTGCTTTAGTCAACGTTAAGTTGCCGGAAGGAGCCTTGCAATCCGAAGAGATTCTCGAAGTCGACAGGTTGCCCCACTCGGAGGCGCTCATCGGTTCCGTAGTTGTTCTCCTCCTCCCAGTAATTTCTGTAGGCAAGAATGCGCTGCTCCCAATCCTTTATGAGCTCAGGAATTGACCCATTTTCCCCACCGTATTCCACAGGCAGATACTTTTTGGGTATTTGATCGTAGAGCGATTCCCATTTGTTTCCATGGACGTATAGCTAGGGATTAGGAAAGTTTTATTTATAGTATTTTATATCTGGCTTAAAATATTCTACTTACTCGTCCCTGTTGCTTCTTTGACATCATGGGCTTGATCATATTAAAGACGGTCTCAAAGCCATTGGGTGTGTTTAAAAAATGAATACCCTGAGGTCGAAGGGGCAGAGCCTCCTCCTGAAACACGGTCATTTTCTTGGCAAACGATGGAGTCATTTGCAGGAAGTGACCCATGGTGACATCGGAGAGGTCCAGAATGGAAATTAATCCATTCACAATGGCCACATCATCCTCATCGAGCATGATCTGCTGCATTAGACCACCAGCTCGATTCACTTCCTGAAAGGTGTATTTTGTTGGATCGTACGTGGCCATTCGAATTAAAGCCAAACGTGGGCCGTTATCGTTCAGAGGACGTGGCAGTACAACTATAGTGCTAAGGAAAGATTAAATTCCTAGTTGGGATATAGATTTTAATGGAATTTTATTTTCCGACTCACCCTAGCTTAAAGATATCCAACAGCTTGTCTACATCAACATTATGACCCAAATAAAACTCGGGGTACTTGGTGCGGAGTGTGTAAAACCGATCGATCTTGGCCTTGGTTCGTTCTAAACTGAATTTGCAGCCTCGAAGGAAGTTCACCAGGAACTGATCATCTGTGCGGGCCTTCAGATGAGGTTGCTGCTTAATCCACTGCCTCAAAGCGGCAATATCATCTTCTAGTTTGTCGGGAACCTCGCCAAGTACCTCGTTGGCATTTTTCTGGAGCTCGGGGCTCAGCGGGCGGATGGATGGCATCTCTGTTGAGGTTTCTTAGACGGTCGATGAACGAATGTTGATTTTCGACCATGGCATTTTTGCAATTCAACTTAAAATCGATAAGCTATCGTCTAAACGCTGATAACTAATCAATGAAGTAGTCCCCAAGAACAATAGCAGAGCTTATCGAAAACATTTATTATACTTTTATAGCCCAAATGAGCTTACAGGTATTTTAACCGATTCAGTCGATGACCAACTGGCGAAAAGAGCCATCTAGGCCGAAGTGACTCTCTTCAGGGTTTAGATTTTTGGGTTCCTCGCGCAATTTGTCATTAGTTCCGAAATGCTGGCAGTCCTGAAAATAGCTGCGGTAGCTGGAGAGTTTTGCTTCCATCTCAGTAGTAATATCTTTCATGGTTCCCTTGGTTCCTCCATACTCCACAGGTAGACAATTTTTGGGAATACGCTCAAAAATGGCCTCCGGATCGGAGCTAACAGAGACCTTTAAATATGGGAGTTAAAAATATGTTATTGGGGATTTCAAAGTGTTTTACCCTCTCTTTAATTTTTCCTGGAAACCATCCGAGCAGTGATTTGAAACCCATTTCAAATGCCTTGGGTACATTGATGAAATGTATACCCTTCTGGCGTGTTGGCATTGCCTCGTCCGCATAGGCTGAGAATTTGCTGAGAAGTTGGGGCTGGAGGGCAAACAGATTCGCACCCGTCACTCCGGTCATATCCATGATCTCCAGGTAGCCACTAACCGAGGCATTGTCATCCTCCAGCATCATGATCTCACCAAACATGGAACCCACGCGAATGATGTCCTGGAACTTGAATTTATTGATGTCGTAGGAGCCAGCTCGAATTATTGTCACAGCTGGTCCAGTATCCTCTTTGTCAAGAGGAATGCGCAAGATAACTCTGCAAGGATACAAATTTAGTTATGAAGATAGCTTTGTAATGGATTACGAACCCCATCCGAATAATCTCCAGAACTTGAGCATCGTCTGCCAATCGATGTTCGTTAAAAACCTCAGGTATTGCCGCTTGCAAGCTGTAGAATCGATCAATCTTGTGCTTGGCCTTCTCCAGACTGAATTTCGATCCACGTAGAAAGCTGAGCAGAAACTGATCCTCCAGGCAGGCACAAATATGAGGTTGCTTCTGTAGCCATTCCTTTAGGGTAGCTATGTCGGACTCCACTCGACTGGGAACTTCGTTTAGCTCCTCGATGGCCACTTTTTGCAAAGCGGGCGATAGGGTGCGTATGGGATTAGGAGAACTACTCATGTTGGCAGCGCTATCAATTGCAGACTAACCAAAAGTGCACTTCCAACTGGTCGACACTCTAATAATATTCATGCGATTAGAACCGAGTAATCTGGCTAGCGATTAGCAGAATTTTTAAAGTGGATCAATCAAGGAAAACATATAACTTTACGAGTTTTAAACAGTTAATTCTTCAAAAAGGAGTTAAACTTTAACACATAATGAAAAGAATACCATTTTTGTATGGTTTATGGGCTGAAGTATTTAAGCAATTCACCCTTGTATTTGCCTTAAGGCAATTCCCTAGTTTTTAAATTTGCAATAATGAATATAAGAATATTAATGGTAATTTTGTAGTAGACAAAAATTAAAAACATTAATATTAAAATTTCAATTTTTAATAAAATAGATTCCCAATTTTCTTACTCCTCATGTAAATCCGCAACCTTAATTGTTCTGTTTCATTAAAACCCATTGACCCACCTATGGGTTAATATAAAATTCTTTATCGATCAGCACACACAAGTTCACAAATCGTTATAGATAAAGCCTGCCAGCGTCGTCACTTTCAAAGACTTCGTGTTAGTTTAGTATTAAAACTTTATTCAATGAAAAATAATCAATTAGGCTAGGCATGAACTACTGAACTAAGACTTATCGGCTAGATACCCGGTTGAAGCTGCCACCGTAACTAACCTAGTCTCGGTTGCAGTTATCTCGAGATATTACATAAGAAACGTGTTTAAATCGTATGGTTAGAGTTATGTGTTCTATAAATACGCTGATCTGATGGGCTGTTGTTACCTAGGAGTGGATTGCTATTGCACGGGTGCTGGAGAATCATTCGGAGTATCATTCAGTAGAGGCCTGACGGCAGATCCGTCACCTTCGACATGGATCCCTGGGTGTGGGATCGCGTTCGCAGGGTTGGACCCTGACCAATTCCCCCATTGGGATTGCCGAAGCCAGTGTGGTCATGCATCCTCATGGCCAGATTACTGGTGAAGTATATCTGCTGATTGCTGCGCGACTTCTCCCTTCCGATGGCCGCTTCATTGAGGGCTTCGGGATGTGCCGAGGCAAAGGCCGCCTCCAGACGCTCCACATTCTTGGTGACCCTCCTGGCCTGCAGTGCAGCCGAGATGTCCGGCTTGGGATACTTTTGAGGTGTGTTCATGCCCGTCATGAAGAAGACTCCATTGAATTGCTGGGCTGGCGGAGTTGGCGGTGGTGGCGCCTGTGGCTTAACCTTAACCGGATGGTGGACAATCGTCACGGGCGCTGTATCCTGGACACTTTTCCTCAAGGCCTGCATTGTGGGATCGTGTTCGTCATGCCGGGCATTCATGATCACATCGAGCAATTCCCGATTGGTGCTGGCATTATAGGCCGTTGCCGTGGCATTCGCCTCCGGCATGTCCGGCGTGGGTGACTCCATCTGATAGACCGGCGGTTGATCCGTCTCTGGTGCATCGTAGTCCACCTCGTCGAAGAAGCTCTGCATGGCCGCCAGTCGCTCGGCGGCAGCGGGATCTCCCGGTTGGTGTAGGACCATTCCGTATTCCGAACCCTCCTGGTCGGAACAATCGGTACGGGCCACCAGATGTGCCAAAGATCGGGATTTTCTCGGTGGCTGTGGTACTATGTTAACCGGGACGATATCCTTCTCCGAAGGGCGATGGTGTCGCATCTTTGTCCTGGTTCCACTGCTCGCCTGGCTGCTGATCTGTTTCTCCGCCTCGCTCACAATGTTGTCCAACTCCTCGATGACGTCCTCAATGGTGGCTGCATCATCCTCATCCTCTTCTGCCAGTTTCCTGGATTGCTTGGCCTTGGAGGGCAGCACAAGAATGGGCACCGGACTGAGGGATGCACCCGTCTCTGAACTGCTAATGCCCTCATCCTCGTGCTCCGAACTGCTCTGCTTGGTCTTCGTGGGCGGAGGAACCTGCCGGGGCAGGGCCACTGGCTGGTGGGAGGAGTCCACCGGCTTGAATTTGGACTGCTGCTGGGCTCCCTGGAGGCGAAAGATCTCGCGCTGCAGCTCGGCACAGCGCTCTTGAAGCCGACGCTCCATGGAGGTCAGCACGGCCTTTTCCTCGTGCAGGATCTGAACCCTTCGCTCCAGGATCACCATCTGGCTGCGCACGCGTTCCGCATCCCTGGCCTGGGTTATCATTTGGTCCACATCGATATGGAGTTCGTTAAAGCGCTTCACCTCGATCTTCAGGGCATCCAACCAAGGCGATGAGGAGGAAATGGTGCGAGCCAAGGTACTGGCATCCAAACCCGCCTGGAAGAGCTCAGCTTGGATGTAAAGACGCTGCTGAATGCTCACAGCGCTCTCAATGAAGGTGTTGAGAAATCTACAAAAGATATTTTAATAAATTGTTCTAGGCTTCTTATAGAGACTTCCTTACTTGACCCCCGCACACTGGAGTTCCCCTGAGCCACCACCGCTGTTTAGAATTCCAACCAGCAGACGAAAGCGCACTGGTTCACTGCATCTCAGTCGTAATGTGGACATGGCATCCGATACTGCTGTGTGTCCAGCAGAAGCTATCTTCTGACCACCGCTGCCACTTCCGAAAGGCTGACGATCGCAGGCGAAGGCGAGCAATTGGAGGGCCAAGATGCGAGCTCGGATGCCCTGTCCCGTGGCCGAAGAAGCCAGGGGCATGAGACCCACCGGTGTGTTCCCCAGACGGGCTATGGCATCCAGAGATCGCGAGCAGCAGATGCTTAGACATTGACTAAAAGGGATTTAGCTACTGGATTAGTGGTCTTTAAAAGGAGTGAGTATTTTACTCACAGACAAGACAGTTCATCTAGCAAAGCACGACGCTGATAGCTCTGGGGATTCCTGGTCATGGCCAGGGAACTGCTGGCTCCTGGCATTGGAGCTGGGGCATTGCTGGCCTGGGCCATTTGAATGGCGCGAAGGACCTCTAGTAAATGGCTAATGCCATCCGCAGGAGTGCCCACAAACTCTTGGACGAAGCTTAAAGGGAAACCAATGTTTAAATTGAACAACTCTTAGGGACATTCACTGATTCCTACCTGGGAAAGGAGACTCTGAGATCAGCCCGCAACTTGGTCAGCAGATCTGTAATGGAACCAAACTGACGCAGTGACATCTCCCTATCGTTTTCTGGCGGAGCAGGGATTGGAGATCTATTAAGAATAAGGATAAAATATTAGCAAGCTAACTGGTTATGGTGACAGGATAACCATTACTTGTACTCCGAGTGTTTGGCTGGCAAAGTGGCTGATCTGGAGGCCTCCTCCTTGGCAGTTGGACCCGTGCTCACATCGTATATCGATACCTTTTTGGCCGAACTGCTAGCCTTGATGAACTTTCTCAGTGAGTGAACGTAGTCCTCGGGATTGTAGACAGGTGGACGTTGATTTTCCTGAAGCAGACAGATTGGTTGTATTGGGTTACTTATTAGTCATATTGATAGTTTACTACCCACTCACCTTGCTGTAAACTGGTGCCTGGGGCCAACTCTGTTCGGAGCCGCCAATCTTGTAGGAGGCCAGGGATCCGTTCAGGCTGCTCGCCCCGCACTTGTTCGTCCCGGAGCTGTTGGAACCGCCCGCTTTCGAGGGGGGAACCACCTGACTGCTTTGACCCTGGCCGGCCAGCTCGCACACACTGGGAGCCATCTGGAGGTGGTGGTGGTGGTGTCCCGGGTGACGAGGTTGGGTATGGTGTCGCTGCAGTGTCGAGCTGTCGCTGCGTTAATTGGAAGGGGAAAACCAATCGGGTGGAGTCAATTAATGTACGTGCCTGACTTGGGAGAACTCGAATTTGCATGCAGCCTATTGACTATAAAAAAGTGGTCAGGAGTTGGTAGCTGGAGTTGGAGTTGGAGTTTGGGTCGCCACCACGTAACGCACCGGAAAAACAAGCCGTTAAGTTTATTGAACATTTCAAGCCGCAGCTTATCTGCAAGTTGGACTCGAGGTGGCTAGGTGGTTGGTGGTGTCTCTGGACAGGTGCCTTCGCCTATATCCGCTGTCAACGACACCCAGTTGGAGAGGAGGTGTCTGGCATGTGGGCTGCAGGCCTGTTTCCTAGCCACAACTAAGCGATCGAACGCGATTTTGATCTGTGACAGTCGCTGATTTGTTTTTCAATTTTGCCATCAATGCGTAGACAAAATAAAATGAAAATTTGCATATTAATGTGCTAGAAATAGAGACACTTTCACTAACAAGCGAGATGAAAGAGACATGAGCAGATCATCATGGGTTGCAGTTCCCTCCCAAGAGCCGAGTACCGTTAAGCCACAATGAGGGGTTAACGGTTCATGTGGTGGCTATGCAAATCGGACTGCCATTGTGTTCGGGCGGTTATGACGTGCCACACAGGTGGGTTACCTCAGCCGGTATCAATCAGCCAATCAGGCACGTACCGCCGATGCTCAGGCATTCCGATTTGATTCTTTCGTCAGGTGTGTGTGACCCTCTTGCAAGTCGGAGGCTATGGCTGATTGACTGAGCCTGTTGCCATTTAAATGCGGTTCCCACAGCAGCACAGACAACAAAAAAAGAAACACTTCGATCAATGTCAGCCATTGGCCGCAGACAGGAGAAACTCAACGCAGAGTGTTGAAAGATCACTCAAAACAGAAACCAAGGAGGCGGGGTTGCAGCTCTAAAATTAGCATAAATCAATTTGTGAGACAGAAATTGAAAACTGCTCCACAAAACTGGAATTGATAAGCCGTGAAATGGCCCCCCAGGCTAATGGCTTCAATGAGTGCTCTCCATTAGTTGCAATAGTTGTCCAACCGTTTTTATTTGGATCAAGATGGTCACAAGTAATTTCGTTTTAAAGCACTCCGCCAGGGTTATTACCAGAAACTAAAATTTTTAAAGCTTTTAAAAATGAATAGGAAACATTAAAGACAACTGGAAACGATTAAAAGGCATTAAAAATAGAAAACTATCTAATCAAAGAGCTTTGTCCCGTTTTCTCATTTGATAAGCTTCGTTTTGAACTGCAAATTTCCACACCACTTCTTAGTTTAAAACCTACTTGTATCCTAAGACTGGTTTTTTGTGGGATGTACTTCCATTTCAGAAACTGTTTCTTTTAGGTAATCATTTTATTAGGGGGTCAAATCAGTTTAGAAGCACTCATCGATGGACGGCAACCATCCGCTGCAGTAGTGCCACACGGCCCAGGCGGACCATCCCTGCTGGCTGAGGACCTTCTGGGCACAACGGACGGAGTTGGTGATGTCGTCGCTCAACAGGGCGTTGCAGCTCAGACCGCACTCGTTGTAGGAGAAGCGTCCATCGGCCTGGCACCAGTACAGATCGTTGATCTGGAAGATACCGTAGTCGTTGGAGCCGTCGGAGTTGGCAGGTCCCACCACCCAGGTGCGGTAGTCGCTCTCGTGCTGGGCAATGCAGGTCCACTTGTCCAGTTGGTCACGAGGAACACCCAAGTCGGACATCTCGCGGGCCAGGGAGCAACGGTCCATGGTGCGACCAGCCAGGGCAGGAGCGGCAATAGCCAGAGCCACCAGAACAAAGAAAGCCTTCATGTCGATTTGTTTAAACAAAACTGTCTGACTTTCTGGGCTCGTGCCATGGGTATTTATAGGGAATTATTTGCCCGACATTCCTTGGCCTATCAACCCTTGAGGTAATAAGTGTAGATTCGGAACACTCAAAGATAGAAATATAATTAAAAGAACCACAAGTCTCAAGATTTAAATAATTCATTGAGAACCAAAAGAAAAAAAACAACCAAATACTTTATCAGCAGTACGGGTACATCAAAAGGTTTAATCTCACAAACAATAAAAATGAGCTACGCCCAACAAAAGCTGCATAGTTTTAGGCTGGCAGAACATAAGTAAATGCCACTGAGATAAGGCAATATAGACTACCTTGACAATCTGGTGCTTCAAGTTCATTATATTTAGAAGGAAGATAAAAACCTTGGAACGCTTTCCAACAGATAAGCAAAACTGATGTGTCATATTTCCAGAAATCAAAGGAATCGATTAGGGTCCCAATTATTCACTAATGCTGCTGATAACAATGCAAAGTAAAAATAAATGCACTTGCTCAGCAAAATAGTCAAAACAAATTAATTATATAATTTAAAAGGAGTTCTATCACCATTGAAAGTTAAGAACAGGGTGCACAAAGATCATTTTCTATTCAGTATTCACTTCATAAAACTTGTTCTTCAAGGCCATAACTTTATTTAAAGAAATCCGATTTAAATTTGGCATACTTCTAAATGATTGTGGTTAAATTCTCTAAAAATCTGTGTTTTTAACTCGGTTTGTATTTTGCTTTCGATTTTTCGTAATTTTAATGGTGTTACCCCTTTTTAAATTTTCGAAAAATGGCTTTGCAGAAAAGTGACCTAAAACCTGCACTTCTAAGCCCATAACTTTTCTTGCAGACATCCGATTTACAAATGGCATACTTCTAATTGATTGTGGTTTAACTCTCTAAAAAACTGTGCTTTCAGTTTGTTTTGTATTTTGGGGTCGATTTTCCGTCATTTTAATGATGTTACCCCTTTCCAAATTTTCGAAAAATGGCTTTGCTGAAAAGTCACCCAAAACCTGCGCTTCTAAGCCCATAACTTTTCTTACAGTCATCCGATTTACAAATGCCTTACTTCTAAATGAATGTGGATTAATTCTCTAAAAAACTGTGTTCTCAGTTTGTTTTGTATTTTGGGGTCGATTTTCCGTCATTTTAATGATGTTACCCCTTTCCAAATTTTCGAAAAAGTGGCTTTGACCAAAATCCAGCACTTCTAAGCCCATAACTTTTCTTACACACATCCGATTTCAGAATGGTATACCTTTAAATGATTGTGGCTTAATTCTCTAAATATCTGTGTTCAAAACTTGGAACATGGATTTGCTGTCTGACTTTTGCTGTACAGAAAGTCGTGAAAACTTAGGTTGTATCAATGCAATCATTTATGTTTATTAGGAATGGGGGTCAAGTTCAGCTTAGAAGCACTCATCGATGGACGGCAACCATCCGCTGCAGTAGTGCCAGACGGCCCAGGCGGACCATCCCTGCTGGCTGAGGACCTTCTGGGCACAACGGACGGAGTTGGTGATGTCGTCGCTCAACAGGGCGTTGCAGCTCAGACCGCACTCGTTGTAGGAGAAGCGACCATCGGCCTGGCACCAGTAAAGATCGTTGATCTGGAAGATGCCGTAGTCGTTGGAGCCGTCGGAGTTGGCGGGTCCCACCACCCAGGTGCGGTAGTCGCTCTCGTGCTGGGCAATGCAGGTCCACTTGTCCAGTTGGTCACGAGGAACACCCAGGTCGGACATCTCGCGCGCCAGGGAGCAACGGTCCATGGTACGACCAGCCAGGGCAGGAGCGGCAATAGCCAGAGCCACCAGAACAAAGAAAGCCTTCATGTCGATTTGTTTAAACAAAACTGTTTGACTTTCTCTATTTCTGTCATGGGTATTTATGCAAAATTGGCCCCCAGCTTTGTGGGCCTATCAGTTCTTAACGTTAGAACACTCAAAGATAGAAATATAATTAATATAGACGGATTTAAATATTTCGTTGGGGAGCAAAACAACTTTATCTGTGAAATGAGTACATCAGAGGGTTCTATCTCAAAGAATACAAAAGAACATTGCTCCAGCAATTGCTGCATAGTTTTGGGCTCGGGTTTTCAATGGAGGTCATAGAGCTTTCCCCTGATAAGCCACTATCAACTACCTTGAAAATCGAGTGTTAACCAAGTTTCGTCATCGTTTGTGTTTGCTGAAGTTCATTGAATGTAGGAGAAAGGTAGAGACCTCGACGCGCCTTCAAACTGATTAGCATAATTGCTGTTATATCAACAATGACGATGGGCTGGTTGAATTGGTTTAGAAGGGGCTCATTGTGCTGCCTAGAGAGCCCATTGAGTTCGAGTAGCCGAAAAATGGAGATAGAGCTCTGGAACCGCCCAAGTGGTAATCCAGATGATTAATCACACATTCGGCTCGGCCATAAACCAGACCACAACCGGGGGCTAATAGCTGCAGTCAAGTGGAGCTGTTTCGCCATTAAACCGGCGACTCCACTCCACGGCGCACCACTTCAAAGTCGGACATTAAACTTGGGCTGTGCAAAAGATGGGAATTTGTCTGGGCGAAAGAAAGAGCTATGTACTGCAATTTCCAGACTCGAATAGCTCGAATGCCGCACAATGAATAACGTTGAATAATTAGCCCCCACATGCAACCCCACCCGAGTTGCGTGAGCAGGGACCCACCGAGAAATGGCCAAAACAATGCCTACTATATTAGAGATAAATATTTCGAATAGCTTTCGGAAGACAGCTAACTACAGCCGAATGGATCTCTTACGCACAAAGCTGAGATACAGATCGAGTTGCTTGGATTTATTCAATGCGTAGATTGTCTGCTTGAGTGTGAAGGAACTGCCATATCTGGACGACAAACTCTTCCGTATTTTTGGGGTACTTCAATTGCTTTTGTTGAGTACGGAGATTATTCGATATGTATAATATTTAAAAACCACATTTAACTGGTTAGGTTGCTAACAAAACAGAGAGAATTGTAGCACAGATAGTCTACAAAATAATTTGCAGAAGACTTCCTAAAACGCAGTAGAAACATATAAAATATTTGAGATATTCACTTAAGATTTTAAGAGATTTTCAGTACTAATTGAAAGAAAAAAATTTCTTGTTTTAAATTTTTTAATTAACACCTAGGTTAATAAAAGTAAATTTATTCAATTTTCATAATATATTATGTTAGGTAAAATAATCTTAAGCTCCTTAAAAAAGTGTGTGCTTTTTTCTTGGGTAATTGAAAATAAGTAGTTTATGGAACATTTAATTTAACGGTCCGGTAGATTTTACTACCAACATTGTATTAGAATGTCACCTTATTAGCCCCTCTAATTATAGGTAAATATACTGATTGATCTCTCAAAGTATTCAAATAGTACGCAAATGTTTAATCAACTGCAACGACTTGGGTATACATATTTCGAGATGTTAGATCGAATAATCAGTAAGAGATTGCAATCCACTATCAACGAGTTGAAAGCTAATTATAGGTAAATACTGATTAATCTCTCGAAGTATTCAAATAGTTCTACAATATATACTCTCGGGTATAAATATTTTGAAACGTTAGATCGAATAATCAGTAAGTGATTGGAATCCACTGTCAACAAGATGAAAGCTTTCTTTGTGATTTGTGTCCTGGCCCTGACTGCAGTTGCCACCCAGGCCCGAACGATGGATCGTTGTTCGTTGGCCCGGGAGATGGCCAATCTGGGGGTTCCCCGTGACCAGCTGGCCAAGTGGGCCTGCATCGCCCAGCACGAGAGCTCATACCGCACCGGAGTGGTGGGTCCGGCCAACTCCAATGGATCCAACGACTACGGGATCTTCCAAATCAACAACAAGTACTGGTGCAAGCCGGCCGACGGTCGCTTTTCTTATAATGCGTGTGGTATGAGCTGCAATGCCCTCTTGACCGATGATATTACCAACTCGGTGAGATGTGCCCAGGAGGTTCAGCGCCAGCAGGGATGGACTGCCTGGTCCACCTGGAAATACTGCAGTGGATCTCTGCCCTCGATCAATAATTGCTTCTAAAATATACCTATAAACGAGGATGTGCTCAACAGAAAAGTAATCCCAAAAAAAAATTAAAATTAAGTCCTTTACAAACTTCTCTTAACAAAGGACTATTTTTAGAAAACTTTACAATGATTTTCCTTTCTGTGACAAAAAGTTTCTTCAACATAGATAATATAATATTTTGAGCCACAATGTCTTTATATTGTATTCATGTTTGTTGAAAAAATATATTGTTGAATAACACCCGTGAAACTTTAAATTTGCAATAGAGTAAAGCAAATTTATTTCATGAATATCTAGTCTTTGTTCGAGTTATATATATTTAGCAACACGTTATTCCTAAGTGTAATTGACTCGTGATCTTTAAGCAATTGCAAAACTGTCGCCAGAGGAAAATGGAGAGCCTTTTTGGCTCAAAAAGTGAAATTTTATATAATGGCCCACACATAACAGAGTCATTATGACAGTTGGCCTGGCCAAAGCGACTGAAATCTATTAGACATTACTGCCCGCAAAGCGGAGCTTCAGTGTTGGCCAGCAAATAGCAAATGGCAAATGGCTGGTAAACAAGTTAATTTAATTTCCAGGCATAAAACAAATTACGTATGAAAAGTTGCCGTTATCGCTGCGTTTATCAATGTATCTCGTTGAAAACTCTTAATGTCTCGCAAGTGCCAACGGACTTTGGTGCGATTGAAAACAATTTCGATTCAATTACATCTATGGCAGACCACAAGGCGAAAAAAAGCAGAGACATGATGTAGGTCTATGGGATTGCCATTTGCGGCTAATCGCTGGAGATCAACTTTGCCATTTAGAGTTCGTTTAGGCCTGGCCAGATGGCAAAGACAAGTACGAGTCAGCCTAGAGCCTAATGTATTAATTTGTAGCGCTATTCTCAAGGGTGTCGGTTGAATGACATTCCTTGGCTTGGACTTACTTTGGGTTTCTCCCCGCTCAATTATTCTACAGCCGCGACTTTCCCGCGTGGAGAACACCATCAAACACCATACCGAAAAGCATTTCGGACAGCTCATAAAATTAAGAAGATTCCATGGAAATGGGAAAAGTTTCTCTTCTCGTGTTGAGCCGACACCTTGCCAAATTGTTACACAAGCTGGCGAAAACACACGAGAAGATCTGCCCAGCTGACACCCAGTTTGGCAGAGACACCACAAACAAATCCAGTGTTTGGGATCGGATGTGGGCTTTGCCTTGCTTTGCATTTGTGTGGCATTCGCTGACGATGATGCCAGAGATTAAGTCACCGCTGACAGGCCGACATGCAAAAGTTCTCATGGCAGTTCCATTTCTTTAGCCCATTTGCATTTCTGTTTTGCCATTTGTTTGTGGCTAAAATTTACCCACACTCACTCAGAGATAAAACTATTAGGAGAATTTAGCAACCGACAAAGCCGGAGAGAAATGTGGCCACTTTTCAGCTGTCAGAGATCTCTCCAAAGAGATTCCTACAGATTTCCCAAACCTGTCAGCTCCCGTGAGCTATGCCCCCAGATCGCATCGCCCATCTCCGACTTTTGTCATCTTTTTGATTGTCGACTGAATTGTGCACTCAGAAAAATATTATGACGTAAATTTGGTAATCCAAAAAACAGCCCTGTTTATAATATTGAAATAAACAATCTAAATGTTTTCTAAAAAATTTTATTGTGAATATAAATGTATTTAAAATTCTGCTAGTCAGTTAATCTTTGCACAAAGAACTAGAACTTGTGTTTTAACATAACATAAATTATAAAAATTTGAATTAAGTATTATCGTATTGCTTTCTCCTCTGTTTAATTTTTCTTTAACATAACTGTTTTGAAAAGAAGAAAATATTTCATTTATAGAAACTATAAAGAATTTAATAATTCATTTTTTTCTCCTCTGTTTAATTTATTTTAAAATAAATAGACTTCCAGTTAACATAGCTATTTAGTTAGTTTTAGGCAAACATTTTTCTGAGTGCACTGACGACTGTCATGCTTGACGGCTTCGCGCTTGACTCTAAATTAAAATGGTTTTCTTCAGTGGGCTGTTTTTGGGAAAAGATTTTCCAACGCTCATTATAGTTTTCACTGGGATTTGTTTGGCCGCAGATTGCAGAGCACCGGCCCGCCCGAGGTTATGTATCAGCAGGCCCCAGCTGTCAAATAATATAATTAAGGTTTTTATGTTGTTGAAACTATATCGCAGCGGGGTCTTCGAGTCTCTGGAGCTTGCCTTTTGACACAGTTGCGTTTTGGGGCTGTCAGAGAGAAATGTTTGTAATTTGTGAGCCGAGTTTGTGACAGGTAATTGATGCCGAAAGTAGCTCAAATCCAGGGGAACCTAGTGTCACCAGCTCTACGTCGCAGTTGGCCTGCCATTGACAATGGCCGCTCAAGATCATGTTAACTTAACCGGGCGGAAAAATAGTAATACGATCATTTCGGGATTGTGCAAGTTCAGCCATGGCCTGAACATCCACAGAAGACTCACCCCGTTCGGAAGACAGACCCATCACATGTCTGGTAATCAGATCCTGTCCCAGAACATTCCAGATCACTCAAGCGATCCCCGGCAATCTCGTCCACACACTGTTGACTCCGGTAAATGGGGAAGCCGACTGCGACTCTGAGATTTCGACTTTGACTTCACTGGCTATCGGCCATTTTCTTCGAGACTCTCGAGGAACTCGTGCACTGATAAAAGTAAACCCCCGTCGGTTTTACAGATATCCGCTATCGGACTAAGCGATTTGTACAATTTGTGGCATCGGTTCCGTGCCCATATTCCAAGTGGAAAATTGTCTGAAGATATGTCGGCTCGAGGCGTACCATTGATAATTTAATTACGCACTCGTATCTTAATGAAAATCGCATGAATAGCTAAATTCGTTGGTTTTTGGAGAGCCCATTTCCAGTTTTCTAACTTTCTACTATCAGGCAATATCTCTGCAATGTTTTGGGGGTTTTTAGAGGATTATGCCTCGTCATTTTGGGGATCCTTATTCACTTAAGCGTTTAGATTTCTGTTCTTATCATTTCTACCCTTTTGATTAATGGTCTATTTATTTTTCTAAACACTTTTTTGTTAACCCTCGAACTATTCAATTATTATAAAATTGTGTATCAGAACTCGGGTTAATCTGTTGGTCTAAAATATGTTTAAGGTAATTTAGAAGTGTTTTTTTTTTGCCTTTATTTTTTCTACGAATCATCTGTATAATAATTTAGTCCGCCAAACGAAGTTCGCACTTCCTTAGTAAAGTATTTATTAAACTTAGCTCTTAACCCTCGACATTTTCATGACTTTGTTCTCCAGTAACCTGTTTCCCAAGCAGCCCTTCTCCCAATTTCTTCTATCTGTCATACATTGCTCCTCAGACCAATTAGATGGGCCACAAACCAAGTGTAAACCTCACTCCAAAGACCCATCCTCATTGCGGTGAGTTGGCTCCGACGTTGTGTGGTTATCTGTAGACCATCATAACTTAACGCTAGAGTGACTTCCAGCAATTGTTTTTAGCCTGACCCACGCAATGTCGCTCCAGAGGGCGGCGAACCTCAACCTCGGGGCAATTACTTATGCATTTCCAACTCGACTTGTGCTAATGTGCTCAGATTATAGGAAACACTCGGGCAGGCACTTTACCAGAGGTCTTCTGGCATTCCCCCACCGCATCCAGGAATGGTATAATTTTCCGGTCTTTGGTTTCCTGCTTTGTTTTAGCCTGTTCCTCAGACGATCACTGTGAGCCCCAATCCCACAGCACTCAGCAGAGGGTCTTTGTCTGTGCGTTTCCACTTCCTTTGGACAAACTCTGGGTTCCCGTTCCCGTTCTGAGATGTGGAGATGTGGAAATGGTGCCCAGCTTAGGTACGTTTATCACCAGAGTGAGAGACGGCTACTTGTATAATTTATTGCCCACTGCGCCGGCCACATTAAGAATTCATTGACCGGTCCAACTCAAAGTCATCGGCCTGTGGCGAGTGGAAGGGAAGCTGTCGCTCTTTCTTCGATTTTCTTCCATTTAGAAAGTGTGTGGAGAAAGAAAATCACCAAAGAATCTTTCAAGCCAATGTTTAGAACTGTAAACTCTGATATAAAGAAATGTCTGATTACTCCTATTGAGCAAAGCCAAAGAAATATGACTTGTAATAACTCAATATATCACCGCCTAGGAAACAATTTTTAAGAATGTCAGAAGACAAGTCTTTAGTTTAGATCGATATTTATTAGGCGTCAGAAGGGAAATGAAAAGGAGCTTAGAAGCAGCTATCGATGGATGGCAGCCATCCGCTGCAGTAGTGCCAGGTGGACCAGGCGGACCATCCCTGCTGGCTGAGGACCTTCTGGGCACAACGGACGGAGTTGGTGATGTCGTCGCTCAACAGGGCGTTGCAGCTCAGACCGCACTCGTTGTAGGAGAAGCGACCGCTGGGAGGAGCACACCAGTAGTAGTCGTTGATCTGGAAGAGGCCGTAGTCGTTGGAGCCGTTCCAGTTCTCAGGTCCCACCACTCCGGTGCGGTAGGAGCTCTCGTGCTCGGCGATGCAGGTCCACTTGTCCAGCTGGTCACGAGGAACGCCCAGGTTGGACATCTCGCGGGCCAGGGAGCAACGGTCCATGGTGCGAGCGAAAGCAGGGGCGGCACAAGCCAGAGCTACCAAAACAATGAAGGCCTTCATGCTTACAATTTGCAAATCTAATGTCGAACTGACATCGCGTTGAGCTTTTATAGCTAAATTATACAGTGATAAAGGACTTATCTCGCACATGTAAGCTGATATGAGTCTAACTTTTTTAATAAGGGTCTAGTCCTGATAAAATCAGCAGATATGGTATTCCGCAGTATGTTTTGATTTTAAAAGTAAACAAAAAATCAAGGCTAATATTTTCAAATTATTTTATAATAAGTTTTAAAGAAAATAAATTAAAATATTCCCAAATTGTAAATGTAAACAAGGGATGTAAGCACAAATTAAAAACACTGCATTATCATAGAGTTACAAATTAGATCAAATTTATTGACACGACCCTAAAATACGGTTCCCGTAAAAAAAAATAGCTACTGTAATTAAAAACAAATTGGAGAACCTTTTCTTCAGATTTGTCTACAGATATTTGAAATAAATATGATTTAACCAAAATCAATTTCTGTAATCAAAAGCAAATTTTAGGACTTTTTCTACAGATTTGTCTTCAGATATTTGAAATGAAGATGATTTAGGCAGAAAATGATTTGTTGATCTTTTGATTTTCACTTTCCCTCGCTTAAAAATCCGAATTACACCCCCAAGGCAAT